CTTCTAACTCGACAAATTCAAGACTTTTTCACACTCATTATACAAGTGATATGGTATGATAAAACTAGTTTTTGTCTTTCGAATCTCAGATCTCTTAGAAATTGGACTTTTTTCCAATGTTACATTATGATTTTTTTTGCATGAGATTGGTGGGAAAACTGTGGAAAACTATTTCATTAAAGAAAAATGGCGTTATTTAAACATTTGGCTAGAGAAATTCATGAACAACCCCACATTCTGAAATGCGGCTTTTAATTAATAAATTTCCGTCAAATTTTATTATCGTTTTCGCTACTTGACTCGCGGATCACCAATTAATATATTATAGACAACAAGACAAATTTAATAAAAATTACTAACCAATTCAAAAATTTTTCCAAAAAGTGTATTTAGTATAAAAACAATAAAATAAACAAATGCAATAAATAATGTTTCGGCAAATGTCCATTCGGCGAAATGTCCAGCCCTATAAAAAGTTGTCCAAACATTGTTCGGTTTTTTGTTCGGAAAAGTGACCCCGTTCCGAACATTTACTTGACATTTATTGGATAATTATCATGATATTGTACGTTTTTTATGTGGTCGAAAATTCTCAAACTCTCATCTTGTATTAAATTGTAACAAATATTGTATAATAACGTGCGAGTGTTCGGAAAATCGACCCCATTCCGAATATTTATCAGACAAACATTTTTTATAGGGCAGACTTAGAGTTATTATAAACTTTAGGGATCGATCTCCTGCAAAATAATTTTTTTTTCTATTAGGTTTTTGAAATACATTAATAGATAACGCTGATAATTTATTAACATAACACTTTATAATATTTGAGACGAAATTAAATGCCAAAGTTTGAACACAAAAATTACTTAAAGGCGCTTATACCTATAAGCTTATAATTTTCTATTAGTTACTTCTGGAGAAAATAACACTTCTCAAAAGTAATCGATAAAGACTTGGGTAATCAGTCTACTTAGTTTCTACCTAGTATGTCTTTAGAACTGCATCAAGAACAAGATGTTTAATACTTTTACGAGTTATTATAATGACGCAGGCAGCTTGGGAAAAGTCATATTTAATGATGTTTGGCGTTTAAATTGTTATGATAATATTAGGAAAAATTATCATAGTCTTACTACAAGTATCAGTCATCAATTCGTATTGAGAGCAAATAATGGTGGAGGATTAATGGAAGCCGATAGGAATTAATATTAGAACAAGTGAGAACAATTTCCTGATGAAATTGAAATTCATATATAGAAAACATAAAAAAAAAATTAAAAATGATTTTTCCTTATTCTGTAAAAAAATTTTTTAAAACATCCTATAAAAAAAGGCTAATATACATATCGAAAAAAAATAAATGACATAACTTTTGTTTTCCCATCATTTATAAGGACATACAGGATATTTAATATTCAGGGCATACGCCAAAAAAGAAAAAAATAAAATAAAATAAAATAATATTTAAAATATCTAATAAAGTTATACCTTCCGAATTTATTTAATGTTAATTAAAATATTCTTCATATTTATTATTTTACATCACAGTACCTTTATTTATTTTTATTAATTCGTTAATTTTAATTATAATAAAAATTTCATATTCTCTGATTCAACTCTACAATTACCAAAATGATTTGTACAATATCTATTTTGCCAATATTCATTGCTTTTGTTTTTGACGGAGAATTCTAAGAATCTAAACAAAATCAAAACTAAAGTTGAAACTCGAAACTTAGCGCGAACGCTATAATATCAGCCAGTTTACTTTATTCTATTTTCTTAATCTTATTGTATTTTATTTTGTTGTGAAAATAAAAACGCGTTTTTTATATTAAATACAAAATTTATTTACAACCTTGGACGTATAAAGGTGAACTATCAAATTTACTTTTCCATTTAATACATTGTAAAAATTATCTTTTCATTACCATTATATAAATAACACGAAAATTTATTGTTAAATTTCTAAAATAATAAATAATTTATTCACTTATTTTAATAAAAAAAACCAACAATAAATTTTATAAAGTGAAAAGGACCATAAGTCTATAACTGATAAGAAATATTTAAATTAAACGTTTCTTTGTATTTTTTTTTATAAAAACTACAATTATTTTTAAGATAAATGTTCCCTCACTTTAGAATCTGACCAATAAAACTCGTCAAGTCACGTTACCGAAATTTTTTGGTGGTGTTCTTTAGAGTAGTTCAACATTGGGATGGAAAAGGTTCGCTGTTGAGCAGTTTGAGTTACCCTATAAAAAAATTCTCTGATAAATGATCATTTTTCTAGTTTTCATTCCGAAGAAACTCAGATATGTGATCATTTTTCTGAAAAATTTTTTATAGAAAGATTACAGGCATGAATATATCATCAAAAAAATCACTGGCGACCAATTAGTAAACATGAGTAAATATAATACATATATATAAAATTATAAAAAAAAGTGATTTGTTATTACATCATTTAAAATAATACTTAATATGAATCTTTTTATCACTAATTAGTATATAATAGCCCTAGATCGTATCGCTCAGAGCGGAAAAAAAATTAACCGGTCAAACCGCAGTTACAATTAAGCACAATTTGTATAGCTCGATCGGATCATATCATAATCAATAAATATGGTTGGTCGCTGGCACGCATCACGTTAGTTTATCAAAATCGATCAGAGGCGAACACCTATTTTCGTGGATCGGTTGACTGACCGCTGATCGTTTTTGTAACAATCATTTAAGGGCACATTTTGCGATCAATCCAGTCCGATCTAGAATTGAACAGGGCTAATAATACATAAAGAAATCGATTTCTACATGGGCGTGCGATAAATTTTTATAATTTACATAAAAAATATTTTATACATAAAAAGATTCTTTTCACTTTGAAGGAAAATTAATTGATCATTAATTTTAATCTTGTCAAATTATTTTTTGTGATTATTAAAATTATTAAAATCCTCCTCTTTAACTACTTGAAGAATTTATTTTTTATTTAATAACTTGAAGAATTTAAACCCATCGTTATTAGTAGGTGTTGTAACTACTTCTTGTCCATAATAATTATCATTATTTACTATTGCTGAAACTACTTCATGGTTGGTCATATTTTCATTTTTAGAACCTTCAGTGGGTATTGCCTTTTCTTGACCGTAATTATTATAATTATTAATATTATTTTGGCTTTGTCTTTTTTTATTCCATTTATATAAAAAGAAACCTCCAACTAATAAGAAAATACCACTTAATAAAGATCCTACAATTGCACCAACCATCTTAGAATTATCTGATGAATTATTGGATGATGTAGGAAGTGGATCTGATGTGGATGAAGGTGAAGGAACAAATGATGTCGTCCATACATATTCTTCATTATTACTAATATCAAGTAATAATATATCACTTTCAACTGTTCTATCATAACCAATTCCTATTAATATTAATAATATTTTCTGTTAAATGATACTACTAATAACCAATCAAAGTTTATATTATAATTATTTATATTTACCAAATGATATAACCATGTATTTCTCAACTACGTTTGCCTGATGAAAAACTCTTGGTTTTGGGATTATTCCAGAAATTTTCGGAATATACCAATTATAATTAGTTAAATCCAATACATAAAGTGTAGTGTCTAAATATCCAGGATTATTAAAAGCTCCTCCATAAATTATGACTCTTTGACCATCTAAACCTATTAAAAATAATAAAATTTATAATTAATGTTCAGCCTTTAAAAAATGATCATAATATTCTTATTTAATTACATACCAAGAACTGAAGAAAAACCACATCTATTAGAAGGGATTTTTCCTGTTGTTATCTAAGTATAATACAATAAAAAGTTGGTTCACAAATAAATATAAAAAATTTCATCATAATTTGTGTAACTTACTTTTACATCCCAATTGTCATTAATCATATCATATAAGTAAACCTAAGATAATTTTATCAATTTTATCTTAAATGTTTTTAGAAAAAAAAAAACTTAAATATCAGTGCATTTACAAAATTTACCTCACTTAATGATAAAGCAATTCCTTTATCAATATTCAGGGTATCATCATCAAATTCAGTAGTAACATCATTCAAACCACCTAAGCATTAAGTATTCATTAATAAAATTAACAAAAAATGATATGACATAAAATTACTGGCTTACCTATATAAATAATCTTATCGTTGGGCAATAAAGTAGCTCCATAAAAAATTCTCGGAGTTGGAGCGTTAACTAAACTTCCCTTTTCCCAATTAAGGCTAATTGTATCTAAAATAAGCATATCATTTGAAATAATAGGGGTTCTTCCGCTCCATAAATAAAATTTTCCATTATAGCCCATAACTCCTGTTAAACTCGATTTTCTAATTGTACTAATTCCAGTTATTTTTGGAGGATTCCATATCATATGATGTGGATCAAACGTATAAACTGATTCCATCGTTTGATTATTTCCACCGTATAAAAATAGTGTATCATTATTTACACCACCTTTAGCTGATGTTGCAAGACCATGTGGCGGAACCATATTAATATTGGATAAGTCTTGCCATGATAATTCTCGAGTATTAAACGGAACTGAAACATCAAGATAAAAAAATTCTTTTACTGATTTATAAGAGATTGTTGACAAACCACTCAAAATATACAATTTATTATCAATGAATGTAGCAGTATGACAGTTTAGTGCACTTGGCTTAAAGGGCGTCATTTGACAATTTACTTCAACTAACACTTGAAGTAGCATCCATAATAGAGTAAAATTAGCTAAAGAATTTTTTAACATGACTATATTTTATTAATAACTTAATGTAATAGAAGCTATATTCTAAGGAAAATATTTTTTTTAAAAAAAAATATCTTTGGCGTATTTATGTCTTATGTCTTCTGCGTTACACGTTTAGTCTTAAAAGAAATATCCGAATGGAACGGAACACACAAACACATTCAAATATTTATTTCGAAACAATTATTTAGTTCGTTGGAGAACTACCCCTGCGTCGGTGTTAAGGACGGATGTGCCAAATAGGGTTTGTAACATAATAACATAAATAACGTGTTACTGACATCACGTGAGAATGTGACAGCCAACAACTACCCCAAGAACACCCCAAAAAATTCTGCGTAAATCATGTGATTATCACATATCACATGATTGTGATAGACAATTACGTAATTAAATAAATTAAACTTTTTACAACGAAGTATATTTTTTTCACTTTTCCACTTCAAATATGGATATTATAACTAGTAATTTGCAGAAATGTAAACAATGTCGAAAAAGTTTATCTATGGAAGCTTTCATTAATGAAAATACACGCCAGTTTAAAACTTGTCAATTTAATTCAGAACTTTTAACGCTAGAAGAAATGTCAAAACAACTATTTGTAAAGATTTTAGAAATTGACACTAATGAATACTTAGAAAATCATTTAACTGGAATAGATTTTAATTGCAATATTTCAATTGATATGATGGACGATGATCCAAAAAAATTATCCAAGATGATCATTGACTTAATAAGTGAAAGTGATGGCTATTATTATATTTATAAGGATTCTTATACTTCAAAGAAAGCATCCGATATTTTAACATTTCGATATAAATGTTCTCAATGTAAGTCTCTTGCAAAAAGACCTAGAAAAAATGAATCCATTGAAAAACAAAGAGATCGAATACCAATTGAGCGATTTAATTGCAATGGGTTGATTAAAATTAAACTTAAAATGGGAACCAATATTGCATCAGTTAATCTTCAGCATTCTATAATTCATAAACGACTGAACGATTTGGTGTAAATGAAAATATTAAAGAAGAAATCAGAAAAAACATTCACCTTACTCCAAGTGATATTTATCGAATTCTAGAACATGTAATAAATTTTTTTTTTTTTTGCTAATTAATCTAATTTAATAGAGTTGTGAATTGTATCATTTCTAGAATTTTCATATAGATTTGATATATATTAAACTGGATATCTTGGATTTTATTCAAAATTTTGTGTTTTTAAAGCAAATTTTCAGTCATAATTAAACCCCAAATTTTTTTACCTTAATGTATCAAGATTGATTAAGCAAACTTGCTCATAATATTAAAAAAAAGTTCATCTTTAAAATTCAGGTCAATTGGATTAATACTCAACGTCAGATGATTCAAAATATACATTTACTTAATATAATTATATGGAAATCAAAGTTTACGGATCGGTCACATGATTTCCGAGGTGCCGGACTAGGGACAAAAAACGGGAAATTTTGCAGTAAATAGTCCTTCGCTAATGCTTCGGACAATAAATAACGTGTTACTGGCATCACGCGAGAATGTGACGGTCACCAAAAAATTTTCGGTAACGTGACTTTGTACTATTTTTTCTTTTTTAAAAAAAATTTTGAACAGAAAAATCTTTTTTTAGATAAAAAATAAATGACATACCTTTTTAGTATTTTTTTTTTATATCTAAAATATCAATAAAATCGCAGTAGACAATATTTTTTATAGCTTTCACCTTAGTATTTTAGTATTTTGCGTGTTTTTTCCTATAATTTCAGCAATGCTAGAAGGATTTAATATATGAAATTTTTTGATTTATAATAACCTTTAAAGTATGCAGATTTTTAGAAATCAAAGAGAAATATTACTAAGTATTTAACATACCACTAACATACCAGCGGTGGATAATTTATAATGGGGTATTTTCAAAGGAGGATATCTTGTGCAGTGTTAGTGCAGTAGTTTATTCCATTCTATTCTGAATGATGTGGCAAAACCATCGTAATATCCATGTAGATAATATGTTCATCATTTAATATCTACAAAATGAATAGTAACAAATAACTGTTATTACACTCCTGTATATATTTATAAACCATGTGATTTTGAATTGATCCTATATCTCATTTCTCTAAAATTTCAATTAGAATCATTTTATATATATTTCACTAAAATTTTTTACCTTATTTTTGTGAAAAAATTCCATCAATTTTCGTATTATGCGTTAAATCTCATCTGGTTTCGCGTCCTTTCCCTTTTTTCACTAAAAAATTTAACTCGGAATCAGTAATATTATTGTTCCTTATCTCATGGTTTCATTTTCACGCGTATTTTTATTGTTAATTAATTTAGTCTACTAGTTTCACACCTTTCTCCTCTTTCATAAATTAGAATCATTCTTAATATATATTTAATATCGCTAATTTTTATTTAATTTTGTTCCCTAGATATTGTTTTATATTGGTTAACGTCATGAAGTACAATATGCATAAAATATTATAATAATTTGTTACCTTATTTATATCTGTAATACTAATACCAGCATAGAGTAAACTTCCTAGAACAAAATTTATCAATACCCTTTCATTATCGAAAGTAAAACAAATGATACTTTTTTTAAAAAAAATAAAAATAAATAGTACTATGAGGATTTTTTACTACTTTACTATCAATGGATAATATTTTACAATTATTATAGTAATTCGACTAATATCACTTGTTTTCTTTTTTAGAAATTGTTGTTAATTATTAGTCTGAAGTGTAACGAAGGACTATATAATTCTATTCAAAGTGATATGAATATCCAGATGTCTTCATCTGGCACGTGACAAAGTACAACAATAAAACCTCAGACTTAATAATGGTTTCCGTTATCCTAGTATAACGATTTTAAATATACTGTAGGTACATATTTTAACAAACATCAAACTATTTGAATCCTAAAAAAGATATGTAATATGTTGCAAAATAAATCATTAACCGCAAGTGACAATGTTAATTGAATTGTCATTTAGAAATGACATATGTCATTTTGATTAGTCAAATAAATCTGTTTTTATTTCTAGTGAACTAATGAATAAATGACTCATATTGAAATACAAGATTATATTTTTACTAATTACTCTTACTCATTTATTTTATTGGCTACTAATTGTGTTGATACAATCCGAGTAACGATAAAATCGTATGAATCACATAAACTTTTTTTTACTATGTTTATAACAAGTTACCAATTAAGTATAATTATTAGAACCCTCAAAAAGCTCTCTCGAATTTCCCTAAACTTCTAATAAAAAAAATATCGTTTATAATTTTTTAAAAATGATTTTATCGTATGGTAATTCAGCCGATTTACCCAGTAACACAACTAAATTTTTCACCCATGTGTTTTTTGTGGCGTCTAAATTTTGATTGGCTCATTGATTGTTTTATGTCGCGTGGCAACATTTATCTTAAAAAAAAAAGACAACAAAAAGAAAAAAATAAAAACTCCATATTTTTTTTTAAAAAATATTAAAATAATTTTATTGTTTTTTATTATAAGAACATTTAAAAAATGCCTCTTTTACACTTTATAAATTTAATAAATAAATAAACTTTTTTAACGAAAATAACTTCAAATATTAATACTATTGTAAAAATACTAATTACTCCATAAATATTCAGAAAAAAAAATCATTTTTGAGCGCTTCTATGCCTGCTGAATAACTTTGTTAAAGCTTCCGACACCTATTTCATTTAACTAAAGTATCAAAATTATGCAAAAACAAGGTAAAACAAATTAAAAAAATCTGTTTTTTCACAAATATCTAAGTAACATTAATAAATAAAGGTTTGCATACTTGTTCTACTTAGTCTCAAGTCTGCTTTATTTATTACTAAATTAATATTATAAAATCTAAAAAAAAAACGCGTTTATTATAAATAAAACAGCTATACTAAAAATATTTGACTTTTATTGTTTAATAGGTTTTTAAAACATTATTATTTTAAGTGAAAAATGAAACAGTAATAAATCCGGCAAAATTTTTTAGATCCTGCATACGTTGCTTGCGTCACACTGATCATTCCATTCATCATCATATCATTATATAGTAACATCAAGACTACTTTTACGCGAAATTACTTCTACAATACTTTTACGCGAAATTATTTCTTCTACAGTACTCTTACGAGAATTCAAAAATGTTTAAGAAAGTAATTTTTTCAGTATAATTATTTTATTATAATATTATTTACTCAAATTATTTACTTAAATCATTTATCTTTTTTTATAGCTGTAGCCATGAAAGGAGCCAGAAGCAAAAAAAGTCTTGTTGCGCTATCCAAAGAAGGTAACGAGCACAATTGATTTTCTACATTTATAAATTAAATATTAACAGTTAAAGCTTTATTCAACGTGTTTAGAACAATCAAAATTTAAAATCATTGAGGGTATTCAAATAAGTGAAAATGTTTTATCCGCAATCTCTGATGATGATCCCGCACTCGTGATTCGTAACCTGTGTTCTTAAACAATTCTTAAAACTATTTCCTTCCTTACTAATTTGCTAATTTATAGTGAATCATATTTCACATTCTTTATTCCTGTAAAATTTTGCTAATTTGCATTTTTAAAACCTATTCTTTTACTTTCCTTCCTAGTTGCTAATTTGCTAATTTACAGTGAATCATATTTCACATTCTTTATTCCTGTAAAATCTTTTTAATTTGAATTCTTAAAAGCTATTCTTTTAATTTCCATCCTTGGAATTCTCGATAATCATATGTATTCTTATAAAATCTTAGATATGTAAACTAATAAAGATAATATTATCAACATAACCTGCAGACTATTTATTTTGTAAAGCGACACATTGAGAAAGAACTTTGTCAGCTAAGTTTTTTATCGCAAGTATGATTCTGCGACAAACATTAATAATTCAGCATTAATAATTCTGTGATACTGTGTCTTTTGTACGTGTGATGATATCAGAGATTTTTTTGGCGAAGATCAAAATGCCAATATATATATAACAAGGATAGTAATATGTCCGTTTTATTTTGGAACATCTGTAGAGGCAGGAAAATCGATTAATATCGTGATAACATGTTTCAAGAAGCTAGCCGAACGAATAACTTATTATTACTTCGCGGAATATACGAGTTCGTTTGATCAAGGATATTAACGATGTGAGTGTGAATATTAGTAAGTTTGATTAGATTTTATTAGTTTACTTGATTTTTGCGCAAGTCAGATAAAAGGGTTCACTAACTGTCTCTCCTTCTTTGTAATGAGTCTAAAGTTCGATTTTTGGAATAAACCTTTTAAGGGAATTACGTTATTCATATCAACGCGCACTCTTTAATTTACAATAGAAAAATTTAACGCTATCCCGTATATTAAAGATTATCAAAGGGACATCGGTTTAATCCGCACAAATCATTAATTCAATGATGAAAATATATGCCAGAACTTTCGAGCAAAAAAACATCAAACATGACGAACATAACATCTCTTTTTTCTAGACGCATTGCGATTATAAAATGGTGTAGTCAAACCAAATAAAGCATAGAAATACCAAATCTGAATATCTGATGCCAATGATATTTATTAAATTTTAGGCTTTTAGCCCATGATACAAGATAAAATTTTTATCTATGCACGATTATTTTGGTTATCTAGAAGATTTTGACCATCTTGATTTTGACGATTCACAAATCCTTGTAAATTTCTTCTCCTTTTTCCGAAGGAAGTTGTAGGCAATGCTGGTTAATTTCTCTTTGTGTTCTTTGAAATCAAGCAAATGTCCGAGGCGAATTTTACCAGCACTCATTGTAGGAACTTGCCGTAAAATACTGGTCGACTTTTTAATTCTCATCGAGCCTACATTTTCTAAAAAAAAAAAAAAATCATATTAGAGATACAACTGTACTGTGATGTAACGAACATAACACTACATTAAGTGATACTATTTAGATTAATTGACAAATCCGCCGTTTGTTGCTGAACAAGCTGAACCATTTCCCGGTTCATTCTCTCCAATTCTTGATTCGTTCTTTCCAATTCTTAATTTTTAAACAGAAGTGGCGAATTAACAATAACATGAGTCATTCCTTTTTTTGGAAGATTTTTCTCATCCCAGCATTCACTAATATATAATCCCGAATTTACGAAATCAATCTTGGAAAGTTTTTTTGCTGAACATGATCTGAAGTGATATATCTATAGGCGAAAATTTGTGGATATGTGTGATGGACGGGATAATTTATTTGGAAACTTGTTTTTTATAGATAGTAGCTATAGAAATTTCCGGAAATGTAAGAACTCCCTCCCTTGAAAGTATAGCACTGTTGATCGGGATTTGTTTATTTTTATTAAGTATTCTAGAAAAATACAAAATCTGATGTTAGAAAAGTCTTAAAAGGTTATAAATGGTGTATACTAATAGAAAAAATTTATAATATAAATTATTTGTTTATTTAGACACTGAGAATATAAAAATAACTAATAATCACTGATGTGAAATTGATACCTGACGCGTCACTACAGGTGACGACACGTACACAAATCGATACCTCTGATATACTGTAAGTATAAATTATTATTATAAATCATTATCATATTGCCTTAATAATAGATTTATTTACTTATGCGTCAATTAGATTCATACTTATTTATTAATGTATATTGAATATATATACAGTATATATTAGGTTTAATATGTATATTTAAATATACTCTTCTTTGACGATTTTTTTAAAAAAATAATGAACAAGGACATAATTTTCCTAATACTAAAAGAACTTCAAGATGACAGAAAATCCCTTTATTCGTGTCTTTTAGCAAATAAAATTTGGTGTGAAACAACAGTACCATTTTTATGGAAACTTGCTGGAAGGTATAAACCAACAAAAAATGCAATGGAAATATTATTTAATGTAATACTTTCGCATTTATCTGAAGAATCAAAGAATATTTTGAAGGTTCAAGTAATTGATCTCTTTATAAAAGTATATAAACGACCTTCATTTAATTATATTTATTACTGGAGATATTTAAATTTATATCTTTTAGAATTTATGATTCATTCTAAGAAAGTTGAAGAATTCAAAATAACTATTATGAGGAATGAAATTTTAAAATTATTCATTAATAAGAATACAAAATTCATTGGTCTTTATATACCACAAAATTTTAGTTATCCAATACATCTTATTTTTGGAGCTGAATATTGTTTATCAACAATTGAATATTTGAGCTGTGATGCAAATACAAATCAAAGTATTTTAAAAGGATTATCTAAAATATGCAAATCAATTAAAAAATTGAGATTTGATATTATTCAAGATTTTAAAATGGTTGAATTAATTAAAGCTCAAAAAAATCTCAATGATATTTATATGAGTTGTTATTCATATTTAAGAGACGAACTATATTGTAATAATCTTGAAGAATCACTTATTAAAAATTCAGATACAATTCAATATCTAAGAATAGATTGGACTCCTATTACACAAACTCTTTCATTACTTACACATATGATAAATCCGGATCCGTCAGCTCATTTAGGAGCTCCTATTTTTTCACTTTTAAGAGAAAGACAAGTTTCTTTTAAAATTCTAAAAAGTTTAATTGAAAATACAAAAGGAAATCTTACTGAAATTAGTATTTATTATTATGATAAGAATGATAATAGGATGCTTATAAAATCAATTTATCAAAATTGTCCATTACTTAGATATCTTAAATTGTTAATTCACAATGATATTATTTCAGAGTTAGAAATGTTATTAACTAATTGCCAATATTTAAATGGATTAGTTATAATAATATTAGAAAATGGATTTGATTGGAATAATTTATTTAAAATATTAATCAGATCATCACCAACTAGTTTGTTTAAATTTAAATTTTCATCATATGGACTTAAATTGGAATCTTTAAAATTACTTCTTGATAGTTGGAAAGGGAGACATCCTATGTTATTACAAATCATTCCATATTGTAATTTTACAATAATGTTACCACAAAAATTACATCATCAGCTACAAATAGGTTGTTTAATCAAAGATTATGAAGCAAACGGAACAATTGAAAAATATGACGTAGATTGGTATGGCCAAGATTTTGAAGATTTTAAATGGGTTCAAGGTGAATCCATTACTTATTTTAATTAAAAAGCAGTTTTTGTTAAAAAAAGACTTCTTTAAAATTTTGTTATCTTTACTACATACTAAATAGGATAATAAAAAAATATTTATCTGTTATACATTTAATAAAGCTATTTATAATGAATTTTTCATAATTTTTTATAAATTAAGTTTTTGCTTCTGATTAAATTTGTTTTTTCCACATTAGTTTTGATGGATTTGATGGTTTCGATAGATTCTGCAAGCATCAGCTAAATCTGGACAAGGAATTCTGGCTCTGGACAGATATACATAAACAAAAACCTAATGACTTTTGAGCAAAGAGCGACCTTGTTAATGTTTTTATTAGCAGAAAGTAGCTTAAATTAACCTATCAGTTAACAAGACTTTCGGAACTTATTTATGATAAAAGTTTCAATTTATAAGGGAAGTAGGCTAAGTATTATATTATATTTTCAACTATATACTTAGATTACATAAATACCAAATGATTGTTATAATAATAATTGTTTTGATTTACTTACATTAATGTTTTAATATATGATACTATTGTGATTATAACTGGGTTCAACTAAATTGGTAAAATATTACAGGACCAAGTTTTTCTCAATTCAATTTAATTTGCAAGTATCATTTTGTCATAAATGAATTGAATTGAGTCACCAAACCTAAATTTATTTTGGAATTTTGTAAAACTTTTTGAAACCAAGAATATCATTTATTAATAATTAGTTTAAATTATAAAAGATAGGTTATGAAAAATCTTGTAGTTTAAAGCATACTGATTGTTTTAGACTTATTTGCTTTGGTTATTTTTTATAATATTAAATTATTAAAATTCTCTTCTCTAACAGCTTGAAGAATTTTATTTTCAAATTTTGGCCAATTTCTTTCTTAACAGCTTGAATCATTTCATCTTTAATAATTTATAATTAAAACCTCTTATTATTACCATAACTATAATTACCATAACTATAATTACCATTAACTACTTCTGAAGCTGGAATTATTGGTTCACGTTTTGTTGTAATTTCATCATTCCTAGGTATTTGAATAATACCTTCTCCATGCCTGTTCATAATTTGTTAATATTCGATAAGCCTTCCATGATAATTCTACTGTAGTATCAGATGGCACAGAAATACCAAGGTAAAAAAAATTCTTTTACTGGGTTTCCATCTAATCCATACAAGACCCCGAAATATATATATGGAGGTCAGGTTAACTTGTACGCATGTTTTTCAGGGCCGAAATTATGCTAATGTCGGTCAGTTACTAAAGTAGGTAATAATTTTGACTGGCATTATATAAAAATTATATAAAAAAGGAAAGATCTACACGACTTTGGGTCATATCACTCAAAATATACAATTTATTATCAATGAGTGTCCAATACTTGAAATAGTATCTAATATAATAATTATATTATTTAGAAATTAAATATGCAAATATTTATTTATTTATTTTTGTAAAGAAAAAATCTTAACGTATTTATATTTTTAGCATTACGCTTAGTCTTAAAGACACAACATTGTTAGGTTAATGCACAAACAACGGATCATACCATTTCAGAAATTATTTGAATTACCATGCCGGCCAAGTTTTGATAATGTGGGCCAAAATTTGTTATAATGCGGGTCATGTTGCTATTTTCGGGCAAATACGGTATTTACATTTTTATTTGTACAAATTCATTGACACCTTCTATGTGATATACTGTAAACTACGTTATTAAGGAATTTTTTTTCCATCAACCAATTTAAAATATTATTCAAAATTATTCGTTTTGCTTAAAACAAACAACTTACCAAACTGTAATACCACCGCGAATTTCTTCAAATTACAAAATTACAAATTTACAATTACAATGCAACATCGTTCCGTGATAAGAAATATTAAATTAACGAATGTAAATACAATGTAAATGACTTTATTACGTAATTGAATAGATATCAACATAACTCAATTAAAAGAAATAACAAAATCGTGCTGCCTCAGCCAACGATCTCGTTATCTAGATTCTTGAGCTCTCCTCGTATATAATTAAATAATCCTAGGAACAAATGTTACTTTTTACTACAACTGTTCTAATGTATAAGTTATCTAAAGTATAATAGGTCATACTTCAAATAACAGACTCTTTCTTCGCCACTCGGATCTTGATCATCATTTGAATTAGAATGTATTTTTAGTAATCCAAAAATTTTAACCACATCAAGTAGATAATCTGAATACTAACCTTAAGGTTTCCATGGATTCAATGGCTAATAAATATGCCGTGTCACATTACAAACCAATTAAAATTAAGAAGGTCTAATTCGAGTCAAGGTTAAGGACGCTCTTACTACTTATACTTTTACAGAAATCTCATTATTTTAAACGATATCATTTTGATATCATTATGATATCGTCACAATATAGCTATATACAATATCAAAATTATATTGAATAATATAATTTTTTATAGGGCTCAAAACCCGACCCGACTTGACCCCTTCGGAACACTTTGTATGTTTGTATGCAATATACTCTTTAAAAATCATGCAATGATCCTATAATCGCGTAGATAAATAATTATTATGCTGGGTCCCCCAAAAGGTTATTGCAACCAGCCTTAAGGTCTTCTCTTCCGCTCTTATCTCCAGTCTAGTACAAACGAACCCTCACCGGCTCAACCTGTGCCAATTATTCACTCGCCAGTGCTCTTTCTTCAAACTGAAGACTTTATTAGTCATACAACAAAAGTGATTATGTGAAGAAATAAAATTTAAATCTTTAAGGACTGAGTTAATCACTACTTACAGAAACCTTAACTATTTATTAATAGGTTCGGATCGATTAGAAATACAGTCAGACCTCTATAATTGCACTCTCCATAATTGCACCCACTATGTATACCCTCTCTAAATGCACCCTCTGTTTCTGTCCCAAGTTTATATGATCTCTAATTATTTTACCTCTATAAATGCACACCCTCTTTAAATGCACTATTTTGAAAATTATGCATATGGTCCCAAGGGGTGTGCAATTATGGAGGTCTGACTGTAACTAATTTTTTATATCACAATTATTCACAATAATAGTAATTAGCAGCGTATAAAATATATTCTAAAATTGCCGGATTTTCTGAAAGATTCCTTGTAAAACCGGAAAGATTTTTAGATTCCAGAATTTTTTTTTGGATATGCCATATTAGATTTCCGGGAAATTTTATTAGTACCGGAATATATTCAGTGAAATCCTTTTTTTTACAGCTGTTTGCAAAATAACGGACCACCTAATTCGATTTTCGACTGCGTATGAAATTTACGCAGTCATACACACATAGTAAACTGCTAGAATTATGTGATATAACTGCGGATAACTGCATATGAAAAATTCAAAAAATGAGTTTGACAGTCCGGGCAGATATTACCATGCGTATGACTGCGTATGTATGTAGTCGAAAAATGAAAAGCAAATCCGGAATTTTCAATTTGGATTTTTTCCGGTATTTTTTTAGAGATTTTTTACACGCTGGTGATTAGTAAAATAAAATGCAGAGGTTTTAACAATATGTGACTATGTCTCAACTCTCAAAGTGAATAGATTACTCGGACAAAATTCAGTTTTATAATAATGCTGGTCGAATTAACTGTCAAAAGAATTTTTTGGTTGATTTAATAAAGCTTTACTTGGTTTATTAACAAGCATCCTTTTTTAAATAATCTGCTTATTTTAATAACTTTATTCATGAGTTTAAAGAATAAATTTATTGTTGGTCATTCACTTGATAATGAATTTTATCTTTGAAAAGATAATTGGAAACATTATATATTATGTAATTTTGAAATTGTGAACAGTAATATATATATTAAGATGAAAACCAAATACTGTATTTTGTTGGTCATAACTTATTATTTAAAATTTTTTTAATTATATATTGATATTTGTCAAAAATATTATTAAAATTAAAAATCAAAGGTAAAATTCTTGTTACTTGAAAGCATACTTAATTCTTAATGATATTAATCCTAATCTTGTTTTTCATTATTTTTTGTAATATTATTATTATTAAGATTTTCTCCTCTGACCGCTTGAATAATTTCATTTTTCAAATTTTGGCTGATTTCTTGTTTGACAGCTTGAAGCATTTCATCCTTAAAAAGTTGTAATAATAATCTGTCATGATTGGATGTTGAAATTACTTCTTGCTGATTATGATTACTAGTAACTAATGCTGAGGTTGGAATTCTTGGTTCATGATTAGTTGTAGATTCATATTCGAGCGTTTGCCCATTTGTTGGAATTAGTACTGGTTCATGGTTGGTTGTATTACCATTTTCGTATGTTAAACTGATTTCTTTTTCATGATAACCATTATCTTCATTAATAACTAGAGTTGGAATTAATATTGGTTCATGATTAGTGGTATTTTCATTTTTGGATGTTTCCATGATTTCTCGTCCATGATGATCATTATTCTTATTAATTACTGAAGCCGGAATTATTGTTGGTTCATGATTAATTGTATTTTCATTGTTGGGTGTTATAATTTCTTGTTCATGATAATCCTCATTAATTACTGAAGCCGGAATTATTGTTGGTTCATGGTTAATTGTATTTTTGTTGTTGGGTGTTTCCATAATTTCTTGTTCATGATAATCATCCTCATTAATTACTGAAGCCGGAATTATTGTTGGTTCATGATTAATTGTATTTTCGTTGTTGGGTGTTTCCATAATTTCTCGTTCATGATAATCATTATTCTCATTAATTACTGGAACTGGAATTATTGTTGGTTCATGATTAATTGTATTTTCGTTTTTTGATATTACCATAATTTCTTGTCCATGATAATCATTATTTTCATTAATTACTGGAACTGGAATTATTATTTGTTCATTATTAATTGTATTTTCATTTTTGGATATTTCCATAATTTCTCGTCCATGATAATCAATATTCTCATTAATTACTGGAACTGGAATTATTGTTGGTTCATGGTTAATGGTTTTTTCATTTAAAGGTACTTGAATAATTTCTTGCTCATTATTATTGACTTTTTCAATAGGAATTTCTATTTCTTCTTGACCAAAATTATCTTTCCCATGATTAGTTTTTTGTTTCTTCCTATTTTTATTCCATTTATATATAAAGAAACTTCCAACTAATAAGAAAATACCACTTACCAAGAACCCCACAATTGTACCAATTGATGTTTGTGATGATGAAGGTAATGGTAAGTAAGGAGAAGGTGATGTGGTTATTGATGTTTGTGATGATGAAGGTAATGATGTTGTTGATGATGAAGGCAGTGATGAATTCGATGATGATGATGGTATAATAACATTTGGTTTTGGAGGATCAAATATTGTTGTCCATATATATTCTTCATTATTACTAATATCAAGTAATAATATATCACTTTCAACTGATTTATCATAACCATGTCCTATTAAAGTTGATTGATTTTGGTTAAAATAATTAATTTGTTTAAACCATAGTATATAGAATATTATATTCACCAAATGATATAACCATATATTTCCCAATAACATTTGCTTGATGCCTGGCTCTTGGTTCTGGAATATTTCCACTAGTTTTTGGAATATACCAATTAAAATTTGTCAAATCTAATACATAAAGTGAATTGTCTAAATATCCAGGATCATTGAAGTAACCTCCATAAATTATGACTTTTTGACCATCTAAACCTGTTAAAAACATTATTAATTGATTTATAATTAATAATTAATATTTTCATTATTAATAATTATAGAATTATTATTTAATTGCATACCAAGGACAGCAGAAAAACTGCCTCTATTAGAAGGGATATTTCCTGTTGTTTTCTGAATTACAGTTAATAAAGTTAATTCACAAATTAAATATTTTCACTACTATAATAATTTATATAACCTACTTCTGTATTCCAGCTATCATTAATTATATCATAAATGTAGACCTATAGTAATTATAGATAATTTTCTTCATTAAAAATAAATTCCTGTGCAATTATGTAATTTATAGTTGCAAAATTTTACCTCATTTAATGTTATAGTGAGACGATTTTCATGAATAAGCAAAGTTTTAGGATCATATGAAAGAGTAATATCATCATTACCACCTAAGTAATAAATGCTCATTAATAAAATAATAAATAAAACATAATTAATAAACAATTGAAAATTATAAAACTATTCACTTACCCATATAAATAATCTTATTGTCGGGTAATAAAGCGAACTTCTCGGAGTTGGTGCATTAACTAAACTTCCCTTTTCCCAATTAAGATTTACCGTATCTAAAATAGTCATATCATTTGCATAAGCTTTTCTACTAGAATATCCACCAAATAAATATAACTTTTCATTAGGAGCCAAAATGCCTTTTAAAACAACTTGCGCAATAGCAACAACTCCGGCTATTTTTGGAATACTCCATGAACTAGTTCGTGTGTTAAATGTGTAAACCAATGCCATTGTTTTATCAGGTCTAAAGCCTCCGTATAAAAATATTGTATCATTATTTGCAACTGATGTTGCAGAACTATGTGGTGGAAGCATATTAATATTTGTTAAGTCTTTCCATAATAAATTTTGTGTATTAAATGGAACAGAAACATCAAGATAAAAAAATTCTTTTCCGACATAATTTTCCTTTATATTGAGACCACCCAAAATATACAATTTATTATCAATAAATGTAGCAGTATGATCGAATGATACACTTGGCTTAATAGGTGCCATTTGACAATTTACTTCAATTATAATCACTTGAAGTAAGATCCATAATATAATAAAATTATTAACTAAGGAATTTTTTGACATGATACTGTATGTTTTATTTAATTCCTTAATGTGCTAGAAATAAATATTTGAAGGAAAATATTCATTCACCTTATTTTTTAAAAAAAATCTTGCTGTATTTATGTTTTTAGCGTTACGTCTAGTAATTACCAATAAAATATTTATTGCTTAGTTACATAGAACGGTACACACCGAAAATTTTTTAAAGGTTATACAAATGTATTAAACATCGCTTCCATTGCATGTGACTTAAACTACAAGAATTAAGTTTAATAAGTTACGTTCTTTTTTTCATTTACCAGTAATATTTGCCCCGGCTTTACAATTACGATTTAAATAAAGCTTGTTATCAACACGTATGGTTAACGTAAAAAATTTTACCATTCGTATGTTGGAATTTATTTATCAGAGATGGACGGATAAAAATATCTTTATTTTAAAATTTCTATATCAAGTAATATTATAATGCCTATTTTACTTGATAGTAATTAGTTCAATCATCTTGATCAACAAACAAACAAATCCGCTCACTCTGATCCTGTTTGCCTTGTATTACATATAAATTTAATGCATAAGCTTTTGTTACGCTAATTTATTTTTTAATTTGTAAAATATTTTATTGAATAGTCAAAGCATGTTTTATTATTATGTTAATGATTAGAACAAATAAATCAATTAGTGAAAAACAAATATGAATTAACTTTTATTTAGTTTTGCAATTTCACATGACGATCAACACTTGCTAGCTAGTAATATTGTCACGTGATAATAAATTTATCGCGTTGATATATTAAAGTAAAATATTTTTATACAACAACCTGTACAATACTTGAAGCAAATTGGTCTATTACTTCTATCATACTATCCCTCATATAAAGAAAAACTTTTATGATACAATTTTTTTGCTCTTAAAATTCTAAATATTTTAAGTATACTACAACTTTGGACAAATTATACTAATAGTTCTTCTTAGTTTTTCCATGCTGTTTAACGAACCAGACCTTAATAATTATATACAATGGTTGTTGTATAGTAAGTACTTGGACTAAATTTCTACAAAAAGCTTTTCACTATTAGTACAAATTTTAATCATAAATTTTCAAACTTTACATAGTAAAAAACCTATAAAAACCTCTCGTTACTGTTATTAAGAGAAGCCTAACCTAAAGTCGGATCTGTTTAAACTGAAACCGAATCTTGGTTGAGAAAAGACTGTTGAACTTTCTTAACCGGTTAAGGTATCTCAAAAATAAATTATCAATTAACTGGCCAAATTATTTCAATGCGGCTCAGAGACGTGAAATTTCTGTCATGTTCTCCATAATAATCATTATACTATTAACAAAATTCGTTTGTTAAAGTTTAAGATTATCCTTACATCTAAATATACGAATAAAAACAATTTACTCGATTAATTAATCGGTCTTGGTTAATCAGTTCTTGATCGGTTAAAGCTTTTTTTAGTCGATTCCAATCTTTAGTCATAATAACTATAATAATTTTCCAAAACTTCTGAAATTCATATATTAACTGATTAATTAATCGATTATTATTAGTTGGTCAATCGATTATTAATCGGTTAAGGTTTTGGATATTTCCATAATTTCTTGTCCATGATAATTAATATTCTCAGTAATTACTGGACTGGAATTATTGTTGGTTCTGGTTAATGGTTTTTTCATTTAAAGGTACTTGAATAATTTCTTGCCTCATTATTATTAACTTTTTCAGTAGGAATTACTATCTCTTGACCAAAATCATCTTTCCCACGATTAGTTTTTGTTTCTTCTTATTTTTATTCCGTTTATAGTATATAAAGAAACTTCCAACTAATAAGTAAGTTATTGGTGGAGGTAATGATGAAGATAATGATGTGATGATGAAGTCAGTGATGAATTTGACGATGATGATGGTGGTATAATAACGTTTGAGTCTGGAGGATCAAATATTGTTATCCATATATATTCTTCATTATTACTAATATCAAGTAATAATATATCACTTTCAACTGATTTATCACAACCACGTCCTATTAAAGTTGATCGATTTTGGTTAAAACTGAATAATTAATTTGTTTAAACCATAGTATATAGAATATTATATTTATCAAATGACATAACCATATATTTTTCAATAACATTTGAATATTTCCAGTAGTTTTTGGAATATACCAATTAAAAATTGTCAAATCTAATACATAAAGTGAATTGTCTAAATATCCAGGATCATTAAAGTAACCTCTATAAATTATGATTCTTTGGCCATCTAAACCCGTTAAATTTATTATTGAATAATTAATAATCAATATTTCATTATTAATATAAATCATAGGATTCTTATTTAATTACATTGAAATATCACCTCTATTAGAAGGAATTTTCACTCTTGTTTTCTGAAATTCAGTTAATAAAGTTAATTCGCAATTTAAAATAATTTGATAACTTACCACAGTCGGTATTCCAACTATCATTAATTATATCATAAATATAGACCTATAATTATAAAATAGTTTTCTTCATTAAAAATTACTTTGTCTTGATATACTATATTTACAAAATTTACCTCATTTAATGTTATAATGAGACGATTTTCATGAACTTTCAAAGTTTTAGGATCATATGAAAGAGTAGCGTTGTTATAACCACCTAGTAAATAATAAATGTTCATTAGTAGATAAATGAAGCACGTGCAAAATGTAAATAATTTACAAAATTACTCGCTTACCTATATCAAATAATCTTATTGTTGGGCAATAAATAAGGATGGACATCGGCTCTAAAAGACCGTGGTCCTACGGTCTTTTTACACCCTAAAAAGACGGACCGGTTGGTGTAGGACTGCGGTCTTTTGATCCTGTATCGCATACTTATTAAGGACCGCAATACTGTATTTTTAAGACCGATTGGTCTTTTTCTTTATAAAAAAAATTTTTTAACTTCAAATTTAATATAAAAATCATTTATTATATGAAGACCGGTATGAGGACTGGTCAGTCCTCGGGACCGGTCCTAAAAAAAATGTAAGACCGCGGTCCGGTCCTACAAGTCCTGGGACCGAGTAGGACCGGTAAGTCCGATGTCCATCCTTAGCTAATAATAAAGCAGCACCATATTGAGCTCTCAAAGTCGGTGCGTTAACTAAATTACCATCCAAATAAGCATATCATTCATAAAATCCTTATCGATACGTCCGCCCCATAAAAAAAAATTTCATTATAGTCCATAACTCCTGTTAATTCATATTTCTTAATAGTATCAGCTTCACCTATTTTTGGAATACTCCATAAATTAGTTTTGAGTATTAAATGTGTAAACCGATTCCATTGTTTTATCAGATGCATATAAATAGTGTATCATTATTTGCGCCTCCTTTAGCCGATGTTTAAAACTAGTATGTGATGGAAGCATATTAATATTTGTCAACTAAAGTCTTTCCATAATAAATTTTGTGTATTAAATGGAAATGGAACAGAAACATCAAGATAAAAAAATTCTTTCTGACAGAATATTTCTTTAAATTAAGACCACCCAAAATATACAATTTATTTTTAACAAATGTAGCAGTGTGACCGAATACTACAATTGGCTTAGAAGGTGCCAATTGACTATTCACTTCAACTACTATTTGAAGTAAAATCCATAATATAAAATTAACTAAGGTATTTTTTGACATGATATATTTTATTTAATGTTTTAACGTGCTAGAAATAAATATTTGAAGGAAAATCTTGCCATATTTATGTTTTTAGCGTTACGTTTAGTAATTACTAGCAAAAGATTTATTGCATGGTTACATTGATCGAACATTTATTCAAATATATATTATTTACTCACAGATGTATTAACATAATGCGAGTTAATGACGGACTGTATATTATTAAATTTGATAATTGAAATTGATGTTTTTTCCACTAACCAATAATATTATCGCGAATTTTAAATTAACGATTTTGATAAACGAATAATTAACAATATGCGGTGTAATAAACAAACATTCTCCTGTAAACATGCAAGCATGCATTTGAAATTCGTTCAACTAAGCTGCTTTAAGTAAGTAATTCGATTGCAGACTTTCGTGCTCTAAGATTTCAAGTCAGAATTATTTTTCATGGTTACGGTACGTTTCACCGAAATCTAAACCAATTTCACTGAAGCCATTTTGCCGAAATAAGATTTCGCCGAAGGGGCATTTCACTGAATTGAAATTTTGCCGAATAGAAGGTCCATTCCGCCCAAAACTATCCAATTAATTAAGAAATCATTTTCAGCAAAATGAAGATTAATTTATTCGATCAATATCAGTTTTTTTTTTAAAAAAAAAGAAAAATAGAATAAAATTAAGTTGTTTATTTTTTACGTAACAATTAATATAAGTCACTTGAATGTTAAAGTGATAATACTCTGAAAGAAAGTTATTTAATATAAAAGTAGTTTTAAAAGAATTTGTTCTTTAAAAATTTTTATTTTTATCGGCGCATTGATATTTTCTCGCTACTAGTTCGGTGAAATATCCATCCAGCGAAATGCTATTCGATGAAATGACACTTGACGGAATTTCACTTCAGTGAAACAACTTCGGTGATGAAATGGGTTTCAGTAAAATAGACTTCAGTGAAATAGGTAACGTATCATGAATTTTTCCTGATAAGGCGAGATACTCGTAATTACAAAAGTGAAAAATGATTGACATGCAAATAATACGATATACTACTGTATTATTACTGTAAATTAACACACTAATGGCTAAAAATAATTTCCATTTTGAATTTCTATATTAAGTAATATAATAATGAGATTGTTTGTGCATATCATTAAATTTGTTACCTTATTTTATGGATGGCACGTGATTTAAACAAGATGTCTTAAAACAATTTAAATCAGTTTTTTTATTGCTTTAAAACGTTTTTTTGTTTTAAAACATTGATCGGCATGATTATTTACGTAATTATATTTTAATCAATAAACAACCTTTAGTGATCTCTTTGCAAATCAGCTTTTTTAAAATTAGTAAGCACTTTGAAAAAGTTACAAAAATTGACGGACGTGGTCGAAAAACACCTCGTCAAAAGTGTAATATTGTGGAAATGACATTATTGATTTAATTGATCGATTAAATCATTTGATGAAATGTGAAAGTCTTCCAGAAGATTTAAAATTATCGCTGTTTTCAGTTTAGTGCGATCATAGCGTAACACCAGGACCCAGAAATATATATACAGGGGTAGGGTACACAGATGCGTCGCCATCATAGTGGAATTTTTTTTTTTTTTAAACCATCATAGTGGAATTAGACGGAGTAAAGTTTTGATTTGCGTACAATTTTAGAATTTTTCATCTATAGTTAGGTCATCAAGATTGCGTATTTTTTATCAAAATTTTTATATGTAAAAATTAGTTTGCGTATTTTTGGCCTAAATTTGGCTAATCTTATATATATAATATATTTACTGTACGTACTTATTTAATTAACTGCATTGTAATATTTAGTATTAATTGAAAGAAATTTCTAAAGGTTAAAAAGTGAAATTTTAGAAAAATATTATTGAAACAAATGGTAAATTCTATTTTTTCACATTAGTATTTGGTTTTATAAATAATATAGAAGCCATGATAAAATAATTAATAACTTAATGTCTGAAATTTTATTTGCGTATTTTTGCAGGATTTTCAATATCAGGTGTCAATTATGCGTACTACTCATATAAAAAGTCTCTGCGTACAGCTCATAGTAAAAAAATTTTTCGCCACCTGACCCCTATATATATATTTCTGGGTCCTGTAACACCCCTAAAAATAATCAATTTTTAAAAATTTGATTTTTTAAATAATCATCTAGAAAAGGGTTGATTACCTATGATTACCAGGGGAAATTTTGGAAAATTCCCAATTATTTGAGTAGTTTACTTATAAAAAACTATTATTGTTACACAAAGTTAAAAACTTGCTTATTAAGTAAACTACCCGAAAAATTGAGATTATTCTATAATTTCCACTGGTATTCACAGGTTATCCTCTATTTTCTAAATGATTTTTTAGAAAATCACAAAATTTTTGATAATCATATTTTTATAGGAGTGCTAGCTGTGATCGTACTAATTGAAAACAGCAATAATACATATTACAATAAAATGCTTAAATTTTTATTGCAAATATGTATTACGTAATAAAGGCTAGTAAAATGCTTGAATGGTACCCATTCAAGGAATTTATAATTCCAATTCCATTTATTATCATTTGTCATAATCTTCTGGCTTGCACATTGTATCAATGATATCAGGATAACAGGATTTTCACTTGTCCATCCTTCCATTATTCTAAATGGGTCACACCTTATTTATACAATGCATGCAGGTACCATTTATTTGATCGAAAATAAACAAGTAAAATAAGCTATGGCATTAGTGCCTTTGCCTTAATATATATATACCATACCGCACTGCTTAAGATACCTTCCTTTGAGAATACCGTCCAAAGACCGGATACAATATATATATATATATTGTAGAATTAGGCTAAATACCATAGGTTATTATATAAGTTTTAATCAAGTATTTTGTATTATACCCGGGGTATCTTAAGCAGTGCGGTACGGTATACCTTATAAAAAATTATTCCGATAAAGGGCTCATTTTTCTAGAAAAACTTAAACGCGTGATTAGTTTTGTAAAAAAAAAAAATTTTTATGGCTTTAATGGTGAGTAGGAATCTAGACAAAATACTTGAGGCTTAAACAAATGTTGAAACTAAAATTAAAGCCGTATGGTGCAAAATTATACTTTCGGCTTGTAATTATTAATTAAAGAATTTAAAAGCAAAGTTGAACTTATACAACTGAACCACTAAATTGTATATATATATTATTTTTTCTTAAACTAGTTGAAACATAATATTTGTGGTAATATCCAGTTATTTCAGTTGTTATAGTTGTTGTTATTATAAAACTTATAATCTAATTTTATCTCATCATGAAATTTTTTAGGTAAATCAGTCCATGTAGTTCCACATGGATTGGTTCAGAAATATATGGAATTCCATACATTGCACCGTGCCAGTACACTAGGTCGGCCACGACCCCTCACTAATACATTTTATTAAAAAAAACGAAATAATTCCGATGATTGGGTTGATCAGATGACAAATCACAGATCAGTAACGTAATATAGTATCATGTGACTTTAATTTACTTACTTAGCCAATTTCCGTTACTTACTTTCTATATATTAGGTGTATCATTACAAAGATTATTAATTAGAAATCCGACGATTCTTTCTATTGAAAATATATCAATTTATTGTTCAAATCTTATTTTTTAAAAATAATAATTGATACTCGATTCCCATGTATCCATTCACAATGTAGTAAAGAAAATTACCTGAAGGGCGCTAAAGCGTACAGGGAAAATCATGATGATTTTTTGTACACCTTGTCTATTAATCATCCTAGATTCCATCCTTCATGATTTTTTGAGGAAGGATCTACGCCGAAAATATCACGTGTATTGTCACAGGGTATTTGGAAAAGAGAATAACTGGGAAGGCATTCCTAGTAAAAGCTTCAAAACTGGATTGTACCAGCATTAACATAATTCCTTACCCAGTTAATTTTCCCCCGGTTAAGACCCTATAAAAAAAAATTTTGGAAAAACTCCTGTAAATGATCATTTTTCTAGTTTTTATTAAGAAACTCAGACACGTGATCATGTTTCTGAAAAAATTTTTTATAGGGATATTAGAACTATTCAGATTTCCACATATTTCTACAATATTCGATGTGGATTTCCATGTGGATTTTAAGTGGAAAAATTTCTGTACAAACAAATTTTATTCGAGTTTATAGAACGAGCGAAAACTCCGGATTTCTATGTATATAAAGTTTTTCAATAATGGTTAAAAATTGTTTAAATTATTCATTACCTGCACTTTTTTATTTTTTAATAAAAACTTCTGGTTGAAGAGATCCCAATTAACGAAATTTGAATTAGTATTATTATTATTAGTTATAACTAATTAAATTATTAAGTAATAATAAATAATATCTAGATTTTTAGAGATATGATAACTTGGTTTTGGTTTAAATGAGTGTATGATGGCATCCATGTGACATTGTGACATACACAAGTGATAAATAAGATGAACTGGCCAAAATTATTATAATGCGAGCCGAAAGTGTATTTCTCTTTATATGTTACATGCTTAAATAACACCAATTCACCACCCTTTCTTCTTACCTAATTAACACACGGTATCCACAGTTTTATTTTAATCACTGTAACTTAAAGAGCCCTTGCATAGTGGATCCGTTTACAAGCAAAACAAATATGCAAGAAGTAGTAAAGTAACAGCCCGTTATTATAATATTACTTAATATAGAAATTCAACGCCACTGATTTGCATTTCTAGAAAAAAATGAGTTTAACGCCAACCCGGCCCGGCCCGGACCCGGCAAACTTAATTCATAACAATACTTATATCATCTCTTATTAGAAAAAGATGATTTTAATGTTACTTTATAATTAATAAATAATTGAAATGGAGATTTGGAAATGTTTCTGTTTCTTTAAAATTATTCAAACTTTTTTTTTTTTTTTTTTAAAAAAAAAAAATTGATCGGATGGGCGAAATTTAATACGATTTTTTAAAAATATATTTATTTAAAAGGATAAAAAAAATTTTTTTTTATATATATATGAGTTTACATTAGGTCATAAAATTTGTTGGCTGCAAGGTATTTAATTTCATGATTTGATTTGGATTTCATTTTTATCTAAGTGTTAAATTCCTTTCTTATTCATTGATTATTGATTGTTTTTAAGTACTTAAGTATCAATTGCTTTATAATTATGAATATATTTTTCAGTAGCTAGAAATGGGATAACCACAGCATCTGTTACGTAAATCACATGATATGTGACTATCATATATATTAGAGGTTAAGATGCAGGGACGATGATTTTATGGGGTTTCACGATAAATCACAAAAGTACAATTCATAACATGCAGGCTGCGTTATTTACGATAAAATTTATGAAAAAAAGCGCCACAAAAAATCTTTGTGTAGTATTACACCGCATCACACCCATTTTTACAGCTTACAGTATTTTGTCAAATGTAACGTGGTGTACTATCATGTTTACTATCATTTTCATTTTCCATGAAATTCTTATGTTATTTGTTTTATTTGTTCGTATAAGATAAAACTTTACCAGGGAAAAATTTTAGTTCTTGTTTGTGATGCAGGCTGAGTGATTTTTATTTTTGTGTTTATATTACGCTCTCACATTATATCAAATAAATCACGTAATAAAATAAGATTTTTTTTCAAAAAGTTAAATCAAATTTCTTGCTCTGCTTTAACAAATAAACTATCATCAATTAAAGATCTTATATCTATGTGCATAAAGGAAATGTGCTCAATAAAATTTCATTGTATCAAGCTTTCTCTATCAAAATCTGAACATTATTTAGATGATGAATACCAAAGTGTGAATATCGACCTCCAAATTGAATATTTCGTGCCTAATAACTATTGGCTTCTGTCGTAAGTAGAGGTGCAGACATTTTCTTTTTTTAACTACGTCACTCATTAAGTCAATGAAAGGTTGTAATTCGTGACGTAGCTCTATAATATGTAAATTATTATAAAATTTCTATGTGAGCATCTGCAGTGACGTTCTTCTTTGTTACAGCAGTTACGTCGGTAAAGTTTGCATAAGTGAACGTACGTATTACGTAATTCTTGAATTCACTTATCTTTTTTTGGTTAGTGCACCAAACTTACTTTTAATGGATATATTTATCGGTCATGAGACCAAATGATTGAGGTATCTATGAAGTTGATACATTAGCAAATATTTGTTGGCCAATTAAAAATAAATTTTAAAAATATTGTTTACTCAAGAACTTTTAGTATCATAATTAGAAAGTAAGTTTTATTATAATTTTTTAAAATCCTTAAAATTTATTACTTTATAAATTGGTGTAAATTTAAGTTCATTACTGTGTCCTTTAGTAGTACTTAATGTAATACTAATTAGAACTGTAAAAATTGTCATTAAAAAAAATTGAATACTAGATTGACTAATATGTTAGCTAATACAGTATGAGTATGTTAATTATTAATGCATAAGGGAGTTTTTTTTTTATTCAACCATAAATAAATGTATTAAAAATTATCCTCCAAAAAGTATCTGATGAGAAAATATCACTTCAAGGAGGTTTACTTAGCGTTACTTTTTCATAGAAATGCCGTCATGCAAAGTGTTGATGAAAATTTTAAATTTTAAGTATAAACAATCTATATAATAATATAATATATCTTTCATATTTGATATTTCATATTTTAAATTATAAAACATCTAACTTATTATCATTCGTAGCAGTCTCCTTCCTCTCCCTCCTATGTGCATAAGCTGAAATTACCATCACAAAATGCACCTATATTACATAACGAAAGAAAAAAAAAAGAACGTTAGAAAGCTCCTTTTATTTTTAAAAGTGAAATATATAATAATACGTACCGATATAGTGATCGAAAAAACGGCAAGAATAACGAGATACGTTAATAAAATTGGGGATGAAAATAAAATAATAACAATAAACCCCATTACGCTACTTATTATTTCGATCGCTAAAATAACGTAGGCTATTTTAGTATAAATGAACAACATATTGGACGTATTCTAAGTAAGAATTATAGAGTTATAAAATTAGTTATTAAAAATATTAAAGAAAAGATTCTATTTTATAATATTTCTTTCAATATATAATACATACTGCGAGGGTAATAGTGAACAATCCAAATATTGCTCCAATTGTCATTAATCCATAAAGAACAATTATCGTAATAGAATACATTTGGAATGCATTCACATTTCTCAAGTCCGGATCTATGATCATTTATAAATATGTTAACTTTTCTTTTTATTATTATTATTATTATTATTAATTTGGTATGAACTAATTTACCATATTTTTCTGGGTCGTTTAGATTTATAGCGTTGCTTATAACCATATAAATTCCATAAATCTTTTGAATTTTATATAAGAAAATTTTTTTTTTTGTTAGTTAAGATATACAAATGTTATATTATAACTCAATATATTTTTATTTTGAAAAGAAAACATACAAGCCATATCAATGATACAATTACGACACCAGCTTTTAATGGGACGCAGAAACAACATTGGGACGTCATTTTTATCTTATTTTCTTTTTTCTTTCAAAGAATAAAGTTATGGATTTTAATAATTTTAAAAGAAACAAAAGGATAAAAAAAAATGAATGTGCTTTATATATTATTTGTTTTATTTTTCTTTTTTTTTTTTTGTGATAAAAGTCAGATGATATAAGAACTTTTAATAGCTAAAGCAACGACAGGAAATAGAAAATAATAATCAAAAAAAATTCTTGTGAAAAGATAAAAACCACGTTATATATATATATTATTTATAAGAATTTACGAAAATTTGATGGCAATAAAATATTTATGCATGCAATATCTATTTCCGAAATAACCATCATATTGGTCATATAATGAATGTATCAATGTATCACTGTTACCCAAAAGCATCTTCGGAAAAACCACAAAAGTATTACGTAATAAAAGATTATCAATACGAATAGAAAAAAGGGCATGTGTAACTGAACCCAGAAAAAAAAATTTCAGGGGTTCGAATCAATTTACATTGAATTTTTAATTTTTTTTTTTTTTCATTTTTCGGAAATTATTTGTTTTATCAATTAAAAATTATTTCTGTGGAATAATAGGCTGTTATTTTCCGGGAAAATTTATTGCTTTTAAATATTTCCATATTTATCCGACATTATTACGTCAATCATTATTCTTCTATGTAACGTTACTTTTTAATAGTCAATATTGAATGTTCTCCACATTATTTGTCTTTTACTTTCTTTTATTACATCTTTAACAAGAATATAGTAAACAACATTCATAAATACCCTTAAATGGACTATGGAATATCATTTATTTTTTTTGGTAAACGCCTTTTTTCGAAATGAATAATATGTGTAATTAGAATCAATCAAATGATACAACCGCAATAAAATTTTGATATTTTCGATGCTCTGAATGAACTGAATGGATTCACAACGTGAGAATCGTGAACGAATGGTAGTAAGATTTTGCCAAGAGTAAGCTGCGAACACATAATTAATCCATAATTATGCGCGTTATAGACTAAACCTACAAAGTATTAGTTGTTTCGCGTGAAATGTATAAATGTATAATTCCTTATAACTGTGACATTCGTTGCATCCACGTTGCGGTAAAATCTATTAGATTTTGAATTCTGTGAAAAATTAGTTCATCTTATTTCTTTTTCATATTTTTTTTTTATTTTTATTATTTTTATTTTATTGCATACAAACAAATGAAATTCAATCGTGATATATGAATGATATGCAACAAATATTATTATATTAAAATATTCTGTAAACATGGTAAATCATTTTACTAAAACTGGATGTAAGGATGTTCGTAAAAGAAATTAATGTGGCGCAGCTGATTTTCTAACACGCTAACTATATCAAAAATGTGGTTATCCCGATTTACTTTGTCCACATGGTTCGATCATCAAATCGTAAATGAAACCATGTGTTACAACATTATGCATTATTTTATTGTTCTTTGTTAAAAGACAGACACAAAAAAAAAATTTAATTATTTGTTACATTATACGCCAAATACATAATATGAGAATATGAATCTATGATTTCATTAATTTCATTAATTTCATTATCAATACATTACACGAACCGGAATATTTACTTCCCGCTACGATATATACAATACAATAGGATAATTAGATAAATTTGAACTATCTAAAAAAAGCTTGATGTTAAATAATTCTTAATTCCGATACTCTTAATTTAATTTCCCCGTATATTGTAACTTATTGATAAAAAATTTTTTTTTTTTTTTGAAATAACGAATTTATGCGTAAAGGCGTAAGATCGCACCATCTATTTGTCACACAATCTACACTACATTTTTTTTTATACTACTTTTGATTTGTTTAAAATGGAATCGGGTCAGTCTTTTTTTTAAAAAACGGGTTTTCCCTTGAGTTTTTTTTTTGGGGCGGGATTTCCTTTGATTTATGAATTCCTTTTTCATTTAGAATCACATTTTTTTTTTTATTAGAAGGGATTTGTTCTTTTTTTAGAACAGGTTAAAGCATGTAAAAAAGTTGATCCGAGTTTCATATTTATGTTTTATTCCGTAAATGACATAAATGAAGCTAGCGCGATAACGGAATTTGTAATCCTAAATTATGGAAATTTTTAGATTTTTCCGATAAAATGTAAAAAGATTCGCATAGTGAAATATAATCGGAGATATTCGGATTTATCATATATGAATAGATGGGAAGATTTCGAACCTTTTAAACCCTTCTTTCTTTCACGAAGAATAATGGATTTTTTTTTCTTTAGAAATAATAGGAATAAACAGTTGAATTCTTATCTTTTAATAATAAATTTCATTTTTATTTCGTAAAAAATTATATTTTAGATGTAAATAATAGAAATTGTAAAGAAACTTCGTTATAAAATTGTTCTTAGATAAAGTTTAATACCACATGATATTCATGCGCACGTGGGGTCTTTCGCATGAACTTAAAAAAAATTTTTCATCATTTTACATCTTCTCGATAATTTTTATCCTATCGTATTTGTCACCATGTATCACATTTGCATATATTTTGGGACTTTATTTTTTTTGGTTAAAATCTTTATTTATTTGTCACACATTATATAAAGTTTAGGATAAAATTTAGGGTATGATAAGAAGGTAAAGAATTTTGGGGCTGTAATCCTTTACATTTATAACTGATAAGATAACCCTATCAAGAGTCAATCAAGTAAGTAAGATAAGTAATAACTGATAAGTATTTTTAATTTCAATAATGTAAAAAAGTAAAAAAAAATTAAAAAATAAAAGATATTTTGATAAAAAAGATATTTTACTTTATTAGTATAATAATTTTATTTGATTTTACTGTGATTTCTAAAACCAGTTTTTTAAAATTTAATGAATAACATTTTATTACGATGGTAATATAATAATTTCGTGAATCTGCGAATAAAATCAATCAACTGCTTCGGTGCAATATTATATAGTTGATCACTATTCCCAATTTCGTAATATGGACTCACATACAGTATTTGTGTTACTACATAATCTCACATACTTTTTTTTTTTAAAAAAAAAAAACTTTCTCATACATTTATTCTTTAATTGGCGTAATAACGCAGGTTTACATCACTTTTTGCAGGTTTGATTCATGAATCAAAAATTAATATTATTAAATCTGTTTCGAATTATTATTGTTATATATATATGTTAATTTTCAATGATTTTTCAAATGTACAGGAAATAAAAATAACTTTTTTTTTTTTTAATCACGTTAATTCAGGCAGGTACCGAAAAAAAATTTATTTTCAAAAATAAACAAATATGCAGTTAATTGTTCTGTATTACATTAGCATAAAACCGGTCACAACCGGCCGATATCGGAATACCGATTATTAAAATTATTTAAAAGTTTTAACCGACAAAGAAGTTGTCTGACAACATTTCAAAAGGGGGTAATCATCATATACAAATAACAAATTAAATTTATAATTTACTAGTTTTTTCATATAAATGTGTTTCAGCAGCATCAGCAGCAGTAGTTTCTTTTTCTTTTTCATTTCTTCTCTGCGCGTAAGATGCAATTACAATAGCGAAGTATACCTGCATTTATAATAAAAAAAAACAATTAATATTAACTTCCTTTTTTTTTTTAAAAAAAAAACTATGTAAAGTAATAGGTAAATATAATTTTATTTTATTACATACCGAAATAAGAGTTGAAACAACGGCACTCATTATAATAGATTTTAAAAAATCATCATATTCTTCATTACATGCTCCAGATTTTTCGTTAACAGATGCGATAATATTAGCATTTAATTCTGCACATAATTTCAATATATCTGCTTTAAACACAACAGAAACGACTGCTGTTAATATATGACTTATAACATTGATTCCAACAATAACATAAGCTATTTTAGCATATATAGACAACATTCTTGGAATATTCTAAAAATTTTTTCAATTTTGTATAATTAGTAGATATTTTTTTTTTTTTTCAAAATAACATTATCATATTTTAACATTTTTTACTTACTGCATATGTTAATACATATAATCCGAATGCTGCCCCGAAAGTTATTAATGCATTGAAAACAATTGAAGCAATATATTGTACTTTGAAATATATAAGCGCTAATATATGTTGAAAAAAATTAATATATGTATTAAAAAAAATTATATAAAATTAATATATTGATATATATATTAATCACTTAAAAAAAAGTATTAAATGTTAAATAATAAAATAATTTACCATTTACTTTATTTGGTGTGGCGATTCCTAATGAACTGTCTATAATCGCATAAATTCCGAAAATCTTTTTGTTTGAAAAATGAATTTTTTTTTTCTTGTTAAAAGACGTATAAATATATTTTATAAATAATTATACAGATAATAATAAAAAAACATACAAGCCATAACAATGTGATAATAATAACGCCAGATTTTAACGGAATACAAAAGCAACAATTATTAATATGCGGTCTCTTCGTCATTTTTGAAGGGTTTTTATATATTAACTTTACTTTAGCTTTCAAAGGGAAAATAAGTTTTTTTTAAAAGAAGGCAGGGAATTTAAAAACTACCGAAAACTTTGAAATTATTTATAAGAAGCCCGGGAGATCGACTTTTCGGTTTACTACTAAAGCGAAATCCTGTCCCACGTGGGTCCTATGCAAATTACCAAGCCATTAAAGGGGGCGAAGGTTATTTTACAAAAATGGTTCGTGTTATTTTTTTTTTATTTGGATATATATGGAAAAACATGATAAACAGAAAATTTATTATTTAATAAACTCATTCATTATAATAATAATAATAAAGTTGAGAAATCTAGAAATCTTTCTTTTTATAAAGAAATGTAATCAAAGGTTCATTTGTTAACAATTGTCTAAAAATATAATTGTTTCACGTTACAATAAAAAAAAAATTTAATAATGCTGTGTTTTATTTACCTTTTATAATTTTACTATTTTCGTTCGTTTGTTTGTTGTTATACGGTTACACACATTTTGCATTGGAAATGTCCTAACAAATAAATATCGATTTTTACTACGCCATCACTAGTTAATACTTGTGTTTATAGTATATACACATGATCGTGTAGTATGCTCTGAGCCCAATAATGTGTGAAATTTACAACTGAATTGCAGTAAAAAGAAAAAGGTCAAGCGATATTTTTATAACAAATTTTTTAGAAAATTGATCATCTGTCGAAGTTTTTCGGAATAAAAACTAGAAAAATGATCATTTATCGGAGTTTTTCCCGGAAAATTCTATGCATATTACTTCTTAATAAGAACATGTATTTGAAGTTCAAGTACAGTAAATGGCACTCTGTGGTACAAAAAACGCACAGAGGTATATTTATTAATAATTAATGATTAAGCCTTTTATTTTACTTTTAAGATGATTTTTTTAACAATACTAAATTAAAATTGAATAGTAATACAGTTCATGCGTAGCATAACAAATAAATAAATTATAACATGATTTTACAATTATTTTATCACTCGTTTTGATGTCATCACTTGTTTTCATGCCATCACTCCATGTCATCACTCGTTTTCACGCCATCATTTGTTTTCGTGTCATCACTAATCTTCATGCCATCACCCGTTTTCATGTCATCACTCTTCATGCCATCACTCGTCTTTATGTCATCATTCGTTTTCGTGTCATCACTAATCTTTAAAATGCCATCACTCATTTTCATGCCATCATTCGTTTTCGTGTCATCACTAATCTTCATGCCATCACCCGTTTTCATGTCATCACTCGTCTTCATGTCATCATTCGTTTTAATATCATCATTCGTTTTAATGTCACCATTCGTTTTAATGTCACCATTTGCTTTAATGTCATCATTCGTTTTAATGTCATCATTCGTTTTAATGTCACCATTCGTTTTAATGTCACCATTCGTTTTAATGTCACCATTCATTTTAATGTCACCATTCGTTTTAATGTCACCATTCGTTTTAATGTCACCATTCGTTTCAATGACATCATTCGTTTTAATGTCACCATTCGTTTTAATGACATCATTCGTTTTAATGTGCTCATTCGGTTTAATATCATCAGTCGGTTTAATATCATCGCTAGTTTGTCCATATCCTTCATAAACAGCAACCGATATATTCATCTCCATGTCATCACTAGTTTGTCTATGTCCATCAGCAGCTGATATATTCATCTTCATGTCATCACTAATAGTTTGTCTATGTCCATCATCAGCAGCAGCCGATATATTCATCTTCATGTCATCACTAGTAGTTTGTCTATGTCCATCATCAGCAGCAGCCGATATATTTATCTTCATATCATCACTAGTTTGTCTATGTCCATCATCAGCAGAAGATATATTCATCTTCATATCATCACTAGTTTGTCCATGTCCATCATCAGCAGCAGCCGATAAATTCATCTTCATGTCATCACTAGTTTGTCCATGTCCATCATCAGCGGCAGCCGATAAATTCATCTTCATGTCATCACTAGTTTGTCCGTATGGACGGTCATCAGGAACAGCCGGTAAACTTTTCATGTCATCAATAGTTTGTCCGTATGGATGATCATCAACGGTAGCTGGTACTCTCGTCATCAAGTCATCACTAGTTTGTCCATATGGGTGATCATCAACAGCAGCTGGTACTATCTTCGTAATGTCATTATTAGTTTGTTCATATGAACTATCATCAGTCTTCGTAAAATCACTAGTTTGACCGTATGAATAAATATTTGGTACTACATTCGTCATGACTACTCCGTATGGATTATTAACTGCATTAACTGGTACTACGTTCGCCATGTCTACAACAGTTTGTCCGTATGGATAATATACAGCAGCAGTTTGTCTATATGGAGCAGCAGCGGCAGCATCTTCCTTAAATTTTCTTCTCTGTGCATAATTGTAAACTACTATAGCAAAGTAAACCTGCATTTAAATTAAATAAAATAAAAATTATAAATTATTAAGATTTCTTATTTTTAAAAATAACTAATAATTTTATAGTATCTTTAATACACGTACCTCTAAAAAGAATAAAAAAATGGAAGTAGTAATAAATATTCCCAGTGAACATCCGTAATAACCACATGTTGATGAACTTGCTATAATGATAACAACTATGAAATTAGTTAAAATATCATGAATTGTAAAGACAATAAAAATAATAGAGTATATTCTCAAATTTTTATAAGTATTCTAAAAATAAAGTTTATGTAGAATTAGTAGAATATTTTATTAATCAAATAATAGTATTTAGTTAATTATTTCATTACATACTGCAAAAGCCAATACGTATAATCCAAACGCTGCTCCAAGTGTTGTTAATGCATAAAGAATAACCTGTATCGCTCCGAACACTAAACATATATATATATTTTTATTTATTTTAAAAAAAAGATTATTATTTATTTAATAACAATTTTTTTTTCTTTTTTTTTCAAAAAAAAAAAAAGGAAATAAAGTGATTAACTATTATTGATTTACCTGCATTAATTACAGCTGCATAAATTCCAAAAATCTTTTTTTTTTTTTGAAATATTTTATTAAAGACATTCACATACTGTATAAAACTTGAAAAAATTTAAAAACATACAAGCCATAATACTGTTATAATCACAACTCCAGTTTTTAATGGAATACAACCACAACAATTAGTTAATTTTCCTGGGAGCATCCTAGTTAATTTGTAAATAATTATGAAAGAAGGATTTTTAAATAAAGAACCAACGAACTAATATGTACTTTTTCTTTTCCTTCTTTCTTTCCTTTTTTTTTTTAGAAAAAAAAAGGTTAATGTGAACTTCGATATAATTATTACATTATTTATATGAATGAAGAATTGACCGGCTTCTACTCGTAAAGTTAATAAATTTGTAGATCTTACGGAGTTTCCGGAAGTGCAAATACAATAAAGTGGCAATCCAAAAGTAAACATTTGACGCGAACGCTTTGTTACGACTGTGTTCATGAGTACAATGGAATTGATCAATAATGGATAAGTCCACTACGTACATATATATTTGTACGCATAAAAAACGGAGCTTTGTTTTTTATTTAGTTACACATTGTTTTTGAACTTAATTCCAATTTAAATAAATAATTAGCTTGGAGAAAAGAATGGCGAAAAGCCCGTGCAATATGTCGTCTATCTTTAACTGTAGTATAATTTTGATCATATTAACCAAGAAATTCAATATATGGTTATATGATTTTGACTTTTCCTCATTTTTATAAATTATATATATTCTTAAGCTTAAGCTTATCCTTATTTCTAAATTCAGAATATGCTTTTAAGCTTCAACGGATAGTAAGTTAATATGTATTGATAAAAAAAAGTTGATGAAAAAAATGACATACAAAAACAAATGGTAAAAATAATTTGATAAACGTAATATTAAATAAATTGATCATTATGAATAATGAAAATAATGATTTATTAGTAAAGTATAATATGTTGCGTAATTATTATCATTCACTTTTTCTTTTTTTTATTGTATTTTATTTTATTTTTTTTTAAAAAAAAAAGATTCATTATTCCTTTTTATTCAATTAGGATAAAGAAAGATGCGCATCTGCCATCGATTTTTTATTAGTAATAATAATACTTTTTTTTCCTTTTTAAGGCTTATTTAAATTAAAACAATAATTTCAGGAATAACAAAAAAGAATATATCAGATATATATATATATATATTTTCATAAAAATGATCACGTATCTAAGTTTATTCGGAATAAAAAATGATCATTTGATCATTTATCGAAGTTTTTTCCAGAATTTTTTTTTATAGTGATAAAAATAGGTAAGTTTAGTTTCAAAATAAAATAATAAAGTTTTAAAAATAACTTATTATTATTAATAATCAAATATAAATATACTAAAATATTAATAATTAGTACAAATTAATAAATTGATTTGATTTTTTTTAAAAAAAAAATTTGAAATTCTTTTTGCAATAATTTCTCGTGATATAAGTGATCTGTGCCTAGCACAACTGACTTTGAAATTAGTTGTATATTTTAAAATTCTATGCTAAATATCAGATTATTTTAATAAGCAAAAAAAAAAAAAAAGGAATAATAAATATATTTAATTTGTTTTAAAAAAAAAATACATGAATATAAATATGCTTTAATTTGTTTTATTTAATTGTATTAATTTGTCTAAAATTTGTTAGATGCGTATTTTTAATTAATAATAATAATATATGGTAAAATATTTCTTTTCCTTTTGCAAATTTTTTTTATAAAAATATTGATTCATCATATTATAAAATAACATATTTACATTATGTCATGCACTGTAAGTTATTTTATTAATAAATTTGCAAATATACATAAAGTACCATAAACAATAATTCAGAAATTCTTTTATAATAATAATACGAGTATTGCTAAATATCACCGCTGGTGATTGTCATCTCACCAGAATTAGGGTAGAATTTTGGGCAAAATTAAAAATGTCATGAAACTTCGCCCATTAATACTTGCTAATGCTGGTGCGGTGAAAATCACCTGCGGTGAGATTTAGCAATGCCAAAAAATATTTGCAAAATTGACTAGTATAAATCGTATTATTAATGAATGTGACAACTTTGATTCTACTCTGGTTATTAATGTATATACAGTCAACTCTCTCTAAGTGCACCCTCCTTGAGACCATAGTGAAATTTGAAAAAATGTGCATTTAGAGGGTGGGCATTTAGAGAGAGAAATTATATATGATCTCTATATACTTGGGACTGAATAAGAGGGTGCATTTAGAGAAAAAAAATATAATACGTAGAGAGAGCTGACTGTAATACTAGATGGACCTTCAGAATATATATATACTGCGTTAAAAAATTATGTATTTTTGTGTGTTATTATTAGTACCTTTATTAAGTTGGAAGACTGAAAGTCATAAATTTAATAAAAATAAAGCCCAAGTATATTACTATAAATTTTTGAAATATATGCTCTTAATAATTGATCCCTTATTATATCATTGACATTACTTCAAGTATTTAACTGCTAACTATTTTTTCCAAATAATTTTAATTTTTTTACTTCAAGTTTCAAGTATCGCTAGTTAAGGTCAAGTTAAGGTCAAAGAAAAATTTTTCACTTCTAAAATAAAATAAATAGGAATTAAAAACGGATTAAAATTAATCCGAACAAATGATAAATCCAATCCGTCTCTTTTTTTTCCTCTTTTTGAAAGAGATTTTAAATTTGTTTCATTGTGAATTAAAAATCTAACCTTTATCTGCTAAATCTACATAATTGCTCAGGAAAAATCCCTTCTAACAATTTAGGTTTTCAGCTATCCCTGGTATGTAATTAAAGAATACTATAACTATGATAATTATCAGAGTAAAAGATAAACAATTAATTAATTATTATCAAAACAAAAATTTGGATCGTCATAGAATCATTACTAATGAATACTTAACACTTTATGTATTAGGAATTAGGATGACTATGTGACACATAATTTGATGTATATCGATGCATTGAATTCCACATGATTTTATGTGGATCTGTAGAAACATGTTTACATATGTTTCGGACTTTCGGACCGATCCACCTAAAAATTGATGTACCTAATAGATTCAATTTCAAAACGTCTATCATAAATTCATAATGGTTACGCCAAAACTCCTTGTCAGATTGAGCATAAATCTTTTTTATAAACATCGAATTTTTTCTTCTACTAATATTCATCATCCGGATAACTCAAAGAGGAGAAAAACAGTGATAAACTATCAGGCCAAATTCTGTCGGAGTTTTAAGGACTTTAAAGGATCTTGGAATGAATTGTGTACATCATTTAACAATGCAATCCAAAACGCAAAAAAAGATTGTGTTCTGCGTCTACTCGAATATGATCAGGATTCACACAATGCTCTAAACGAAATCAAGGAAGTATTGGAAAATACAAAAAGTAAGGTTCCCAGAATAGAACATGATATTATTGGCATCAAGGATTTAGAGGGAGCCTTTAAGAAAATGAATCTAGAAACCATAAGAGAATTAAAAATTGTGTTAGATATTACAGTAGGGTTACTTACAGGCACGGTCCTTATATCCGTTTTCATGGCTTCCATGATAGATAGTCATAGGCGGAGTAGTTGGAGGATTATTCGCATCCATCTTTCTAGGTGCCGTAGCACTTGTTATAAAAGATGCTATAGTCGGAGCTATAGAAATAAATGTATTAGAAGACACTATAGAAGCATGTAATATCGATTCGAGTTGCATTATCCACCTCGATGACGCGCGCAGGAAGATTGATGGAATAAACCAGAATATCAAGGATGAAATTTATAAGACAGATGATAATCATATTATTATAAACGGAAAGCTTATCGAAATCAATAGTTAGAATTTTTTTATTTTTTTTGCATCATGTAACAGCGATATTTTTCACAAAATTTTATTATGTATATTACTTTCAGCTCATTAAATAAAGTATTGATACATTAAGAATGTGATATGGCCCCGGTGGCATACCACATTACTCTACCGTCCGTACAAATATTCACTCTGTTAATACAACCATACATTTGATTCATTTTTTAAGTAATTAGAAAGTTCGACCTTAAGGTCTTTAATCTTTCTAATTCCTACTTACAGTCTGCCCTCGATGTATGATGTAACGAATTTTACCGAACACGTGATATTTAATCAATTGTCAAATTCATCAAATCTACCTTCGCTTGTAGATTCAGGATGGCAACTTCACTATATCAAGGGCAGACTGTATTTAATGAAGATCAAACAAAATTAACTGAGCATCATATGCATGATCATACTTTTCAAATTTTACAATTGCAGATACAGTAACACCCCTATAAGTGCACCCTCTATAAGTGCATTCCCTCTCTATATGCACTCCATAGCTTGATCCCGAGCTCGGGACTTAGAGCTAAGTGCACTCCCTCTATGTTCTGCACGTTCAAGCAAATCTGAGTCCCGGGTATATTAGAATACCCTCCATAAATGCATTCACGTGACTATTGCAAAATTTTGACCAATCATTGATAACGGTTAATTTTTAAATTAATTTAATTTATCAATTTAGAAGTGAAATCATTGTGAACTATATAACAGTAAACTTTTATTTTGTAGTTACAAGCAATTACATTTGACTATGAAATTCGTTAGTACCAACTACTATAACATCATTAATTAAATTATAGATGAATTGGAGTAAATTACAAGCGTGTGAACATCTTACTTGATCAATTATCCCAAATTAGTATAGCAAGAATATTTTTTTTTAAGGAGACAGATAGTGGGAAAGATTGAAAATTTTTTTAGGGCCAAAAAAAATAGTTTAATGCGGCAAACTGACATTAACACATATTTTCACTAAATTTTCGCAAAATATGTTGTTTTATTTGGATTTGAGTTTAATAAAAAAAATTTAAAACTTATAAATAAAAATTTTTGTCAGAAACCTAATTGTGTAACAAAATCTATTTTTCTATTGGCTGTTCTATAAATGCACACCCTCCCTAAGTACACGTGCATAGTCGGTCCCGAGGTGCGTGCATTTAGGGAGGTGTTACTGTACTGCTTTGGATTAGTCGTGAACAAGTTTTCGGTTTTGCGAGTGCACCAGTATTAATCCCGATTCAATTTTTCAAAAGCTCGGAGCGGTACGGAAGATTTTTTTGCGCCAAAATGTATGTACATTACTCCATTTTGTGTTACAAAAGAAATAAACGGATCACGCGGCCAGTCTGTAAAACAATCATTTTAGGTATTTTTTTTTCGCAAATAAAAGTTTTCAACAATAATATTTTGCAAAAAAATAATATAAAACCCTAAATGACATTAAATTATGGAAAGTGAAAACCCCCTGACGATCGCAACGATCCTTTGAACAATCTCTCGCTCCGGGGCCAAACAGAACTGCTTCTTGCGACAAAAAAAGATTTCGAAATATATTTTCGAGAGACACCAGCTGAAGAAAGTATTTCATGTCATACATAGTCGAGCTACTCGTGCCAACCGCCATTTCGTAAACACCAAGGTTAAACACCTACTAATGGCGGAAATAAAACTTCGTCAAGATGTTACTCCTCTCAACAAAGCATTATGGGGTATCGAAGATTATTTTATTTATTCTTACTGCTATCTGGCTAGGGTCTAGAGAAAGAAGACGATTCGCCCATCCGTGCAGATGGAGTTAACCTTGACACGTAAATGCAAAGCCGATAAAATCGATAGTAGGAAAGGAGTAGATAGGGTGTTTGTAATTGTTACCGATACGTCTGAATGGTATTTTATGGAATGTTCGCCAGATAACGATTAAGGATCCTGAAAATTACTGGAATAAGTAACAATTTTTATAATTTTGGCCAGATATTTATTTCCTGTTTTAGTAACTGACTGACACTATAATAATTCCAGCCCTGAAAAAACGCGTACAGCTATTAGTAAATTTTTTTTGGCTACCTTACTTATTTTAATATTTTTCGGGGTCCTAGATATCGGAACCTGTGACTGTCGTGAACAAAGATGAGAATTTGCAAGCTAAGGCTCAGGCATATTGTATGGTTATTGAGGAGACGCAGCAGATGGAGGACGCTTCACAAAGTGGGGATCGAGGGAAATAAAAGGTAAGATCAATGAATAATCTTGCGGGAAATTGAATTGAACCCTGGCTTTTCTGTAGAAATCGTGAAAAATGTCAGTTTATATAACTCTTTAACAATATTAACTTTACTATAGCATAGAAACATTCATGTAATACTCGAGTTGCAAAGCAATGAGAAGGCTTCACATGTATTAATAAAATTTTTTTTTGCAAATTTCTCTGACGAGCTGTCATGAAGGATTACGCGATTTTTACTAATTCGAAATTTTGAATAAAAGCAGAATTTAAAAATAATGTAAAACATTCATCATTCCGTCGATTTGTTAAGAAAATTTAATTAGCCGAAATTGACAAGCATTGAAAGGAGAATGTTGAAACTCCTGAACTTAGAAAAAAGTTCGCTGGGGTTGAAACTAAAAATGCTGAGCTTGAAGTTAACTTGAGGATGAGAGTGCGAATCTCAGGAACTTAGAAGCTGAATTGAGGAATTGGAGGGAATAAAGAAGATAGTATATACTGAGAATGCTAAGCGTGATGTTAAGAATGCTGAGCTTATGGCTAGAGTTGTGAAATTGGAACAAGATTACAGGCGTCAGGACATGATTTCTCTCCCAAGGAAGAGATACTAGAGGTAGTAACAATATTAGTTGTTGTTATACTCGACTCTGTAGTAGTAGTCCCAGTACAATAATGAAATAGGACGACCATCGCAAACGCTGAGTCATTGTTGGAAGACAAGGAAACAGATGCTTTCTTGAATGAGGTGAATAAGAAAAGGTCATTAATGACTAAGATAAAGCAGCGCAATAAAAACTGTTGCTACACAGAACTCATCTTCTGTAGCTCAGGACAAATAATCTCAATCGCATACTAAGAAGAAAGAAGCGGTGGAAACATCGTACAGGACGTATTTGATCTCACGGTTACTTCGGCATCTGAGAAAATCATGCGACTGAAATTTCCGTGATGAAAAATCTGATACGAATAATCCAAGAAGCATGTGATGCGAAAGAACAAGCAATTCAAATTAATCAAGACTAAGAAGTATTGTGTTGGCGTTACCATATTACAAAATTCAACAAAAAGACTATAGAAACTAAAATTGGCAAAAAAAACAAAGGTATGAATTATGAAAATCTTCTCTGATCTTGTTTCATTTAGGCGACCAAAGCCTATAAGGAAGGACTAGAAATAAGAGGAGCCTTGTTGGATTACGTTAAACTCCTGGTACTAAAAGAGAAAAATCATGCAGGCAGACTCAAATAAAGATTTACGAGATTTTTTGAAAAATGGGAATAATAAAATCAAGTATATCAAAACGTAGTGTGAAATCTATTTCGTAATTATCGAATAGTCAATTCAAACTACTGTATTATACATAGGTCATTTCGTTGAAAACCCCTAATATGGAATTCACTAATTATCCATTCTTTTAACTCATGTCTCTAATTCTTCAGATCCAAACAATTTGCCCAAAAAAGCTGATGATGACGGTTACAACGAGATATTCGATCTCTGGGGCGAGCAGACAAAGTAAAATAAATTCTATCCCCGATTCTTCCAGCTCTAGTAAAGGATGAAGATGACGTAGAGGAAAAGGAAATAACAAAGTGAATCAAAGACAATAAAATTTTTAGTTAAAACCTTTTATCTTGAAAATATTACTTCAGTTAAGAGTACAACCGTGTTTTGAAAGTCAAGATTCAAGTAAAGTTCATGATACTCTGTGGTACAAAGATGGTTTGTTTATTTACAAGACGAGTAATGCCGCATATCGGTCTTTTTGTTTACAAGGAGAGAAGTGCCATATAATGATTAAGCCTTTATTTTTATTTTATTTTTTTTAAGAACATAAAATTAAAATTGAAAAGTACTACAGTTCATGTATAACATTGCAAATAATAATTATAACATGATTTTACAATAACTGAAATTAAGGTACACTCTCACTCGTTTTCATGTCATCACTCGTTTTCATGTTGTCAGTTGGTTTCATTTCACCACTCGCTTTAATGTCATCATTCGTTTTCATTCATCATTTGTTTTTATGTTGTCAGTTGTCTTCATTTCATCATTCGTCTTCATTTCATCATTNTTCATTTTAATGTCATCATTCATTTTAATGTCATCATTCATTTTAATGTCATCATTCATTTTAATGTCATCATTCATTTTAATGTCATCATTCATTTTAATGTCATCATTCATTTTAATGTCATCATTCATTTTAATGTCATCATTCATTTTAATGTCATCATTCATTTTAATGTCATCATTCATTTTAATGTCATCATTCATTTTAATGTCATCATTCATTTTAATGTCATCATTCATTTTAATGTCATCATTCATTTTAATGTCATCATTCATTTTAATGTCATCATTCATTTTAATGTCATCATTCATTTTAATGTCATCATTCATTTTAATGTCATCATTCATTTTAATGTCATCATTCATTTTAATGTCATCATTCATTTTAATGTCATCATTCATTTTAATGTCATCATTCATTTTAATGTCATCATTCATTTTATTGTCATCATTCATTCTAATGTCATCATTCATTCTAATGTCATCATTCATTTTAATGTCATCATTCATTTTAACGTCATCATTCATTTTATTGTCATCATTCATTCTAATGTCATCATTCATTTTAATATCATCGTTCGTTTTAATGTCATCAATCGTTTTAGTATCATCACTAGTTGCGGCCGATATACTCATATTTAAGTCATCACTAGTTTGTCCGTATGGATGATCATCAGCAGTAGCTTGTATGCTCGCCATCAAGTCATCACTAGTTTGTCCGTACGGATGGTCATCAGCAGTAGCTTGTATGTTCGACATCAAGTCATCACTAGTTTGTCCGTATGGATGGACATCAATAGTAACTGGTACGCTCCTTATCAAATCATCACTAGTTTGTCCGTATGGATGATTATCAACAGTGACTGGATTAGTTTGTCTATATGAACTAGTATCAGCAGCTGTCGATATATTCGTAATTGTAGTTTGCCCGTATGGATAATTATTAGCAGTAACTGGTTCTACATTCGTCATGAATACTCCGTATGGATGATTACTAGCAGTAGCCGGTACTACATTCGTCATGCCTACAACGTATGGATGATATACAACAGGTTGTCTGTATGGAGCAGCAGCAGCAGCATCTTCTTCACTTTTTCTTCTCTGTGCATAAGAGTAAACTACTATAGCAAAGTAAATCTGCGTTTACGTTAAATAAAATAAAAATTATTAAGATATCTTATTTTTAAGAATAACTAATAACTTACAAAAAGTATAGTAACTTTAATACACGTACCGATAAAAGGAATAAAAAAATAGAAGAAGCAATAGCTCTTGACCGACTAGCACATTTGTAATGAAAACATGAATCCGATGATAGAAAGATAATAATTATGAGATTACTTAAAATATCATGAAATGTAAAGAGAATAACTATGGCAAAATATATTCTCAAATTTTTATAAGTATTCTAAAATAAAGTTTATATAGAATTAATAGAATATTTTATTTATTGAATAACATTAGTATTGTTACTTATTTCATTACATACTGCAAAAGTCAATACGTATAATCCATACGCTGCTCCAAGTGTTGTTAATACATAAAGAACAATCTGTATCACTCCGAACACTAAATTTTATTTGTTAAAAAAAAAAAAAACTTTTTTTTTTATAAAAAATAAAAGGGAATAAAGTGACTTTTAAAAGAGATTTACCTGTACTAATTATAGTTGCATAAACTCCATAAAACTTTTTTTTGAAAATATTTTGTTAAAGACGTTCATATACTTTATAAACCTTGAAAGAATTGAGAAACATACAAGCCATATTAATGTTATAATCGTAACTCCAGCTTTTAATGGAATACAACCGCAACAAAAGTTCGGTCTTGTTATAGGCATCCTAATTAGTATTTGTAAATAATTATGAAAAAAGGATTTTAAAGGACAAACAAAGAACCCAACAATCCAACGAACTAATATGTTATTTCTTTCCTTCCTTTTTCTTTAAAAAAAAAATGTTAATGTGAAAGAGAGAACTGGAGAAAATGCATAAAAATTGTAGATCTTGCGGAGTTTCCGGAAGTGCATACATATGCGATAATCCAAATTTAAATGAATGTAATTTAACGAGTATAATGAAATTGATCAATAATCAAGTCTACTATATACCGTATATCGCGGGCCACAGTACCCAGGGTATCTCCCCCATTACGCGAATTTTACTATTAATAGAGGGTGTTTAAAACTTATAAAAAATTAGGGTATTGTTACACGTCACACCTAAATGGAGAATGTGACTTCCTTTTTGAGACATAGGAGGGACTATGGCCCGTACATATAAAGAAATCGGAGTTTTTTTTCCAGTAGTTTTTGAATGCAAGATCAGCATTTTCCAATTTAAGTAATTAGCTCGGAGAAAAGAATGCCGAAAGCCCGTACAATATATCTAACTCTAATTGTGGTATTTATTTATCTTAATTAATTTGATAATCATACTAACCAAGAAAGTTGAACGTTTATATACTAAGCCCAACTTCTTCACAAATAGTAGATTGAATGTAATAGTCGTAATATGTAAATAAATTGATGATCATAATCAAATATGATAATGAAAATAAATTAATTTAGTAAATTTAGTAAAGTATAATATGTTGCGTAATAACTTTTTATTTTTATTTATTATTTTTAATTAAAATAAATAAATTAGAAAGATGCATTGGGTTTTTTTTTTATTAATTATAGTTACTAATATTTTTTTTTCTCTTTAAGGCTTATTTAAATTAAAACAACAATTTCGGGATAATTATTAGTCCCTAATCTGCACCTGATCGGTCCTTATTGAAATCAGCTGTTTATTCGAAAAAATTAAAATTTTAATTTCAATGAGCAAATAAAAATGAAATAATAAATATATACTTAATTTGTTTTATTTTGTAAAAAAAATACACAATTTAATTGTAATTTGTAAAAAAAAAAAAAAATACTAAAATTGTTAGATGCGTCTATTAAAATTTCTTTATTAGTTTAGTAAAATATTTCTTTTCCTTTTGCAATTTTTTTTATAAAAATATTGGTTTATCATATCATTAAATAACAAATTTACATATTTTAACAAAGTTACAAATACAGTATGTCATCTGAGAAAAAATCATGTGACTAAATTTCCGTGATAGTCCGTCAGTCCTAAATCTAACCTTCTTATTTCAAGAAGCATGTGATGCAAAGGAATGAGAAATCCAAGCTAATCAAGAAGAATTATTGTGTTGACGTTACCATATTAGAGGATTCAATAAAAAGACTATGGAGTACTATAAAGGGTGTGGTTTATGGTAATCTTATTAAACTCCTTCCCGGTACTAAACGAGAAAAATCACGCAAGCAGACTCAAAGAGCCAGAAGGATCATTCATGGGATTTTCGAAAAATAGGAATTAATAAAATCAAACGTAGTGTGAAATCTATTTCGTATTATCTGATAGTCAATTCAAACCACCGCCGAAAATCCGATATGGAATTCACTAGCCCCTATAAAAATTTTTTTAGAAAATTGATCATATATCAGAGTTTATCTGGAAAACTAGAAAATGATTATTTATCGGAGTTTTTCCAGAAAATTTTTATAGGGATAATGATCCCTATTCTTTTAACTCTCGTCTCTAATTCTTCAGGTCCAGACAATTCGACGATGACAGTTACAACGAGTCCTGGAAAGATATCGATCCTGGGGCGAGCAGACAAAGCAAAATAAATAAATTCTATTACAATTCTTCCAGTTCTAGTGAAGGATTAGGATGATGAAGAGGAAGAGGAAATAACAAAGTGAATTATTAAAGTGAAGAAAAAAGCCAATAAAATTTTTAGTCGAAACCTTTTATCTTAAAATATTACTTAAGAGTACAAACATGTATTTGAACGTCAGGGTCTCAATTGAATGCCTGTGATACACAAATAGTATTTATAAGACGAGAAATGCTGCATAACGGTACATAGCATGTGCTATTCAATGATCTTACAATAAATAATTTATGGATATTGCACTGGATGAATACTACCATTAATTTAGATGATTCGATATATCTAATATTGTAGACATCTAGAGTAAATATTTATCCTCTTTTTAATCAAAATTGAATGATGATTTAATAGCTATTGATGAAAATATTGGTCAAACAAAATCAGCATTATCCTATATATGACCGTGTAATAATAGAAATCAGGGTACGCTCGTCATGGTTTGTCCGTATGGATGATCATCAGTTGCAGCTGCAGCATCTTCCTTGCTTTTTCTTCTCTTTGTATATGCCAAAACTACTATAGGAAAGTAAGCCTGAATTTAAAATAAAAAAATACATTAAAATGTCTCACTTATAGGACAGAAAAAAATAATTTATGAAAAAAATATATAGTATGTTTAATACGTACCGATAAAAGAATTGAAATAACTGCAATAACGATTAATATATTACATCCACCGTAATAATCATAATTATTATTTGCACATTTCTTTAAAGAGAATGTTTGTTTATATAATGAAATAATAATAATAGTTGCTAAATTTTTCATAATTTCAACAGCTGCTATGAAAAAAGCTATAATAGAATATTTTCTTAACATTTTAGAAGTATTCTAAAATGAAAATTAAATAAAATTAGTAGAGTTTTATTTCAAAAGATATTAGTATTATTACTTATTTAATTACATACTGCAAAAGTTAATACATATAATCCAAAAGTTGCCCCAAGTGTTACAAATCCATAAAGAATGGTTACTGCAATATATCTTCTTCTGTACACTAAATACATTATATTTTTTGTCATTTTAACAATACTTTTTTTTAAAAAAAAATAAAGAGGAAATAAAGTGAAACTACCTGAGATATAAATTGCATTTTCTACAGTTGCATAAGCTCCATATATCTTTTTTTTTTTTAAAGTATTTTGTTAAAGATGTTCAAACATACAGCTTAAAAAAAAAAAGATTGAAACATACAAGCCATAATAACGTTATGATCACAACACCAGATTTTAACGGAATACAGCAACAGCATTCATTTATTTTTGTTAGAGCCATTCTTATTTTGTAAATAATTATGAAAAAATAGATTTTTAAAGGAATAAAGTACCCAACGAACTAATCTTGCTTTGTTTTTTTTTAAAAAAAAAGAAAAAAATAGTTAAATGTGAAAAAGGTAAAACCAAATTATTTAAGAATGGAGAATTGACCATGAATTTCCGGAGGTAACAGTGCAACTTACGAATTTAACCATTTTTAAAATTCATTGATTTAACAAGCGCCTGAACGCAAACGGAAAATTGATAGATGTCAATGAATAACCATTTCTAAAAATCATTTATTTTATTATTTTAACGCAAATGGAAAATTGATAATGATCGGCATGATAATGTCAGCCATAATAAAAATCTAGCCGTGCCTACCCGCCGAAGTGCATGCGTCATCTGACGCACGTGATTGAAGTTTTCATACCTTTTAATTAATTTTAGTTTCTTCCTGCTTACATAAAATAAATAAATAAACCTTTTAATGTTAATTTTACTATTTCTTTGATTTACTACAAGATTAAAAGATCGTAAGTTTCGTTGAAAAAGTTATGATAGGTTGCAAACCAACCGTGCATTAATCTGACAAATTAAATTCTAAGCTTGTGTTCTGTTCTATGCAACTTAATTAGCAAACATTTTCTTCAAATATTTATTCTAATTCTTTAAGTATGGGACATGTGACAAGAAAATCCAGGACATTCTCTACACTTTTGCGTCCGTGAACATTTCAAGATAAAATACGGCCAGAATAAATATAATGCGAAGCACGGAATTATAATTCCTTCTATGCCAGAGCGAGCAGATTTTTTGTAAACTAGATTAGTAGTCTAGAAATCCCAGAAAGAAATTTTTATAAAGAATATATTGAAAAAGTATGTATGTGGGCATTAAAATATACCGATTTTGTTAACTTTTTTCTTTTAAATTAAAAGTAGAGTTTTGTTAACTTGCCCCTGGTTAACCTGGGTTGAATCGCCCCCCCTAAAATTTATATTTTATATCAATCATTTTTTTTGAAATTTTTTTTTTAAAAAAAAAATTATTTGTGTTATTATTCATTTCACTTTATATAGATTTTATTTATTTGGACATTATAGAGCATAATGACCAAGTTTTCTTACATTTTTTGACAATGTCTCACATTTTTGATTGTGACCATAATTTACATTTTTTTTTTTTGAAATTTGGGCAAAATTATATGTTAAATCACCCAGATTAAAAGTATTTATAATTTTAATGTAAAATATTAGAATTATTTTTTTATCTTCATAAACTAGTAATGCATGAAATACGAAAAATTAAGTAGGTATTACTGATTAAAATTAATCCGGACAGATGACAAATCCAATCCGGTTTTAATTTCTCTTTTATTTCTTTATTTGAAAGAGATTTCATTATTTCATTGTGCATTAATATATGATCTTGGGATATACAATAATTCTTTTAACAAATATATATGTGTATACATATCTTTTCACTTCTTTTTAATTATTAAAATGAAATTTATATTATATTGAACAAATATATCAGTATAATTTTTAAATTCTTTGTCCAATACCATTTTAATCCAGCTTTCATTTATTGATATTGTCTCTACTAAAATTATATGTTATTATTAATTTGCACTTTAAGAATTATGTATCAAATATATGTGCGCATTAGTAGACTTTGTAACTAGAATAATATGGTGCGCACAGTCTAAAGCCAACCACATTTTATCACATGACTTCAAAAGAATAGAAGTAACCCAAAAATCAATTATTTTAAATAAACTATCTGTTAAATGATAAATTCATTATCTTTCATATGACAGAACCCTTTACTGGTTAAGTAATCATTAACATTAAATATATAAAATCAATATCAGGTATTTTCATTAATTATATGTCAAATTTGGCCATCATAAAGTGGCCCAAAATTACAAAAATTACATAATTTAAGTCAAAATTTCTCAAACTGCAATAAATCTTAAAAAGTAATCACTCCCCCTATTTTTTCATTACACTGATCGGTATTAAAAGAAAAAAAAATTGTATACAATATCTACATGCAAAATGCAAACAATTAAGAAAAAAAAATACAAATTACTGAAGAAAGTTTGATGATAAAATAATTGATAATTTTGAGGATGATGATATTTGGGATAATTTTGATTTGGAGGAAGCTGTAGATAAAAAATCACACCATCTGTTTTTGATATTATGCGTCAAAATTCTTGTAAAGCATAATTATAAATATGTGTTAACCAATAAAATTCATTTGACATGATATGATTATAAGTCCGAAAATTTGACCACTAAATAAAACATTAGTTAGCTTTAGACTGAGAGCACCATACATCACTAATTTTTGTATTTTACTGAAAATTCTTTTTGTATAAGAATAAATTTGCTAAATGATAAGTAATATTATTTACGTAAAAAAAAATACAGACTGATAGTAAATAAAAAAAAAGACAGGAGACCAAAGGACACGCTAAGAAAGACCCAAGGACATTGGGAGAAGCTAAGAAAGCTAAAAAGTGAACTAAAAAAATATAATAAAAAAATATTGGTAACATAATTTCTGCACCATAACGACTTATATATATTTCCGTACGTATAAATCTGATAATAGAACCAATTAAATTTGCTTAATGGAAGACTCTAGGGTTTAGGATTCTTTCAGAAATTTTTGGAGCATACAAAGTGAAGTATCTTAATATTCGGAATGATTAAAGCATTCTTCATAATTATGATTCTTTAACCATCTTAATTTCTGATGTTCTGATAAATATAGTTCGATTATAATTTATATGTATAAATTCATATAAGTAATTGTCTTAATTAATTAATTATAATAAAAAAATTTCTGCGCGTTTATATAATTTACATTCACAAAATTTACCTCACTTAAAGTAACACCTGACTAATACTTAAACTTCTCATATGATTAAAATTAGCAATAAATATAGTTACGTGAAATGACTGAAAGTTCTGAAGTAAAATTGCAATTTCAACAAGATTTCAATAAATGGATATTGGAGATGCTAAGAATATTATGTTTTACTATGCAATTATTACTTGAAGATTCAAATTGTCAGACTACTTCAAAACTTTGACTTACAATCCACTTAAATTCAATAACTTATAGCATAATTATTCCACTCTGGCTACGTCGGATGCATAACCATAATGACTAATGAATGCGTGAATTCTCATTATAACATATATATATTTGGATACTTGTATCAAACAAATATGTGACAAATTAACAAATTACACGAATTATTCCGAATTAAGTAACGATAAATTTTTTTAGTCGAAGTTAAGAAGAGTAAAAATATGTATTTGAAAGCCAGTAAATCTGTGGTACATGAGTATTTTACTATATATAACCCAGCGGCGTACCAAACCCATTTACCGTACTAGCAAAATTTTTTTAACCCGTTTTTGTCCCTGTCACAATCGACAATTTTATTTAATATGTATCCCGATTTATGTAACACTGCATTTGTACTTCGGTACTTCCAATAGTATAAAAATTTGCCAAATGGTTTTATTAGAAAATTATGCTTCCAACCTTTCCAAAAGCAGAGGTCCGATCCGTATCCATGTCCGTGAATATCGGATAATCCGTAAGCTCATTCACAAATCCGGATTTGTTATCCGTAAAACCCAAATAAATCATAATGAATCTGGATTTACCCGTGATGGATAATTATTTATATATAAAACACATATCGTCCAATCAAGAACTGCCATGAGTCATCTGATAAAAAAAAGAATAGAAATCCGCACATCCGCATATCCATGATTTCTTATCCGTCACCTAAAATTACTCCGCATATCCATGCACGGATCGGACCTCTATGACCAAAAGTGCTTCCAATAGTGCTTCCAATCTTCCAAGAGCGCATCACTGCACTACCTATATACACTACCTATATGACACGTAGATCACGTAACACTTGCATAACTTATGGACTTAAAAAAAAAAAGTATTAAATTTGGTTTGGATGAAAAAGATATTTAACCGAGCGAAATAAGGACTACTGTTTTTGATTGTTATTATGTGTTTGCTAATATACTAGGGAAGAAACCGTTTAAGTATTGAACTCATAAATGCCGTTTTTAATGCATCTGCTTAATTTTTGGGACTGTATTATATTTATTTTCTTTGACACTTTTAATCCCCTGTCGCACTAAGTGTCACTCATGATCACCTTCATACTAATTTTTTAAAATTGCGAGTGATTAGCTGAGTTTATAAATGATCGGGAATCTTCGTTTATTTATTTCCCCGGCCTCATATAGATAGCCGGGAGATTACTAATTTTAGTTTTAAAAGTTAATCTTTAATGAGTGACACGCTCCAGGGGATTACCCATTTATTTCATGAGAAGGGGGACATTAGGGGGTTTTTCCCTTTGGGAAAGAAGCCCTATTATTCCCAACTCCTTATGATACAAATTACTAATTGCCGTTAATGAGCTAAATCTTCAAGAACTGGGGGCAGAAATCCGGCATTGATCGAAATGATCGGCGTATTAACTTTTCAAAAAATTCACATGGGTAATAAATTCAGGATAAATAAATATCAGAAAGTTGATGTCGGTCAATTAACCGGCTAAATAAACGGTTTTACCTAACTTCCGGTATACAGCAGATTATATAACTCGAAGTTTATTAAATATATTGATTAGAAATGTTGATTACATGCTTACTAATAAAGTAAATATCTTATTAATATAATCCGGTTATACTAAGCAGTATTAGCATAGCATCGGTCAAAATAAAGAATAATGCTAGTCGAAATTATTATAATTCTGTCCGAAATTCATTATTGCAACATACATAATTTTATCCGTAAAATTTTTTTTTTAGAATAGCCTGCAAATGCATTTGTTTACGAACAATGAGATTATCAGTCATACCCCTATTTTTATTTTTAACATAAAGACAGTAACGGGGCGCTACAGTAAATCAAACCCCCTATTATAATAAAGAAAATTTTTGCCAAGACATGGTACAAAGTCACGTGACTGTATTAACATAACGTTTATGTATAGATATCTTTGAAAATCATGGTCTGATTATGCCTAAGATCTTTTTTGTGTCACAACTTGGGCCTATATGGTTACCCTTGAATCCCAATCGATGTCTTTATAAATAAATAAATAAATAAATAAATAATTGTCGATCGCTACTACTAAAAGCTTAATTTTTTTCAGCCAATTTGAATTAACGTTTCTTTAAATTCGTCATCGCCGCCGACGAACATGATGAGCGCAAATCTTGATGTCATATATCGTACAAAAATAATAGTTCAAATAGAGCCTTTAAATTGAAAAAATTTTCCTTTTTTCCTAGTTGACATTTTGTTCATCTATAAACAAATTTGTATAATTTTGTATAATTAGTATACCGAATTATTTACTTCAAAAAAAAAATATTTCAATTAACCTGTACGCCAAAGATTTTGTTAAGCGATTGCTTGTAATGAAAAATATACATATATTTATTATTTACTTTTTATTATCGGTTAATTATCCTATCATATTGTTCAAAGGTAATAAACAAACAATTATGTCAAAAAACATTCGTATTTTATTAATGGTTCATTGTCACATGATCACGAATCAATTTAACTAACGAATTTTTTTTTTTTTAGCGAATCATATTATTAAGGAACATTTCTTTTAAAAACAAAACATAATACGGAATTGTAATTTCTCCCTAATTTAAAGAAAATGTCTGAAGGTGGTGTCTTATCAGGGGTTATACCTACTGAATATAGTCCCAGTAATCCTTTAACACTTTTTATTATTCAGGTAATTAAAAGTCAATTTTACTTCTTTAATCACGATAATTTTTGACATTATTAAATTTAATTATTTTAAATAGGTTGTGATCATTATTGCCTTTACGCGTCTCCTTAATATTGTATTATCTCCTTTAAAACAACCACGTGTTATTTCTGAAGTTATTGGTGGGATTATCCTTGGTCCTTCAGTATTTGGCAGAATCCCCGGTTATATGAATACTATATTTCCTGATGCATCTAAACCTCAACTTAATTTAGCTGCAAATGTGGGTTTAGTTCTTTTCTTATTCATTGTTGGAGTTGAAATGAATCCAAAAGCAATCTTGAAAAATGCTAAAGCTGCCATTAGTATTTCTGCTGGTGGTATTAGTCTGTGTTTTGCGTTGGGATCGGCTGTAAGTTATGGATTATACAATAATTTTACCGATAAAACGGAGAAATTTCCGATTTTTTTAATTTTTATTGGTGTAGCGATGTCAATTACCGTAAGTCTTACTTTTTTTCATCTTTTTTTTTTTTACGTCATTATTCAATTCAATATTTCTTTTTTCTTTATTCTAGGCTTTTCCCGTTCTTGCTCGTATTTTATCAGAACTTCAAGTAATTCGCTCTCCAGTAGGAGTTGCAGCATTAACTGCCAGTGTTAATGATGATGTGACGTCATGGATTTTATTAGCATTGGTCGTCTCTTTGGTCAATTCATCAAATAACTTAACAGCCCTTTATGTCTTTTTACTCTGTATTGGTTGGGTTTTTATTGTGGTCATGATAATTCGTCCAATATTAATTAAACTGATCATTAAAACTGGTAGCAATGAGAATGGACCTACCTTATCCATGACTGTTATTACGTTATCTACTGTACTTGTTTCCGCTTTTGTGACTAGTATAATTGGAGTTCATGCGATTCTTGGTGGCTTCATGATCGGTGTAATTATTCCACATGAAGGTGGATTTGCTGTTGGAATTACGGAAAAAATCGAAGATCTGATCAATGTATTGTTTTTACCTGTCGTATGTAACTTACACCGTTTTAATTTTATATCTTTAATAATATTTTATATTAAATAATTAATTAATGATTTTCATTTTTTTATATCATAGTATTTTGCTCTATCGGGATTAAAAACTCAACTAGGTTTATTGAATGATGGAAAAATTTGGCTTTGGGTTTTTGTAGTAATTTTATGTGCTATGATGGGAAAGATTATTGGATGTGGATCAATGGCAAGATTAAATAAGTATACAATTAGAGAATCCTTGACAATTGGAGTCTTTATGAGTTGTAAAGGGTAAGTAAAATATATTTTATTTATATTTTACAAAATTCAGAATAATGTGCTTTTTATATTCTGATTTCTGATTTCAACTTTAATATTTTTTTTTATAAAGTCTTGTTGAATTGATCATACTTAATATTGGATATGATTCAAAAGTTATTAATGATAAAATATTTGTTGTTATGGTGGTAATGTAAGTAATTTTTTCTTTGTGTATACATCAAACAACAAATATATATATATCATTAACTTCAATCTTCTTTCATTAGGGCTCTTGTTACTACGGTTACAACATCTCCTCTTGCAACTTGGATTTATTCAAACGAATATCAAAAAAAATTGGAAATTAGTAGAAATGAAAAACTTGGTCTTGGTTCTCAAAGTTCTGTTAATAAATTATTACATAAAACCAATTACAGCAAACTTTTAGTTGTATTGAACAAGGTTGAATGGTTACCAGCTATGATGTCCTTAGTACAATTATTACAACCTTTACCTAAATCAACTGTTGTTATAAATAAGAGTGATTTACATGAAGAAGAACTTAGTTTAGCACCAGTTAATTCATCAACTGTGGTGGAACATGGCGGCAATGAACCACTCGTTGTTCATGCGTTAAGAATAGTTGAGCTTAAACAACGTATTTCGGATGTAATGAAATTTAATGAATCTGAAGAAATGACATTACGTGATCCAATAATGAATGTATTTCGTATGTTTGGTCAATTGAATTTTGTAAATATCAAGGCCAACCTTACAGTTGCTCCTTTTCAAAATTTTGCAAGACAAGTCGCGGATAGTGTTAAAGATACAGAATCCGAAATAGTTATTATTCCATGGAATGGTGCAGGTTCTATTGTCGATGATCCTATAAATCCTCTTGGAGTACCCAAAGAACAGAAACTAACTAGTTCGCAAGTTGCTTCTTTTGTTCAAGGAGTTTTTAGTGAAGTTAATGTATGTATTGGCTTCTTAATTGATAGAGGACTTGGAGTAGGAACTAGAAAATTACAAACACCACTCCCAAATGGATTAGACATACATGTTTACTTTCCTTTCTTTGGAGGAATTGATGATAGGGAAGCTTTATCTTTTGTTGTTCGATTATTAAATCACCCAAATGTTACAGCCACAGTAATACGAATAAAGAAAACTAATGAACCTACAGATAATGACGCAACACTAAGTAGGGCTGATCCACTCGTAACTCACTTTAATCCACAAAATGATATTGAACCACAACGACCACCACTCGCACATGAAATGTCAACAACTTCGGATCATGTCCTTAATTCCGGTGTAGAACAAGAATTATCTCGGGAAGCTGATGAATTATTACTATCAGAATATTTCAAAGTAAATACTGGTAAATTAATAGATAATCCTAGGATTAAATTTCGGGAAATTTCTTCTTCAACGCCTTTACAAACAGCTGTTAAACGTGGTGAGGAAATTGTCAAACAAAAAGATCTAATAGTTGTAGGGCGTGGACGTCAAAAAGCAGTTGTAAGTCATCGAGAAGAATTTGCTGAGGTATTAAAGAACTTTGGTCTGAGTTATGGCAATGATACACGGAAATGTTTAGGAGATTTGGCTGAAGCTTTTCTCGTTAGTCAAATTGCATCAAGTTTATGTGTTATACAAGGAATTAAAAGATAGATTATGCAATAATATCATATTCGTATTCTTTTTTACATACCTCTCAAAACAAGTGACATTCACCAGTGATTTTAATAGATCATTGTCTAGTAAATTTCTTCATTTTAATTTTACCTTTAGCGATTTATTTATTGATCTACAGTATGTAAACAAAGGGTATCTACTATAATTTATTTTTTATAAGTGTATATAAAAGTTATTGTTTCCAACAATTCAATTTAGATTGAACATATTGTACAAATATTTATGAGTATGTTTGAAATCGTGTCAAAAATTATCTATGATGATCAAATACAAGATAAACTTGGGAATAAATCAGAATTTCAATTTCAGACTTCCCAAATCTGAAGGTTTGGGCACACTTTGATGCCCCATGTATGTTATTTTGACATATAACTCAACCATGCTAAAAACGTGTCTACACTAATTTAACAGGGTTTAAGGTATAAAACTCTCGGAAGAGTTTGGACTATGACAAAAGATCAGATCATTGTTGATTAGCTCCTTCTGTTATAATTAGCGATTTTGTGTGTTTGTGCGTTGGTGATAGTATGACTGTTTGGGAAAGCATTCGACCACGAAGCAGAATTTATTTCATCATCACTACTAAGATTTTTCCTTTGATCGATCCCATAATAACCAAGTTCCGTTTTGGAATTAGACTTCCAATAAGTAATTAACTTACACAACGATTCTAATGTTGCTAATTTGAGGTTTAAACGTCTCTCGAAAAGCCACCCTAAGGTTGAGAATCTACGTTCGCACGTAGCTGAATTTGGACATATTGAAAGTAAGTGTCACGTTTATCAATATAAGAGCCTGTAATAATTTCTGCATCAACTACTTTACTTTAAAGATCACGAATAATTAGCCTAGTACCATTGCAGAGTCCTGATGGATTCAAATTTCGCAGAAATATAATTGGAACTCTTACTTTTAATTTTAATTCACCAGGAGGAAGGTCAGATGTTTTCAAGAACCTTAAAAATTCAGGTGAATATACTTGAGACTGCTGTTGCTTGATTTGAAGGGGGTGATGGAGAAGCGGTTGATGATGCATGTAAGAAACCTACTTGCTTATTTTTTTAATGAATATATAATACCACAACAGAACCAGCTGCATAGACTACGAGATCTAATGAAGGTTCTGTTGCCATTGAAGTTGATTTTGATGCTGTTAACCCAATTATCATAAAAAAATTATTCTCGTTTTATAGGAATTAATATTACCACGAACGTTCAAAATGTTACGCTCAATACATCAAATAATACTTGGAATAGTCTAAACCTGTAATAATTAATATGTTCATAGTAAAGGTAATGACCAAATAGCCAGAGGAAATACACTATAAAAATGTGCGATATAATTACGATAACATTAATTATTATAGTTCTATCCCACAAGTGGTCACAACCATAAATACAAAATAAAGTATAACCAACGCAGAAATGATTATTTCTTAATACTGCATATAATATGAAATATGAATTCTATTTTATTATCTATTAATATTTAAAGTTGAATAAATATCAAGTGTATGAAATTTTAATTTTACAGTAATTGAGCTTAAAGTAAAAACTAGCCAGTATTTTTTTTGTTCCAGTACCCACCACAGAACTCGGGACTGAAGGGAGCAAATTTTGAGTGTATTAATTAATAGTATCATGGGATCAATGATCAAGGATCGGAGCATATTATATTTTAATTTAAATTAAATTTATAAATTTTAGAAATCTCAAGGATGATATTTTTTTTACATGAGATTATCGTAAATGGTGTAAATTATTGTTAGAATAATGAATGAAAAAAAATCAGTTCACCCGATGTATTGTTTAAATTTTATTTATTATTTTAAAAAAGAAGTTTGTTATTTATCACCACTGGTGGAGTGGTGGTCAGCACCGGTGTCACATGATTATAATTAACCAATAACTAATTTAAATATTTTATTTAACTTTATGTAATTTTACACGACTAAAAAATTGCGTACATCTTTAATTTTTGAGAACACCCCAGTCAAATAAATAATAATGGACAAAATGAGTGATAAAGAATAAGAAAGAACAATAAAGAACAAAAAGAGTAATAAGAAACAATAGTATGAAATGGTAATGGAAAAAGAACAATAGGAGACGAGATAGCAATGAAAAGAACAGTATGGGATGAAATGATGATGAAAAAGCAATATAGAATGAAATTGTGATATATAGGATGAAATGGTGATTAAGGGAGACGAAATGATAATGATGAAGTGATATAAAACAAAATGGTAATGGAAAAGAACAATAGGAGATGATTCAGATGAAATAGTAATGAAAAGAACAGTATATATGGGATGAAATGATGATGGAAAGCAATATAGAACGAAAGGTGGTAGAAAAAAATGATAGGAGACGAAATGGTAGTTAAAGGAATGGTATAGGTTGAAATGATGACAAAAAAGTGATATAGAGCAAAATGGTGATAGAAATAATGATATAAGACGAAATGGTGGATGAACGAATGATAATGATAAAGTGATATAGAACAAAATTGCAATGAAAAAAAAAAGATAGGATGAAATAGAGATGAAAAATGAAAGAATAATGTGGAACAAAGTGGAGATGGAAAAAGAATGATAGGCAACGAAATAGTGGTGGGAAAAATGATAGGAGATGAAATGGTGATGATAGGACGAAATGATGATGAAAAAGCGGTGTAGAATGAAATGGTGATAGAAAAAATGATATAGGACGAAATGGAGATGAAAGAATATATGGAATAAAATGGAGATAGAAAAAGAATGATAGGAGATGAAACAGTGATGGAAAAAAATGATGAAACAGCATGGCATTATAAGAAAGAAACAAAAAGACCATAAAGCCCAAAAAAGAAGTGAACAGCCCAACCAAAAAAAAGAAAAATATAGTTAGTTAAAGAAAATAAATTCCCAATTCCAAAAGACCCAAAATAATTTACCATTTACTAGGATACTGATGCCAAAGTTTTAAAGCCGTTAAAAGGTGGAAAAAACTACTTACAAAAAGTGACGAAGTGGAATGACGAATAAAATGAAAAGAAGGGAGAATAGTTAATATTAATGAAGGATAAAAAGACATACACAACGTTAAGAAATATGTTCAACTTACCAAAAGCTAAGGAAACTAATAAATCTGATGAGTGTACGTGGCAAACAAATGATTGCATATTTTTAATACATTTAATAATCAAAATCAATGAAAGAAAACAAATACGATTAAAAAAAATAAAATAATGCGATAATTGAAAATCAAAAGTATATGAAACACATGCATATATGTAAAAATCAGCACATTTTGAAAAAATTTTATTTCGTTTCACTTCATGTGGGAAGATAAAAATTTTTTTTTATTTCCATATTTGTAACATGTATATCATTTTGAAATAAAGGTAAATAAATAAAAAAAAAATTACCCTATTCATATTTATATACATTACGTCATTTCAATGAACAGATATTGTAATAACTGGGTTAAGCCTCGATATTTTCTAAGAAAGTAAAAAAAAATCAAAATTTCGTAATTAATGGGGGCTTATCGATTAAATAAATTCACGTGTAAAAAAAAAAAATTTTTTTTTTTTTCACAATTAATTAAGATTTTCACCAAATTATTCCTTAAACGTATAAGTAGATCGCAAATAAATTTTTTTTTTGAATAATTTTAAAAACTATTTGATCATAAAATAATAATTGCAGCTCATTACGCCTTAATATTTCCTAAGAAGGTAATAAACAATTAAAATTAGTCATTGGAGGCTTATCGATTATTAATTATGTTAAATCAATTAACTTTCTTTTTTTTTTGAACACGTAATTGTTTGGCATGTAGACACGTAATAAATTCATTTTCCTAAAAAAAAAAAATTATTTTTTTCTTCACGAAAATTTATTTATTATTATTGACAATTAATTATTTTATTTATTATTATTATTTTTTATTTATTTAATTTAATTTTTTTAAATTACTTATTATTGTCAATTAGGATTTTCGCCAAATTTTTCCTTAAATGTATATTATTAAGCCTCAATATTTCCTAAATAATAAACAATTTTTAATGTGGCTGAGATTTTTTTAAATTAGTCGTTGGGGGCTTTTTGATTACCTTTTTTCGGATAAAATGAAAATTTTTTTTTTTATTACATGTCTTAAATTCATTCGTTAAAAAAAATTTTTCATTTTAGATTACAAATTTTTTTTAATTTTTTTTTAACTATAAATAAAAACCAAGTTCGCCAGGTGGGAGGGTGGGCCGCTACTCTGCTCAATAATAACTAATGGCTAATGATTAATCATTAATGATTAATCAGTAATGATTAATGATTATTAAAATTTCACCCAAAGTATTTCCTTAAACGTATGGGTAGATCATGACCGAAAAAGAGTATTTGTTGCAAGTGTTTTGAAGATTTTTGTATGGGAACTTCACGGAGTACATATATAAAAATAAATAACTATTACTTTAAATTATTTTTGCGTTACAAGGTACAAATAAATAAAATAGTGAAAATGGGGGACTTGTTTTCTATCCTACGATAAAAAAAAATTTATCCGGTATCACGTGATTTTGTGATGGATTTTGAGCATGTGATTTTGATACATACGGTGCAGTTGATTATACATTTCTTGATCACAAAATTATTTTTTAAAATGAAAATTGGATTGTTTTCTTTATAATAAAATTCTATTTTTAAAGATGCCTATTACAATGGTTATAGTTCCTTTAAGCCATTATTCGAATTTACATGTTATTATGGAGCTAAGGGTGTTAACTAAAACTTGCAGAAAATATGAAAACTTGTAGGAAAATTTCTAGTTTCAACGATGTTATTTTGACGATCTAATTAATGCTATCAGAAAAGTATTCTCTTCTAGAAGAACAAAAACTAGAGAGTAATAAAAGAAATCATAATTAATTAGTTGAAGATGTTGAAAAATTTTGAAAAAGTGAACTATATTATTAACATGGCTAATAACACTTGTTAATACAATAATTTACTATTGTAAATTATTTTATTTAGTTTTTAAATAAAAATTGAGTTGTTTTAAATCAATATTACATTTTATTTTATTTTAATAATATTTAAATTTAAAATACTTATATTTGGAGTTAACAAGTTAACACTGATGTTTTAGAGCTGGGATGAGGGTAAGGATTAGGAAGGCTGGTTTAGGCTGAAAGATTACCATTAGAGTTCGTTGAGTTAGGGGTCTGGACGACTGGTTCATTTCACCGACAATCATTTCACCGACAAAGATATTTTAAAGAATAAATGAGATATTTTATTATATAAACATTACAAGTTACCTATTAGTATAGTTTAAGTAAATATTTTCGGTGGTTCTATTGGATAATCAATGTGAATTCGTCTTACCGTTTGACGAAGTGCATCACGTGATGGATGATACGGGTAGACCGTAGACATCTTGCGATAACCTGTACAGGATTGTCATTTGTTTGTTGAGACCTCTCTTTTAATAATTTGATAGTTTTTATAACTTTAACTCGGTTGGCTTCTGCAGATCAGTAGCTTTTTACAGGATGATGTTGAATTGTTGTTGCTCGTCCTTTGCAGTTTAACATATCTCGCTTTTCACAATACCAATAGTACATATGATTTCTGTTTTTGTCTTTGACCATAATGAAGCCATCAATGAATATTAATTTTATGTTTATTACGAATAAAAGGAGTAACCTCGCAAATATCCATTTCTTTAATTTCTTTAATGAAAGATGAGAATTTAATGAGAATAAAAAAAAAAAGATTTAATTTTATATAATATATCTTTCCTTTTATGTATACATTATTTAATTGTATTATACTTCCTAAATAACAATAATAATTTTTCTTGATATTCTCCCGGATGATTTTTATTTAAAAAGATGGATAAAAAGTTTATCATTATTGGATAAAAATCTATGGTAATAAAAAATTGTGGCTATGTACATATTAATAATTACTAAATAAAGATAATATTAAAAAAAATTTTCTTTGTTCAAGGTTATTAATAGTAGTTTTTTTTGTATTTTATTAAATCTAACAAAGAAATACATGTTACTAACAAAAAAAAATCCCCCCTATTTCATACAAAAGATATATATAAAGTTTTTATATTTNTATTTTATATAAAGTAAAGCAAATTTTTTCAAATCATTTGGTTAAAAATTGAAAAAAAAAAAAAAAAAAAAAAAAAAATTTTATATATACTTACATTGGATTGATGATGAATGGAAAATGTACTTGATTTAATTCCTTTTCATGAAAGACATACATGTATAACATTAGCAAATAATGTATATATTATTGTCAATAATCCCGGCCTTTGTAAAAAAATTATAGTAATGACCACAGACAATGCTTCTAACATGAATGTATTTGGACAACATTTTACACAAATGCTCTCTAATAATCATGGAAATATATTATCTCGTCACGTAATATGTGCACACATATCCTAAATCAGTAGTAACAAGAGATGGTCTTGATGCAGCTGGAAAAGAGTCACATTCATTTCGCCAAAAATCTAGGGTAAGGTAAGAAGATTAGAGGTAAAGGAATTAGGATTAGGATTAGGGTTAGGATAATGTTAAATTAAGTGGATTAGGATTTCAAAAAATGACTGTCAGAGCAGCGTCCCCTTTTTAGTAAATTGATGACAATAACATATTGGAATTCAACATATATTATAATAGTAATCTTTAAATAAATTTATTTTTTAAAAAAATAGACTAATTACTCTCTTTTTAGACATTTGTTACATTATTTAAACCAGTTTATCTTTATCAAGCAACAAATCTTCCTCCAGCGTCAAATAATCCTTCCTACGTTTAGAGATCTTTGTACAATATTTCTTGTTGATAGCAAATGTAATAAATGAAGCGCAAAAAAAAACACAAAAAAATACAAGAAATACAAGACCAACAAAAGCATAATGCCAGGAAGTTGCAAAAAAATGTGTCTAAAACTGGATAAATATTGGGATGAACTTGGAACAACTTTTCACGAAGCAATAATACTTGATAATAAGCTATTATCTTTTGAATAAGATAAAGTATGTGAAACACTTCGTACAACTTATAAAACTTACTATTCATCCAGAGATAATGAATATACATTGGTCAGTACAGTCTCCAAGTCTGAATCATCACGTGACTATTTCCGCCAGTGAAGTGAGAGAACGTATGATGAATTTACAGAAGATGATATCCTTTTGAAGAATATCTCAATTCACCTATTGAAAATGTTGATATTGAAAGGTAGATTCCACCTGCCAACATGACGCGATACAAGTGTTCCAAGTGAATAAATGTTTAGGTGTAGCAAAGTTTACAATAAATCCAACAGGAAATCGTCTGAATCCAGAAAGTAAAGTTCGTACATCTCTTTGTCTTTAAAACGGTTCGCATCAGGTTTACTAATATAATTGAAATGATTACAGTATTATGATTTATAACAATAAATTACTCATGGTTTATTTTTATGATAATTGTTGTTCGTCAGCACCATATGATATGATGATCTGTATAAAGTTTACACTAGTTTGGAACTAATTAATTAGCCAATAATATTAATTTTTACTTATGCTTTAATTATTTGTTTTGCGTAAATCAATTCTATATTTAGCTCACACATACTAAAACTTTTGTTATTCAATAATGGAAATCCAATTCTATATTTAGCTCATTGAACGGAATCACATACCGATTTAATCTAAAACTATAATGTAAATCCAATTCTATATTTGGCTAATTATTTAACTCATTGCGGAAAAATTTAATCACATATTGACATTTAATTTTTTAATGATACCAACTCTATATTTAGTTATTGATCTAAACTTGATTTTCAATGATGCAACTCTATGTTTGGTTAATTATTTAACTCATTAGACGGAAAAATTTAAACACATATCAATAAATGATGAAACTCTATATTTAGTTTATTTAGTTCATAGAACAGAATGCATATATCAACTCCGTCTACTTTTTCCGCCTTTTTGAAAATTAAATTAAATAACAATTTGAGACAATATCAAAGCAGACGTTATTATCTCCTTGTGTAACCTGAATTTTATATTTAATACAAGCATTTTTCAACGTTTGATTTCTAAAATTTGCAATTAAAATGGCAGACATTCCCATTCCTGAGATTGTTTCTGAAATAAATAATAAACATCAGTTCCCGGAATTCAAGGGTAAGGTGATCAAACGTAATGATGTTGATTACGATGCTCAATCCTATCAGTATGCATCGAGCTCGCACTTGGAGGACGGAATCATTCAACCGGCGGCTATTATAAAGGCAGCAGACGACAGCGACGTGATCAAAGCCATCAAGTACGCAAGCGAAAACAAAATCGCTGTGGCCGTGCGCACAGGAGGTCATCAATACAGCGGAGCGTCGTCCACAAGTGGAAAAAACATTCAACTCGATTTATCCCAGACGTACAAGGATTTTGATTGGGATGATGAGAATTGCACGTCAGTGACGCTCGGTATCAGCTTCCCGTTGGGCGAGTTCAATGCTAAGCTTAGGGAAAAAAATCGATTTGTGCCACATGGTCAATGTCAGTACGTCAATTTGGGTGGACATATTCAAACTGGAGGATACGGTCAGTTGGCTAGAAGTTTCGGGCTCTTCTCGGATAATGTCATAAAATTTCGCATTATTACTGCCGACGGTCAAGTGCGTTGGGTTGCTCAGGGCGAGGATTTGTTTTTCGCTGTGTTAGGTGGGAGTCCTGGAAATTTTGGGGTGCTTACCCACGCCACGCTGCACGTCTTCAGAGACCAAGACTACCCGAATTCTCGCGGTCTCAGAGCTGCATACCCATATGACCGTCAACGTCTCAAGGACTTATTGGATGTCATGGTAGAAATGGTCGAAGATGAAAATTTCCCTGCCGATTATGACTATTGTATCACAGTGTTGAGTGAGCCGCCGGTTAGGACTTTCGAGTTAACCTACGATATGGCGCATCGCAAAGAAGGTCAGCAAATGGTAGCTTGGCCTCCGATGATCGTCGTTTTCGCGCAGTGGGCCAATCTACAAGGAGAAAAGCAAACCTATAATCCGGACTTCTTCAACAAAATTAAACAGGTCGCCGGCAAAGGGAAAGTCCAAGTCAGCGACAAGGAACACACACCAATGTCTACGTTAACCGGCCACTGGATTGTTCCAATTTCACGAGAGTTCGAACTTCCGTACATCAAACGTACATACTCGTCCAATTCAAATTCCCAGAGGCTCAAGGAACACAAGTGGACGGATTGGATTTCCGATCGAATCGAAGATGGACGCAATTGGAATTATGATAAAACTTCCGGTCCAATCGATGTTGGATGCAACGTAGCGGCACAAATTCAGCATTTTGGTGGCAACAACTCACGATTTAACCAAAACGGAAAGAGAAACTCCACGTCGTTCAGTTGGCGAGACGCGAACATTCTCTGCACGGTAGATGCATTTTACCATAGCTACCAATACGAGCAGACGATAGAGTGGCAGAAAAAAAACGATGAGGGAGTTGGAAAGCCGGAGGCCGCATTTTGCGAACATGACCGTCGTGTTTTATGGGGATCTTACGATTTGGACTTGAGTGCTTCTCATCAATATTATTACGACCAAAACCCAGAAGGAAAGTACGAACGACTGTGCAAAATCAAGCAAAAGTATGATCCGTCGGGCGTGTTCACTCCGAACAGATTTTGCATCGGCCTCCCAGTTCCGGTGCCTGCGGATTCCAAGGATGGAATTAAAAAGAGAATCAAGCTCTCTGGTTCGGAGACTGCAAAAGAAAGAGCCGCCGCTATAGAACTCGCGAAGGTGCCCCAACTGAGCGCGGAAGATAGATTTTGGGAAATGGTGTCGACGGAGAGAGAGCTCGGCAAGACTGTTCCTCTGTGGAATATCTGGCGCGCTTAAAAAGAGAGGGAAACAAACCCGAAATCAACTCTGTAATATTGGCATATTGTTAATTTCATAACCTCCGGTGTTGTATAGAGTAGTATTATAGAGTCATGCCGATAAATATAGTAATACTTAACGGGATATAAACAATTTTTTTATCGTAAAGTTTATGAATTTAATCGAAATTTTTAATTTTTTACCATTTTAACTTATAATCAACCGAAATCTCATTTTTCAACTAATTATAAATAAAAAACATTTACTTTTATAAAAAGGCTTTTTATTTTTTCATCATGGAAATGGTTGTAAATTTATTTTAACAGATAGTGCTTCCAGAAAACCTGGAAAAAAAGAACGTCAATCATATGACAGATACAATAACTTTCTTAAACGAAATGGATCTCATGATAAAAATAATAAAATTATAATATAAGTCGTGATTTCAAACTTTGGAAAACGCTTATTTTCGCTAATAAAGGTGCTTGTGTTTTCTAATAATCGGTCTTTTGGCTTTATCTTTATCCATTGTAATCGCTTCTTTAACTCCTAAATATCTACAGTATTTCATAGCCCGATCTTACTCCAAACCTTTTATATCCAGGAGTCAGGAGATATTTTAAATAATGATTAATTTAAAATGCTGATATAATTACTTTTGGATTAATTGATTATGCATCAAAATTTCAAAATTTTAGATTTAAAATATCGCTTTATTAAACTTTGTGTATTTTTCGGTTAAGGTTAGTTTTGATGTATTTCATCTCCAGAATCTTGAGATCTTTGATAAAACATTGTCAAAATATATATTGTTGTATAAATCCGATCTTTTTCAATTTTTTTTTTATATTTAAGGAATAGGTAAGTAGTTATTAAATACAGAGGCCTACAGTAATTTACCAGATTTTTAAATTTACTTAGTAATTTATAGTAAAATCAGCATTTTTAAGACATATAAAGTTTGTCAAAACTCAAAATTTAATAAATTTAATATATTGTAGTCAATTTTTAATTATTTAAAAACTAACCAATTATATATAGCTTTTAAAAATATAATTAAAGATATATTTTATATTGAAATTCCAAAAGTTATTTAAATATAATTAATATGTAATATAATTATAAAAAGTTGTTATGCTTTACATTCAGAAATTTTTTTATATTTTAAAACTATTTAACTGTTTATTTTTGATATTTAAAAACTATGATATTTAGCTATCAAATAAAAAAATTTTGCAATTTGAAGATCAAGTATTTAAAAAAAAATTTGATAAATTACTGTAGAAAATTCATTATTACCGTATTATCAATTTTCATTAATCATTACTCCCGTCAAGTAATTATAGATATGTGTGGATTATTAACAATTTTGATTATAAGTGATGATGATACCCTTTTAAATCAAATTTACACGCGTAAAATGAGACTTCATCATTGTAATCGTGTCACAAAAAAATTATTTCTTTTTTACCTTTTCTTCATACCTTTAAATACTTGTAAAAAAAAAATTTTCTTACAATATATTTTCGATAAAGAATGGAGATCATTGAGATCTTAGATGCAGTGATGGCAAATGACTAAGTCATTTGCCCATTTTGAGATGACCTCCGAATGACCTTCGAATGACCTAGTCATTTAGGTCATTTGTCATTTGAGTCATTTAAAATTAATGCTTTATAATTCAGGCCAAGTTAATGATGCCGGCCAGAATTATGAACTTCTAATATCATGTGAAAATTTTATCCATGAAATAGTGAAATTGTATGAATAGTTCTGGCCAGAATTATGATGTAATTTTTAAATGACTAGGTCATTTGTCATTTAATGTTGAAATGACCCAAATGACACGTGACCAGTCATTTGAGTCATTTGAGGTCATTTGGGTCACTGGCCAACACTGCTTAGATGAGGAAACATACGATGTAAATAATGATATATTCAGGTAAGTTTTAAAAAAGGTTTGTTAAAATATAACTTAAAACTAATCAATTTATTATATAAATGTTATCAACTAATAGTGATTCTAGTAGTGATAATGAAAGTGTAAAGAGACAGAAATGGCATATTTTACGAAAAATTTTGGTATATCAATCATTATTTATTCGACCGTACCTATAGAATATCCTGCAACATCTTCTGTTGGTGTATGGAAAAATCATATGTGATGCATTTAATGATGTATCAATTAAGTAATTAAATGATTTTTATTTTAGATACAGTATTTCATTGGTATCGGTGGTTCTCCTATTCAGAAGTGTCCCTTTTTTTGATAATATTCCTGTTATAAATATGTAAGATAATGCTAAGGAATCAAACATTGTTTCTTTGTTGATTCTGATCTTATAGATGGTGAACATTGCGAAGTAGACTTTGAATCTGATATTTACAAAGAAAATTATACATATATGTAGATAGTTTTTTGATCACTTAAACATAATTAATTAATTTCTTATTTAATTATAGTACATTTCTTACTGCTCAAGATTCACAATGTAAATTTAAGCAAAATGATACCAATTGTTCCGGACGAAAAAAAAATCTTACAAAATATCGTTGGATTATTGGATGTACTAACTGTAAGCCATAGAGATTGATACTCAAAAATTGATATTGATTTATTACGCAAATTATTCAATGGAGAAGCTATTGTAAGTATGTTTGATTGGATTTTAATTTTTTAATTTTTTTATTTTTATTTAAAAGACGGAAAAAAATGCAAATCAATGTTCTACTATTATTCCAAAACTAAAAAATGTGGTATGCAAGTAAAGAAAGGAGAAGCACGTAAAGCTGTGCAGTTTTACCTGAGAAGATAAAAGATTCAGATCTGGGTATTACTCACGAAAAAGTAGATATTCCAAAACAAAATAAGCCAAGATTGAATGAAATACTGCTTGATGAAAATTTTAAAAAATTAGATGAGCCGTGATATGTGAAAATCATTCACTTTGCATCGGCCTAATGATAGTGATCATATGCGTACTAGTAACAAAGCAGAAACTGACAAAAGGGTGAACAAAAAACCACGAACAACTTTTATTTCTTAATATGTTATCAGTATTGATGATGGTCGTGATGGTGATTATGATGCTAATGGTTTGTAGTGCAAGGATAATAGTAATTCGCAATATAAGATAACATTTAATTCCTTCCTTAAAACATTATGCATTATATATTATATTAATATTTATATTTTTTAAAATTAGTTTGTAATGGATTTTTCTCTCGTAATTATGCTGCATTGGCAAAAGTTACCAAATTTTACGCAAAGATACTTTTTTTGATGGTAATGAAAAGGCTGGATGATACTTCAAACATGATAATTGTATGGAAAAAACTTGGTGTCGTTTCTGTTCATCATATGCATCTTTTGCTTCTAATGAAACTTTCAACAAACGTACAAACTCTTATTGTTCAAATTGTTTGTCTGTTCCTTTTTAAAGAAGGACAGGTAATTCCTCAAACTATACGTAGTCAGTTTAATCATTATTCCGACCATAAATGGCTTGTATGAATTTTAATCAGCTTAACAAAGTTGTCATTAATATCATTAAATACCGACCTGGATCATCCACATCTGAGGCTCTTTACACTTGAACTTAAGGATAATTCTTATCATTCACTTATCAAATCGTATCCAGCACTTGGTCAAATTCTCGAGGCTGTTGAGGCAAATAGACTTAAAGATTGATTAGAAAATGTACAACTTTTATGATAAACAAAACTATGAATGAACAACGCCCAGTATTTTTTGACATGGCATAAGCTATTGCCAAAGTTCTTGATAAGATGGAACGTTGGACGATATGATAGTTTTGCAGATTTTCTTATTGTATTAATTTTGATAAGTACATTATCAGTTCGATGGATCACTGCAAATTTAGCTGGACTAACAATTCGATTTATACGCAAAAAAAAAGAAATGAAGATAATGAAATTTCAACATTTATGATATTAATCCTCATATATTTACGGAGCTCATTAGAATCTGGTGATTAGCCTACAATTATTACGGTCCAACTATATGTTGCTGAAATAATCGAAGTTTGTAGAACATAGTTTCAATTGACACTTCAATGGTACCTCATTTAATGACTGCTGAGGAGCTTTGTGCAGAGATTTCATCATTTAAAAAAGTAAATAATAGTTATTGCGTCAGTCACGCAAGATCATGCTATTATTATAGTAAGAGTATATAAAAAGTATAATTAAACTGCAAATATATTTGATATTTAACCAATAAAAGACAAATATCAATTATTTAGCCATCAACAAAAATATCAGTCCGTCAAAATCTGCATGATCCTATTAGACTGACCAATAACATATATTACTGTTTATGCATTATCAGCTATTCTACCAGGTATTCCATCACTGGTTTTAGCTGTATACCATCAGATCAAAAAGAAACTAAAAGTGATGTATTTTAGAATTAATAAGATCAAATGCTAAACCTATTGAACTATACTTTGATGGTGCTTTTCGTGATCGGTCTTGGATTGGAGAAACTTATAATAATCATCCATCAGTTTATAATGATCTTGGTATTATAATGGTAAATATGTTAATTATTACAGTTACAATTGTTTTACATATTTATTATTAAAAGCTGTTTTAATGAATTTAGGATGATAAAGCTTTTTTTCAAGAAAATTTCCTATTGAGATTGGTTTATCTAACAATGACCAACCTTTAATTAATGGAACTGATGTTTTTCATCATATTAAAAGGTATGACTCACTTTTAAAGTTTTTCCATTTTTCAACAATTCGTAAATTACAAAAAATAAATAAATTAATACAAGTCGAAATATGCATATTGGGGTACACGGATATTGATGAAGACAATATAAATGATGATAATATTGATGATAATTCATATGCTCAAATTAACCAGATGCTACTGCAGCATCAGCATCGTATCACAGTAGCAAAATTATCTTGATCAATTAATATTTGAAGAGGAAACTATCGATAATTCATTTGATATTATTAATGGTGATGTACAACAAAAAAATGAAATAGATCCGTATTTTTATTATGCAAAAATTTGTGGTAAGTATTTACAATAATTGTATATGGAGGTATTGCAAAAAAATATGAGTATTTTTTTTAGCTTTGTCTAGTATACTTAAAAAGAATGCAAGAATGCCAAAAATCAAATAATAAAGCAGCAAAATAATCCAAAGAATTATATATACTGTATATTAAGTATTTTACCATTAATTATATTTTTAATATTTTTTTTTTTTTTTTCTTTTCCCAAATTTTTGGTTTCACATGAAACCTTTATAGCATTAATCATTTATTCTATAAATAGTCAAAAGAAAAAATTATTTTGACCAATAAAATAAAATGTTTTTCCATCTTAAAGAAAAAAATATTTTTATTGTTTATTGAAAGTAAAATAAGCACGTTTTTTTTTACGCAATTTCCCAAATGCAAGCAAGCACATCTTGCTTTAAATTCTTTAGAAACGTGGTACAAGTTATATTGAATTCATGCTAGACTTTTTGAACAATGATCTGATTCTAATCGTGAATAACTAATTAATTAAACTTGGTTCTTTTTCTTACAAAAACCGTTATATTCACTTGAGCAAGGTTGAAACATGAAAAGATGATCATTTCTTTTGAAAATTTTTGTGAAACTACGTCGCGAAATTAATTTCTTATGAAACCAATCAGAATCTTTGAATGAAATCAAACTTTCGTTACGCATAAAAAATCATTTGATAAATTGATCAAAATACCAAATTAATGAAATTTTCACCCAAATAGTCATTTGTCGAACATTTTCTGCAAAAATGGATATTTTTTATGTTGATCATTTGTTGATCAAGAAATTTTCCATTGCCAATCATGCCCTAATTTATTATTGATCTAGGCATTCTAGTAAAAAAGTCCATTTATTCTTAAATATATTAGGATACTATTAGGACGTTCATATATTATTTCATATATTGTATGACGAAAAGAATTTAATAAGGTAAATTTGGGTAAATATGAAAAAAAGGATGAAAACAAAGTTTGCATTATGACATAATTACACAAATAATAGGATCCAATGGTCTTTATTAGTTCGACCTCGTTGTTTTCTGATAAGGTTACTTAGTACATAAGACTGAGATTTTGAACAATCATTATGGAAAGTTTTTGTGCGTGCTGAGTTCCTATGTGCTACTAAAAATTATTATTGACTTGATAGATCATGAAGAAATTTACATTTCTTACTTTTGTGTTGATCATCAAAAAATTTTTTTACACGAACAAAAAAAATATTCTAATATTTAAAACTCACAGATCCAAATGTACACTAGTTTTATTGGGTAATTTTTAGTGATCCACAAATTTCTGCGTTGAAGCCTTGAATTTAATTTTTGTAATTTTAGAAATTTATTTTAATTAGTGATTTAATTTTTATTGATCTAAGTTTTATAGTTAAGTATTTTTGAGTAACATAACTTAGTAAGTAGTACTCGACGTACGCCCTTATATTTTGATAGTACATAGGTGATACGAATAATGTGGAGTAACTCCACAGTGCTACTGTACGGGTGTCAGATGAATGATTATACTGAATTTGGTAATAACAAAAGCCGAATTATTAATGCAAAAACATTATTGTTTATTTAATTAAACCGTATAAAACGTATATTATTTTATTTTTATTTTATTTTTTTTTTATATTGTTTAGTTTAAAAACATATCACCTCCTTACAAATATACTAAATTTGTTTAGTACAGAAAATAAGAAAATGGATTACTTTATGATAAATAATGGATTTGTTGATTAGCTTCTTTAATATAAATACGGGTTTGTTTTTTTAAAAAAAAATTCAATATTAAAATAATATTATAAAATTTAATATGGAAAACACGAATTTAAATAACCGTATTATACGAGACTATTCAACAGGAAATCCTTCAATTATTGACAATAATGAAAACTTACAACACACTTCAAACCCTAATATGAATTTAAACACCTCACATATTAATAATATTGATATGACTGCTCTTGCATCTCAAAATATTACGTTTGAATTTTATCTTCCTTTACCAAATGATACACGTATTTATCATGTTACTTATACCGAATTAAATTCAGTAGGAATCGCGCAACTTTTGAATAATAGAATTAATTTATCCCACTTTCTCAATCATCGACTTCCACATCATTATAATATACAACATTTAATTCGGCAAGAAATTGTTCAAAAATCTACCCCGCAGCAATCTTTCGATAATATGGATATTCAACGTAATTTTCAAGAATATTCGGATAATAATGCTTTCGATGTATCTTCAATTCTTCCTATTCAACAACCTGTTGATTATCAACAAGATGTCATCCCACAACAATCTTTCGATACTATGGATATTCAACTTAACTTCCAAGAACATTCAGATAATAATGCTAATGACGTATCTTCAATCTCTTTTATTCCTGTTGATTATAAACAAGATACCATCTCGCAACAATCTTTCGATAATATAAAATTTGAATTTTATCTTCCTTTACCAAATGATGTATATATCTATCATGTTACTTATACCGAATTAAATTTAACAGAAATCGCGCAACTCTTAAATAATAGAATTGATTTATCTCACATTCCCAATCATAGACTTCCATATCATTATAATGTACAACGTTTAATTCGGCAAGAAATTGTTCAACAATCTATTGGTTATCAACAAAACACCGTCCCACAACAATCTTTAGATACTATTGATGTTCAACCGATTTACCAAGAATATTCAGATAATACTAGTGCTTGCGATGTATCTTCAATTTCTCCTATTCTACAACCTGTTGATTATCAACAAGATGCCATCCCACAGCAATCTTTCAATACTATGGATATTCAGCCCACAATCCAAGAATATTCAGATAATAATGCTTACGATGCATCTTCAGTTCCTCCAAACAGTCCTGATGATACCTCAACTACATCAAGCTAAACCCAAATTATAATTTATAGTATTAAGCTAGTATGTCATTATATGCTTTAAGAAAGATGTCATATTTATATGTTACAATATGTTAATATAAATTCAATATTTATATGATTCACCGAATAAGTTTTTTTTAAAGAGTGGATTTGATAGATTTACATATTATTATTATTATTATTATTATTATTATTATTTTATACCATCCCCATTTTCAATATTATCCGGTTATCTGGTATTTTTTTTTGTCCAAATATACTAGACTACACAATTTTTGAGAATGACGATAATCTATTTTAAGAATAATTTATTGAGATTAAACGAACTTCTATTTATTACTCTCCTTCAAGGGTATAGGGAATAATGTGTAAGATATATAAACGTGGGTTCTTGTCATACTTCAGAATTATTATTATTTATTTATTTTTTCTTTTTTATAAAAATAAGTTATTTCTCTCTTCTCGTTTAAATTCTATGTTTAAGTTTCCTTAAAAAAATAAAATAAAATGCTTTTTTTCGAATATTAAATTAACACATGATTTAGCAAAATCCTCGTTTAACTATTTTAATATAAAAGTTGGTTTAGTTTTATGTGAATACAAACCTAGTTATAACGCTAAAAGTGGTTGGTTAACTGAGTTCGGACAAATTGATTTGGCACAGCACTGCAGTACCACAGTAAGTGGGTAAATCTTACCACACCACCTCGCGTAGTACAGGTGATGATTTTGTCACATGGTCACGTGATGGCGGCGGCCTCGTTGTTTATATGACTTAGAAATTTTTTTGCGGTCTGATCTCTATTTGTCACTTGCATAAAGTGTTATGCACTTTATGCAGTGTAATCAACACTTTTAATATTCGTAACACGGTGGTAAGATTATCCCAGTAAGTGTCAGTTTCTTTTATTTTTTTATGCTTAATTAATATATTTTATACCATAAATTTTTTATGCCTATCTACTATTTATTTATTTATTTAAAAACCAGGTGAATTTTATTTATTATATTTTTTGAGGAACCGGTTTTTTCTTTCATTAAAACAGGTTTTATTATTTATGAAAGTAAATTTTTGGTTAAGAAGGAATTTTTATAATAATCAATAATTTTATTATTGATTTGTTGGATCCAAAATTTGACCTCACGTGCTATTTTTATTTTTGCAGAACGAAATATATATATAAGAATACATTATAAAATCTTGTGGATATGTAAATAACAAATTTAATAAAAATCTAAAATTATAGCTAAAAGAATTCTGTATGGCTGTATCACCGTTCATTGTATACAGCAATTGTATACAGTACACGAGCGAGCGATACGCAATTTTAAGAAATCAAACTTGAACAATTTGAAATACATCTTTTAATACATCGTTTAAATGTAACACAATCTTTGCTATACTTAAAACAATTTTTTATACAAGTAAGAATACCAAAGATATTTTGACATGTAAATGGTGTTGATAAATTTCCATTTGAGATTGACATTTTTCAATATCTTTTTTCAGGCAGTCCATGTTCAAATAAATGAGCTGAAGTTTCTCTGAGTTCTTGAGCATCAGATGTAACAGATTCTTTGGATTGAAATTTTTCAAGATCCTTGAAAGGAGTTACCAATCCGGTTATGGCAAAAAAAAGCGAGAATTGATAAGAGAATAAAGATGAGTAAAGTGATACGACTCATTTTTTTTTTATTTAGGAGTATTTTTTTTTTTTATAAAAGAGTCAGCGTGAGTTGTCTTTTTTAAAAAATGAATTTTTTTATTTGAATTTTAACAATTTTGGAATTTTTTGAATATTTTTAAAAATCATCTATTGATACCAGTATTTGGTAACAAAAGTAATATATTTAGAGTTTGATTTGAATTTTCGTGACTTTAGACTTTTTTGGCTTATTATCTTGATCTTTTGTGGCTAAACTTTCCTTAAAGTTATAGAAAAGCGAAATTATCAAAACCTATAATCTATTTTTAGCGACAAAAAATTTTAATCGTATATATGTTGTGCCTCAGATCGATTCATGCCTCAGATTGAAGCTCACGCACCTCACATTGAGATTGTCACCTGACGCACCTCATTTGAATCATTCAATAAAGTCTGTTATAAGTAAACTTTTTTTCTCAATAATTAAACCACTTTTTGTAACATAAACAAACTTGTGCGCCATAATGAGTTACATGTTTCCTGAAATCTTTATGTAAATCTGATTCATATTGAAGTTTATACTTGTATTTTATCTGAAAAATCATTAAATTTTAAGTCATTTTTCAAATGAAAAGATTTAATGAGCATGATTCTAATTAATCTGAAATTTTAGGATTGTATACTTAAAATAATGATAAATAAGTTTACTTAGTACTTAAAAATACATTAAAATTGGAAATTTTGATGTTTAATTATAGCTCATTTTTATTAGCAATTGAGGTGCGTCAGATGACAATCTCAAACTGAGTTGCGTGAGCTTCAATCTGAGGCAAGAATCGATCTGAGGCACAACATATACATATATTATATATTATGATTTATGAAACCCGTAATATTATAGACAATAAAATAATGTAATTTAGTAATTATTTGATTTATTAATTAACGTTACAACTTGATAATCTTGATTATAAATTTATTGAAATTCGTAGATGAAAATATTAATTCAAAGTTTATAAACTTATTTTTATCCAAAATTCGATTTAATAGAAATATTATTTATAATTATTTACCAATTTTGATACTAATTTATCTCCTTTATTTGTCTTACTATGAGAATGTTACCTCATAAACTACAGTAGTCAGCTGACGATATTATCATTGAATAAGGTGATTTAATTTTCATTTAAAATAATGCAGGCATGTGATCTAATTTAAAAAAAATTGCGAATAAACATTTATATGATTCAACATTTTTATTGAGAACATACTAGTTATTATAAAACTGCACAGAAAAAGCGTAAGGAAATAAACTTTCATTTGATTGAGATTGTCAATAGAAATAATAATTAGCCCTAGTCACAGATCTTCAAGACGCTTTCTGCGTAAAATATTGTGTTTCCTAGGAACGGAAATTACCCGTTGGCGTTCTGACTTCTGAGTCAATTTTCCACTAGCTTGTATCCAAAAAGTGAAACATGTACATAATATAAGGATTTCCCAAATAAAATGCTATCTAATTTATTTACCTAACACTTAACCTCTACTCGAATGAAATCTTCTACCACCAATTTGTGAATGGAATCCTGGTTGAAGAATGAAGAGGATTCGTAGTCTAACCTAGTAACTTATTAAGCGACTGACAATATGGTTAACCATATCCAAATAAATGATCGACCTTAAAAACTTTAACGACAGGATGTTCTTTAAACCTTCACTGTATAAAGTCCAAAACAGCTCAAAGTGAATATTTATTTTGACCTTCCTAAGGAGACATCCACCATACGTTTTATACCTGTAACAATAGAACTAATTATCTCTTGTTTTTATATATGTCTGGAAAACAAGCGAACGTCTCTTACAAACCAAAGCATCAAACCAGATAATAAAATTATGCAAACTCTTTATAAAAAATAAGTCCCTATGTCTTAACTCAGTTGATTTGGCATGTGAGGCTTAATGTTCTGTTTTATTAATTTACACATCATTTCACATAAATGTATTAACGGCTTGTTTATTTCACGTCAAGCAATTGATAGTAAAGAACTGAAGTCAAAATACTAAAGATAAAAGAGATAGTAAGGAATTTAGTTAAATAAGGATGTAACGTCATATTATGGAAAAATATTGAAAAAGTGCCGTATTTGTAATAGATCTTGTTCCGTATATATTACGTGACTATTCATTTTTTATTGTAATAAGGGAAATGTCGAATATTGAATTTTCTTTTAAAGATAGAATAAAAGACAAGCAGGAAAATATAGTCAAACCTCGACCGATAAAATTTCCGTGTCCATTTCACAATTGATAAAAAAAAATCTATATTATATGTGATCCGATATTTTATGTTACGCTAGTATTACTTGGCCAACACTAACAATTTGGCTGAAGTTATAAAATTTGAACTTTTTGCGCCATCTTAATTCTGGTCAGAATTACATTTTGGAATTACAATCTGGCCCACATTATGGTCCCAATATTTTTCCAGTATCAGTACATTGAAAGTTTGGCTGTAGCAACATATTAAGATTCATTTCTTGTTTAAAATGCCTTCATTGGACATTATTGATATTATTGGAATTTACTAAGAACTTCGAATTTCGTTAATATTGTAGAAAAATTCTGCATATCGTTTGTGCATTCGGGAACCATCACTTGATACACGTCTATAATTTAAAAATAATATTAAAATCTATATAAACCTAAAATTAAATAATAATAATAAAATAATAATTACGCTAAAATTTAATAGTATAAATATTTATGGATGTTTTTTTTAAAAAAAAAATAAAATAAAAAAATTCAGTTATAAATAAATATTAAAGATGTAATAATAATAAAATTGACCCAGCATTATGAATTTGGCCGAAATTAAGCAATTGTCGTAATTTCGAGCAGTAATCCGAAATTAGGATTACGACCCAAGTTGTAATCCAAATGCCGTAATTGTTACTTACGGCAAGCAACACTAGTATATATGGATAAATTTATCCATGAATCACAATTAAGCGCAAAGATAAATTTAAATTTTGTGAATCTTATTTTTTTTTTTAAAAAAAATAAAATAAAATTTTAATATTTATTAATTTCCTTTTCAGAATTCTCCCCTCAAAATTTCTATCATATTAATAATGAACAAAATCAAATCCTCATGATTTCTTTTCGCGAGCTATCTTTATTTTATTAGACTTAAATTATTAAAAATTTATAAATTTTTTAATTTTACTTAATTCGCAATTACTGTAAAAATCTCGGTAAAAATATTTGGAAATTTTGGAAATTAGAACAATTTTACTCTACAGTTTCAACGCTAATTAAATAAACGTGAAGTCATCAATACTATTTTTATTTTTATTCTATATAAAATAAATAACAGTTAATCGTAACAGAGGTAAAGAATAGAAGTATCTTATGTTTTGCGAGTGATATATCTGTTATAGTATAAATATTTTTGATTATATGTAAGAAGGAATAATTAATGCTAATTACTTTAATGTAAAATTTTGTGGAGGGAATAGAAATTGGATATATAATGTGAAGATTATAGATTTGAAATTTTACGTAGATAATTAACTGGTCTTATGTAAAATCATCGAAATCATTTTTTCTGAAAATAAAAAAAATCTAAAATTTAGCATTTAATGGTACTTAAAAAAACAAACAAATATTAAAAATTAGATTTGTTCTTATAATAAAAATTATAGTTATTCTTTGTCTATTTTCTATTTTTATTTTTTATTTTTAATATTTTTATTTATTATTTTTTTTTTAGTTCCGAAATAGGACGGGTCTAAAGCGAAGTAGTATCATGTGATCTGATATTGAAATTACAGCATCAAGAAATTAATTACAAATAATCTTTCATGCACTGAAAAAAAACTGAAAACAGAAGCGTGACATGAATGACGAATTAATAAGGTTGTCACGTAACACTACTTCAACTTTAGCGCCTCCCTAAAATGGTAAATATTCTAAATAACAAAAAGAAAATTAATTACACAATTTATATATATATATATATATATAATGGCGTTGCATTAGATAAAGTTTGAGTAATAATTTCTTCTAAGCTTCCATTTAATCTTTTTTCTAAATATTTTTTTTCTATTATGTTCATCAAACGCATAAATTAAGGGGTTAGCATAAAAGAATTCAAAATAGTTCGTTTATAAGGTGTCTTTAGATAAGTCGTAATCCATTAAAAGTAAGTGAATTTGCCAATTTCTTTATATTCAATTGTGTATAATGATCTAGCTATTATTAGGATTTCATTTGTTCGAAACAATGATCGGCACTTTTTTTTTACAAAGCAAAAATACAAGGCAAAAAGGAAAAGATCAAATGATCGTATTCATAAATACCATTTTAAGATGATTATTTGATTCTAGATAAATTCAAAGAATGCAAAATAGTTTTCTTTTACATTTACATTTAATGCATGTTTTTTTTTTACAAAATATAAATTATTGATAACGGAATTTAAAACTATTTCACATGTATTATTGTTAACTGATCGCGTGTAAAAAATTTTTTTTTTCGTATTACAATTAAATATTTGATATGATAAATATAGAACAGGCTTTTTCAATAAATAGTTTTAATAGAACATATAAATTATACAATTTTTTTAATAAAAAAAAAAAAAATATCAAGAAATAAATATACATATATATATATACATATATACTATACATCAATATCTTATCTAATTTGTAGGTTTTACATCTTGTCCTGCAATAACTCCTTCTTCTTTTCCATCAGGAATGTTATTCACTTTATTATTTTTATTCCATTTGCGTAAAATAAAGATTCCAACCAATAAGCAAATACCACCAATTAAACTTCCTATGACCGAATAAATTATAACAAGTTTATTACTACTATTATTAATATTACTAGTTGAAGGTGTTATTGATTGTACTCGTGATTTTGATGGAACAGGATCAAAGATATGTGACCATTCATACATATCATTATTTTTAATATCAAGAAATAAAACATCGCTGTCGTTTGAATTTTCATAACCAGTTCCTATTAAAAAAAAAATAAGTTATATTCTTTTGTTATCCAATTAAATTTGACAATACTGAATAATAACATATTTACCAAATGTTACAACCATATAATCGGAAATTACATTTGCTTTGTGCCAATATCTGGATGCTGGAATTTCTCCAATGACAAAAGGAACTTTCCATTCAAAATTTGTTAAATTTAATACATAAAGTGCATCTTTAGAACTAATGCCAAACCCTCCAAAAATGATCACCCGATTACCGTCCAATCCTGAAAAGTGAAAATATAATAAATAATTAATCAATCAAAGATTTAATCAAATTCATTTGTATGTTATAAATATTTACCAAGAACAGCGGAAAAAGCATCTCTTTTAGAAGGTATTTTTCCGGAAGTCATCTAAATTTAATAAATCATTTTAATTAAAGAACCTAATTATCATTGTAAATTCACAATTTATTAAATGTTAAATTACTTTTTTGCTCCAAACATCATTAATTGTATCATATAAATAGACCTATTAAACAAATAAAATGCCATTGAGTGTTTAAATATTACAAATATGATAATAGTTTACTAGTATATAACAATTAGATATAGTACCTCATCTAAAGGTAAATGATCACCACCATTTACGCCACCTAAATGATAATTACTCAAATATTAAGTATAGAACCTAGTATTAAGTTAAAATATAATTTATTACTTACCAATATAAATGATGTTATTATTATTCGGTAAAAAAGTCGCTCCATAATTTCTCCTTGGAGATGGCGCATTAATTGAATTTCCTTTTTTCCAACTAAGATTTATTGTATCTAAGATAAGCATATCATTTAAATCGCCATCAATATTATTCGTTGCTCGTCCACCAAATAAATACATTTTTTTCTTATGGTCTACAACTCCTTGTAATTGATTTTTTCCAATAATAATATCATTATTAGTTGTTTTTAGACTGGTCCATAAATTCGTACGTATATCAAATGAATAAATTAAAGGATCAGTAAAATTATCTGAATTTCCGGTATACAAAATCAACTTTTCATTATTTGTACCACCATTGACAGCCGCAGCACCTCTATGTGACGGAACAATATTAATACTTGTTTCATTATTCCAATACATATTATTAACATAAAGCGGAGCATCAAATTTATAATAAAAAAATTGTTTTCCTGTATCATTATCATAATTGCTACGACCTCCCAAAATGTACAAGTTAGAATTAATAAATGTAGCTGTATGAAGATATCGTCTCAGATGATCATCGTGAAACTTTGGTTTAAAATTTCTCATTTGACCATTTATTTCAACTAATAGTTGAATTAAAATCCATAACACGATATATACCGAAGAATTCTTTATCATGATAATATACAGTATGTTTAAAAATAGTATAGTAATGAAATACAGCAGTATGTTAAAATATGATGAAACGAAGTGTGTTTCAAAAGAAAGTTTATATTTTTAGTGAACGTTACTACATAAATATAAGTATTTATTTATTGCTCTAAACTTAATTTGGTACGAACTCATCTTTTTATCTATCCAAGGAAAATAGTAAATTGGCGTTCGGTCGTTTCAATCTATGTCGATCATATACAGTTAAAATTTTTTTTTTTGATAATCGGTATTTTATTTCAATAAAAAGATCTTTTTTTTTCTTGTTTATTATTTAACAATAAACAATCTTTATCTTTAAATCACGTTAAATGAGTTCAATTTTCGAATTAAGGTAACATACATGCATGTGTAAATGAATCCCTAGAAGGTCCATCATTTGCCATTGTCGTACAATTCTGCTGACCATATGAATATTTGATTGTGTTCAATTGTGTAGATACTAAATTTGTAACTTTACTCGCTAAAAAACCTGAATGTGCCTAAACCTATTTTTGATTGAATGTATGTTATCTAATTGGATAAAAAAAAAAAAATTGGTTTAATGACAGTAATTTCGATATTTTAAATAGATTTTACTTATGACTGACTTTTTTTAAAAAAAAAAATTAAATAAATAACTTATAACTTACGATCTATTTAAATAAAAAATGTTTTAATAATAAATTAATAAATTTTTAATAGTTTTTCAGTATTGATAAATTTATTTTCAAAATAACAGTTTGAACATGACATTACTCGTTTATAATATATGGTTTTATAGTAAAGATTATTATAGATTTATTTAATAATTATTACAATAAAATATACAAATATTCTGAATATTTAAATAACTATATAACAAATATGAACATTTAAATAATAAAAAAAGAAAAAACAAAATTTACAATCTGAAAATTAACAAAAACAACAACCCTTTTGTTTTACTTTAACAGTTAAATTTCGACTTCTGCAGGCTAAACAATTGGATATCAACATGAATATCAAATCTGCAATTGCAAGGCCAAATCCTGGTCCAAAATTTTTATTAGGACTTATCACTCCACCAGTAGTTTTATTAAAGTTTTGTTCAAACTGTTCTTTTTGACTATTATCATCTTTAAAAATGAGGATATCACCTATAATCGCTAAAAGAATGACGATAGATCCAATTATAGAAATGATTGCAAAAACTCTTTGAATACAACCATCTTCAGAAGGATTACAAATTGAAACAATGCCAATAATAACCAATACTAATGATACTATTAAGGCTAAAAAAACAATATGTATTCATTAATAATAATCTTTTTTAGGAAACTTATATTACATTAAATATATTTACCAATTGGATGCATAGCCCCCAGGAATCTTGTACCAGAATGTCCAAAATCGCCAATGAGACCACCTTTTGTACAAGTAAACAAATTTTCAAGATCTTGTAATTTAAAATTTTCGTTAATGTTATCATGTACGCAAGAACCGTATAATCCCAATTGTGTTGTTATATTATTAATTTCATATTTCATAATGAAAATTGATTGAATAACGGTTGTACCCAAGTTCACTAGTAAGAGAAAGATAAACGAGCCTAGAGAAAAAAAAGGCTGCTAAAATGTTTATGGTTTTAGCAGAGACCATTTTTATTATTTCGCGATTGATATAGATTATAGATTAGTTTTTAAAAAGTGTTTAAAAATGTATTCCAAAGAATAGAAACTATTGTTGACTTTCAGTAAATTCACGGAAATATTGGTTGTATTTATATTTCAAATGTTTGAAAACTTTTACACGTCTAGACTCTAGAGACATAGATAAAAACCAATTTAGATTTCATTTAGAACCGAACAGAATTTTTTTTTTTAGATCAATAATTACCAAAATTGTTTTATTTCCTCGTTTATCATCGATAATCTTGAAGGCGAAGCAAAAAAAAAAATATTTTTTCTTTAAAAATTTTTTTTTTTCTGCATAGCATCATGAAACGTCTGACACCAGACATGCATGAAATATCCTATGTTACACTATATAATAGTAGCATATATAAATGATCAAATCTAAACTTGGATATACCATTTGAAAATACAATAATACCGGAGAATATTTAGAAATTTTAAAAATAAAAACTTTTTAGAAAAACCTGAAGATATAAATTCTTGAAACATTTTGTTTGATATTATTCTTCACTCTCCTTGATTTTCCAAAATAAGGTGTTTTTGATACAAACAAAAAAAAAAATTGTACATAATACTCTGTGATATTTACAATTAAATGAATAATCGAAACAATTTTGAATTTGAATCAGGATCTCTAAATAACTTTCGTCCAAACGTTGTTCTAAAAAATCTATTAAAAAGTTTCCCATTAGAATTGATTAATTAGCGTAGAATTTATGTAATGAAACGTACAGTATGTGTGAATGTAACACCTTTGTCATGAGTTCTCAACTTAATTTCTCAGCTTTGTTATTTTAAAATAAATCGTAATAGATTTACCAATGATATCTTTTTAAAAATAATAAAATTCTATTGGAACTAGGAAAATGGATAAATGATTGTCTTGTACAAAGACATCTTCTCAAACCATTTGTTAAAAGAAATCTTAGTTCTAATGTTGGTTTTCTACTCTCCTAATTAGACAAATTTAATTAGACAATTTAATAAATAAGAATATTACGGAAAATCTATTACGCTATAGCACTGCATACAGTAGTAGTACATCACCCAGTAGTTCTCTTGGTCTTAGTCTTAATCAAAGTATTATCGGTACTTTTATGAGGCAGGAGACTTAGCAATGGTCTAAATTTCAGTAGTATTAGTTTTACTTTTCAATTATCGTTAATTAAGTTATAATCTTACCAAATTAATTTTATTATCAGATAATAAATAAAAAAATAAAAAAAAGCATATTGACATATTGACGTTGGTGCATTAACAAAACTACCTGCCTCTACATCCCGTTCCATAAATATATCATTTCATAATCTCATTGTCTGTTAAGCCAAACGTTCTAGTAGCATTAGCTCCGGATGTATATGGAATAAAATAATTTACTTTAACTGACATTGCAACATGATGAAGTGGGACTATGTCAATATTCGATAAGTATATTCGATAAGTATATTCGATAAGCATATTCGATAAGTCTTGCTATGATAATTAATTCCTGAGTCTTATAACAGATAAATGGAACGGATAAAAAAAGTTTTTTTATTATAAGAGCATTAATTGACAATGCAATTCAACTAATGAAACCCATAGCACGAAATTTAAATTTAATAAAGAATTATTTGATATGATAGGAATAAAGTGTTTGAATATATATATATTTTTTCTTTGTTGATTTTTCTTGATATATAATGTTTTTGATCTCATTCTTTCAGCCGATCTGCAGGACTTGGTTACAAAATTAGTTATGGACTATGGACTATAAAGCATCCATTTTCAAATTTGATTTCAGTTAAATAACAATGAAATTACTCATTTGTAGATAGATAACATTCATAATATAAACCGTAGTAAAATTACAGATAATTTCGTTTCATGATGTTAGTATTCGACCTTCTATAATTTGTTACCATAAATGAGACATTCTTTTCTAATTAAAATAATTGTTTCTCAAAATAAATGTGATATCTCATAAAGTGAATTTATATACTTTTAACTATAGCGAAATACAGCCTAGATGTAAGAAGAAAAGAAATGAAAATATTAAATTGCCGATCCTACTTAAGAACGGCACTCTCATCGAATATTGGTGTATAATTTTTTTAGCTTATTCTTTTTTTTACCAATATTGAAAAAATTGCAAAATAATTTTTTTTCAGTATCTACTAATTACGCAAAAACGGTAAAATGAAGCGGAATCCGACGCACATGAAATGTTTACTCTTTTTTTCACAATTTTTTGCCTTACTCTTTTTCTTCTTGAGATTTATGATATAATTTTAACAAGATATCGATACGTTTTCAAAACTTGTTTCTTGACGATTATCAAGCGGTTTGCTATATGAAGCAAGAGGCTCGGTAATTCATTTAAAATAGCTTTACGTATATTTTTACGTTGTCGGACCGACGGAACCTTTTCCCGACAACGATTTCACCGACCATTTTCCCGAATAACATCTTTTCCCGACATGACATTATCCCGATGATAAATATCCCGAAAGACAAATCCCGACATGACATTTTCCCAAATTCAATTTATGAAAATGTAACTTTGGTTGGGTATATATTTAACACTAATACATTATAAATCGCAAATTTAAATTTTTTAAATTTTTTAAAATTAGTTTTATTGATAATAAAATATTGGTTTATGATAAATAACTATACAAATGCTTTTACAAATAGATATACAAAATAAACTGGGTAAAAATAATCGAAAGTAATTGTTAAAAAATTCATGTGTAACCGTTACGTTTTGTATAAATAATTTTGAATTGCGCAGCTGTCGGGTCATGTGTAGCCAATCTGAGAGATTTTCATCGCTAATATACAATTCCGGTTAATGAAATTTTAATTGGATTTTTTTTTTTGCTAATTAACGAAAAAAAAGCTTACTAATCATGTTTCATTTTCGGCCATTCAAGATGATACAATGATTGCAATCTGCAATCCAGTCTCTTTTTTAGTCCGGATCTTTTTTTAAATTAATATAAAATACGTAATTTTAGTTTAATATGTTTAATATGTGAAATTGTAATTGTGTTCAAAATCTCAATTAATTAAGATAAATTACGTGATAAAATGTAATAATTGTAAAATAATAAATTCATTTTTCATTTAATAAAAAAAAAATTAAGAAAATATTACGCAAAAGTAAATTAGATAAATATAATAAACATAAAATTTAATTTTACTATTAATTTATTTATTATAAAGTATTTTTGTGATCATTTTTCGTAATTTGATTTCGGGAAAATATCATGTCGGGATAATGTATGTCGGGAAAAGGTGTTATTCGGGAAAATGTCCATTAGGGATTTTGTCCTGTCGGTGAAATCGTTGCCGGGAAAAGGTTACGTCGGAAAATAGATGTCGGGAAATCGTTCCGTAACCATATGCCGCATAACATTATCCAAAAAGTTACTCATGGCTGGCTTTTTGTGTCTTTCTACTCGCGCCTCGCTTACTTATACCATATTTTGGTCGTCGTAGCGTTTCCTTCCATGCAAACTACCTATATAGTTTCTAAATCAAGTGTATAGTTACACCTTTTTAAGTAATTTATTATCAAAATTAACAATATATAAAAGGTATAATTTATTTTTTACAGTAACGTGGAGCTTTAAATACATCTGTTCAATTATCATCAGTTCAAGATAGCTGAATAAAAACTGATTTTGTTCAAGCGCAGTAGCAAAGTTATAATAGTTCAAGAGGCTGCAAGAAAGTTGTACCAAAGAAAAATTAAAAATTCAAAATCTCAAAGTATATACTTTAGACATCATATATTAATCAAGTTGTATTCTTTATTTTAGACATAAACTTTGATCGTTATTTCTTAATAGATTGGGACAATTCTGCTTCTAATACAAATGATGAAGATAGTATCTTCGCTTCATTACCTCAGATGAATAAAACCACTTTGTCCGCAAATGATACAGACGAACCAGAATGGAATTCTTCAAAGAAGACCTTGACTCTTTTGTGAACGGTATTTCTGGACCTGAAAAATTGTATGAAGGAGTTAAGAATTTTTTTTCGGTTAACTCAAATATACAGATGACATTGTGATATGATATGAAACATCAGATTCAAGTTTTGTGAAGAACGCGTAAAACATGCAATTATTGATAGATTAAAGGCGTAATGTCGTAATGAGCCATTGCAAATTTTAGTGTTGTATTAGATAATTTATTAATAATAATTAATAGTTTTTCAAATATATATCCTAATTTATCAATGATTTCTATACTAATAATTTTTTCGATAAAACTTTAACATTAGTACAAATATACAAATAAATGAAAAACAGATGTAAAATGGATTCTTAATTCTTCTTTTAAGACAATTTATGAATGGATTTCCTGTTTATAAGATAATCATGTTTTTTTGAGTTTTATGGCCGGAACCATGATTATAAGTAATAGTTATTTCACGGAGTCACTGTAAAATATCATGATATATTATTGCTTAAAGTATTTTTTTTTTTTTTTTGGAGAAAAGTAAAAAGCAAAAAAGGTTGATTTTTTATAAGAAAATATTACTTATCTTGTATGTCTTGTTGACCATGATAGTCATGGTCGGTTGATTTTTCTGGAATCATATGATCTAATAAGATAACGCGATCTAGACTGGAGATGAGTTGCATATCTACTGTACATACATTTTCACATTTACGGATAATGTTGATAATATTTCATTTTATTTCTTATATTAAAAATAATTACTTTTAAAGATCCTTTTCCTAATACAGAACTCGACTTAACTGGCGCGTTTTTGATTAAATTTTAAGAAATAATTTTAAAAATATTACGAAGTATTGATAATTGCATAAACCACGTCATCGATTGGGTGTCTAATAAACAAATATTGAGATTAGTAAAATCTTATTTTGTCATATCATTAATTCTGTTGGTGTCAGCAACGTATGCATGCGGGTCAACCATTTTATGACAAAAATATTGAACCACTATTATTTCCTGATCTTTTTCCATATGGAAAAGGCTTTTATAATGAATGAAGATACAAATCGGCGCTTTAAAGATAGTTTAGGCAATTATTCAAAATCATTATTACTTTGTCCTGATCCTAGATGGCGTATGTCATTAAAATTATCAGACTCGATTTATTGCACTTATTTTATACAAAATAAAAAAATTTTTATGTAACATAATACTTTTTTTTAAAAAAAAAAAAATAATTTTTTGAAATTTAAATATCACGGGAAAAAAACGTATACACAATAATGAGAATAATATTTTTAAATTGAAATTTTATTTTGTTATTAAATAATTTAAATATGACTTTCAAAATATTCATAAATTAAGAAAACTAGTCGATACAAACACTGCAGTGATGGCAAAATGACTATGCCATTCGGCCATTTCGAAAGTGACCAGTCATTTGAGTCATTTGAGGTCATTTGGATCACTGGCCAGTACTGCATCTACAATCACCACCACCACTACCTATTGGGCATACACACGCTCTAGTGCATTTGCCAACATGACAAAAATTTCCATTAATATCAACTTGATATCTATGTTGAAGACGTTCACAATTAATATTTTCACCACAGACAACACCTCCAACAGTTATGCCTTGGGGATTACAGCCTTTAATGTTATCAGGTTTACAGTCACAGTTGGATCCTATGTTCACATTGCAGGCGGCAGAGGTACCAGAGATGAATAAGACCAAGAGGCTCAAGAAACCAAAGATAAAAAGATGAATAGAGCGGTTCATTTTCTTCAGGTGGTTTAATTGAATAAGGATTAGGGTTGGAGTTAGGGTTAGATTAAGGTCAGATTAGGATTAGAATTTTGATTTATTATTTTGATCTAATTTGATTTTTTTATTTTTATTTTTTTGTTTTGTTTTGAAGAATTAACGCCCGTATTTATAATAATTTTTTCCACATGCTAGTTCTAGTTCTCTTATTTTCACAATTATGTATTTGTATTAGAGGTATACATAAAACACTCAAGCATTGGTGCTTCTAAGTTTTGCGCTTCCAACAAATCTGTGGTGCAGGATCTTGATGATCTCAAATAAAAGAAGAGGAATACGAACAATGGATCGACAATATAATTATTTTCTATTAATGCTAGTTCTCTTATTTTCATAATTATGTATTGTATTAGAGGTATACATTTCGCGCTTCCCAACAAATCTGTGATGCAGGTTCTTAATGATCTCAAATAAAAGAAGAGCCCATTCGGAATACGAGGAACAATGGATCGACAATATAATTATTTTCTATTAAAAGTCTTCCGTTAAATCAATATTACGCCTATAACAGGTATGATCAGCAAAATGATCTAATTACGATGGATCGGCAAATTGAACTAATTATTGATAATTATTGGATCCCGAATGCGGTTACAGTACGATTTCCTGAATGCCTTTTTCCTGAATATATCTTTTCCCGAAGTCATTTGCCTGAATGCCAATTTTTCGAACTGAACATTTTCCTGAAATATACAATTTCCCGAATCCTTATTTCCCGAATCCCATTTCCTGAAGTCTAATTTCCCGAATCCTAAATCCCAATATCCTGAATCCCAATATCCCGAATTCAAATATCCTTAATTTTAATATTCTGAATTCTAATATTCTGAATGGACAATTTCTTGAATTATATAATAAATTGTATATTTTCTCATATGATCTATAAATAAACTATATAATAAATTTAAAAAATAAGAACTATTGATAAAGACTAATTTCTACCATTTTATATAAAACAATTGAATATGAATTTTATTTGTCATAATTATGTAATTTGGGGAGTGGCTATTTCAAGCATCCCTTGCCTGTACAAGATTACGATCAATTGAAGTAAATATGAAGTAAACATAAGGAAATATATATACAATCAATTATATTGCATTTTTAGCTAATAAAATTTTTCTCCGACCCACTGAGTTGATAATATTTTCCTAAACATCAAGTAAATATAATTAATTTACATTTTAGGAGATAAAGATTTGGTACAGGTACAAATTTCAAACAGATACTTTGACTGAATAATAAAATCTGCTCGCTTTGCATTATTTATTGTTTTAATACAAGTTAGTTTATTACATATTAAAATTATACAAAATAATATTAAATTCAGTAAAATGTCCATTCAGAATATCAAGGTTCATGATATTGGAATTTGGGATAAAATAATTCAGGATAAAAATTCAGGAAATTGGATGTTTCATATAATTCCAGAAATTGAGATTTGGGAAATTGGCATTCGGTAAAATGGAATTTCAGGAAATGATCAATTTCTGGAAATAGGCATTCAGAAAATTGGATTCGGGAAAAGGTATATTCAGGAAATTGGTATTCAGAAAATGGTCCGACAAGGCCGAATGCCGGGCAAGCAACCCTACCTAAAACCTAGGGGCAGTGTGCCTGGCGTTGCAGAATCCTATCTTAGTCTGCAGGTAGAAGTATTCAATAAACATTCGAAATAACCGATCTATAAATTTGATTATCTGAGGTTAGATCCGCGGATTGTAGATTTTGGATAATTTAAAATATTTCGGGAACTTATGACCAGAATTCATAGACTCGTAGCTTGTTCAAAAAGCCCTTTAATGCTACGAATATTAAAATTTAAACTAATTAACTTACTCTGACTTTTACTTAAATAACTACTTTTATCCGGATATGAACTAATGACGGGTTATCTAAATAAGTATTGTGTGGCGCTGTAATCGTGGTTTTTATAGTTATACTATACTTATCTGTATATTAATTAACAATCGAAATGAATATTATATATTTATTAATTTAAAATTTATACTCAACTGCCATATAAATGCAACCGTGTATTGTTGTTATAAATTTAAAGTTTGTAACTTTGTATATAGTATTGAAATAGAAAATAATAAAAATTTTAATTTTTAAAACGAAGTATTATATTTGAAATACTTTTATTAATACTATTGATGAATTAACCAATTTTAATTGACTCTCTTTTTCACAATTACATAATTCCATTTCATCGAATTTTAGCTTCATGTTCCCTTAATGCAATTTCTTGTTCTTTTAATGCTAATCATTTTCCCAATATTCAAGCTCTTTAAACCTTAAAGCCAACTCACTCTCTTTATTATGATTATCTTCTTCATAATTATCATCTTCAAAACAATCTCCTTCAACATTAGTATCAATCACAATGGTCTTTTTTATTCTTTTTCTTGTTATTATTGGATTGCACATTTTGTGTACGCTTCACAGGGACTGATTTTGCAGTATTTGACCTTTTAATTTGTATGCGGGCTAATAAATAAATAAATAAATAATTTTTTAAATTAAAGTGATACTAATTATTTTTTAAAAAAAATAAATATTTATAATATTGAATATATAAATATATATTACATACTGAGTAATAACAGTTACTAGTAATTTGAGATTCTTTCCACAATGATTGCTTAATGCATGTGCTGCCTCCAGTCCTCCACAACATTGGTATTATCAAGAGACGTTACCCATATTTTTTTTCTTAGAGTGGTTATCGGGGAGACGTTACCCACATTTTTTTATTTCTTAGAGTGGTTATCGGGATCCATCCCAAAACAAGACGTTACCCATATCTCTTTGACATACATTTGTATCAACTCCCAGATCTACAAATTATCAATTAGTGGTACAGTACATACGCCCATAATTCTAAGATTCGATAATTTGAATTACTCACAATCATGTGATTTTAATAATAAACAAGAACAAATTAAGTTCATGTAAACTATTATGACGTAATAAATCATACATAATTGCTCCTTGATTAACTTGTTTCTCAGATTTTACAAAACATATTTTGAAATTTGTAAAATCTGTATTAGAGACGGCTAAGTCTATAAAATTTTTTAATAATATTTAACGTTAATCATGAATGAAGCTATTGGATTACGTATGTATTATAATATTTAGGAATACATGTTTTAAATCTACTAATAACATGGTCACTCACTGTAGTAGAAGATTGACCAAGAAAACGGTGGAGTAGGAACAAATGATCAAGAAAACGATGGAGTAGGAAAAGATTTAAAAAAAGGTTCATTTGTATTTCTTCGAAATTTGCCAGAAGAATTACGAGATGTTTACGACGATTTGGCCCCAGAGGCGGATATTTATTTTAATAGCATTAAAAGCAACAAAGAAAAGACGAATTATCTCAAAGCAATCTTAGCTACTAAAAAAAAGACAACGTACTAGAAAAGGAGTATGTTATGTTTTGTTTATTGGTCGTTAATTTTCCTACTGCCGTAATTGTTCTTTTGATTACTCTCGGTCTTATTATAGTTAAAGTGATAACTGGATCGGAAAGTGAATTGTATTCAATAATTTCGTATAGCATAACGTATAGTATTAGCTAATATTAGTAAATGTATTATTATGAAAATTACTTTTATCAATTTCATTTAACTTTTTCTTTTTAAAATCTTGATAAAGTGCGAGAAAGAAAAAAAAAATAATGAATGGTAATAAATATATATATATATATTTATATAATTAAAAAATTTTCTTTGATGTTTAGATCACTCTTCTGTAAATATAACGCGAATCGATTTTTTTTTTCGGTCTGTCAATCAATTTTTTGTTTCCCCTGGTCTGCCTTTAAGACCGAACATTTTTTTTTTTAATTTTCTTTCCCCTTTTTTTATTATTAATTTTTTTTTTTTCGAATTAAAAAAATTCTTTTAATGTTTAGAATTTCCACTTTCAAATTCTTTCCTTTTTTCAGTTTTTTTTTCCGATTATTTTTTCTTTTTTTTTCAAACTTTCCTTTTTCGGATTTGAACACAAATATAAAAGGAATTTAATACATTTCATTTTTATAGGGATGTAAGGATTGATCTTAGGAGTAAATATTGGACTTTTATCTTTATTATTGGTAAAGATTTTTTGACGATCTAATGTATAATAATATTTACATATCAAAAAAAAACGTATATATAGTCTGAAAAATTCCTAGACAAATTTCATAAAATAATCAACCAATCACTTTTATCAACATGAAACTTTCCATCCCATTAACCATTGTTGCCATAATTTGTATTATAGCACTTGAACAAATTGAAGCAATAGCATTTAATGCTACCATCGGTATATTTGTGTTTTTTTCGCAATGTAAAGTTTGGGCTACAGATAGTTATGGTAATATCGTAATGGATACCGGATGGTTGAATTGCGAAGATGGAGATCCAAGTGTAACATTTCATTCTCGAGATATAAAAGCTAATCCATACTGGCTTCACGCAAAGGTTATGGGCAGCAAGAGAAAACCAAAACATAGAGGACCATTTAGCTTAGATACCTGTTTTAAATTAACTGGTAATGTTTTTAAGTGGTCTTTTGATCAACAAGACTTGACATATTGCACTTAAAATTATTTGTATTTAGTTATTTATATTCTTTAAGAAGGCCTTTTTTTAATAAAATTATTATCCTAATTTTACGTTTATCTTTGACTATTTCAACTAATGAAAAATTACTATTTAATTTATTAATTAATTTTGTTTGTATGTTATAGTTTTATTAATTTTAATTTTAATTTCTAATACAATATTTATATTTATCATTAATATATTTCTTAATTATGGTTAATAAAATTGTTTTAATTATTTTCATAATAATTTATTAATAACAAATCTATATAATTTTGAATATGAAGCACCGTCCTGGTCAAAAGTCTGAAAATTCAAGATTAATCCCTGAATTTTCTGAGATAAAATTTGGATTAATCCAAGATAAAATCACACTTTTTAGAATTTTAGAACTCTATGGAACTAATTCAATTTTTTCGGAATTCAAAAAAATTTTTCAATACTTAATTCTTTTGCAAAAAATTAAAAATTTGAAACTACGAAAATATAATAACAATGATTAAATATTGATGAACTAATTTATAATTTATTTTTTTATACTATGAATAGATTTGATTAAGTTTCACAAATTAAATTAATTAATATTTTTTTTTTTTTTTGTGAATATTGTTAATGTTTCGTTAAACGTAATTATCAATAGCTCGGTCTCAGAGTACTTCCTTTTTGTGAACCAGCCTCCTGAGTTCCATTAAAAATCATATTTCCAGTTTTCCGCCATTTTGAAAAAAAAAAAATGATTTTATTTGGGCAACGCAGATCAACACGTGTAATTTTAGCACTGTAAATTCTTACTATATCTGATATGTATATCAAAATTAATTTTAACACTCTACCATGTTCCTATACTTATGATATCGAATTATCGAATGAATTATTTCGAAAAAACTATTGCCATCAAGAAAAAAAATTATCTTGTCAACCAAAAAAATATTTTTTTTAATTCTGTCACCCTATAAAAAATTTTATCCGTTATTTCTGTAAAAACTCCGTAAAAAATGAACCTTTCACGAATCCATTCACGGAAAATGTAAATAATTTGATGAATTCCGTGATATAATTCCGGAAATATGAGCCTTTTACAGAAAAAAGGATCGACTTTTTTTACAAACGTATTCATACAAATCATATTTGAGCTAATGTCATAATTATTATATATAGCCAATGTCCGTAATCAAAAATCATAAGATTATCATATATTATCAAACAAATTTTTAATTTAACAAATAGAATTTAGGGCAGTGTCATTTATTACGTAATATTTTAGGGGGTGGGAGGGTATTTGAAGGTTATATAACATATAAGTGTAACGTAAGATTTTTCATATTACATGGGGGTGGGTGGGTATAAGCTTATAGTAAATGGATATTATGTAATAAATGTCACTGCCCTTAATATTTGCTTCACAAATAAGTTTTGTATTAAATTTTTCAAGACAAATATATTAATAATTAGCCTAGTTTTTTATTTTAAAGCATATTGATAGATTAACTTTTTCGATCGCTGTTTTAAATAATTAAAATGGCAGTAATGCGAAATTTTCAATTTAAAAAAAATACACAAACATATGTTGGTAGGGAGAGGTCTTGACGTAATTGTGAAAATTATCTTAACTATGGAGAGGTCTTATTTACTTAATTTATTTTCATAGTAATATACATTTAACATGGAATCACGATCTTATTTGTCCTTTTTCAAACAAAAAAAATGGAAATCTCGATGATCAGAATCCCGTTATGAAAACACACCCCGACGCCCACAATCTAATAAATCATAATCCCGAATTTCAAAACATTGTTTAGTGCTTCGATCTGGATGAAAATCATCCGGGTTACACAAAAACTGAACTGGATTGGATTTACAGCTGATCTCATAACGCCGGCCAGAATTACAAATTCGTGTAACATTGCTTATTTTCTGGTGTCACATGATATTATTTCGGCCAGAATTACGAAATTATCTAAGACCGCGAAATTTTCATAATTTCAATTTATTCAATACTTTATTTTTAAAAAAAACAATTTCAAATTATTTCAGCATTGTCTCTTACTATCGTTTAACATTTCTTTAAATTTTGATATTTTTATATAAAGAATTACTATAGATAGATGTGTTGAGTTAGTAAGGCAATTTTAAAATGTTAAAAAGAGATTTGTTACTTCTTTTAAAAAATTAAAGAATCATTTGAATCAAATTTTATAACATTAAGATTTTAATTTTTAAAAAAAGTTGTTATAATTATATAAATTTTATAATATCTCAATTTTTGTAATTTAATCTGAGTAATTTTTCATTTAAAGATAATAATTATTATTTTGTTTGAATGCAAAAATGATTCTTAACGTTTTAAACTTCAGTTGATCAACATGTGATGCAAGTGTTTTCGGTTGTTTTCACTTTTCAGTATTTAAAATGTTTGTTTATGGTCGCACTTTAGTGAAAAAAATATATATATTTCTATAAATAATTTGTAAATCTTAATTATATAAAGCTACGGTGCTATACAAAAAATAAATAAATAAAGATTCATCCAGATATATATCCGGATCGAAGCACTGCTCATTATCCTGACACTTTTTTATCCTGACACTTAATATCCTCATGAATAAAAATAATTATTAAATTCTAATCAGCAGGTTATTAAAAAAAAATTATATCTTTACACAGTATGGGGGGTCTGGTATAAAATCCCGAATTTCAAAAATCCCGTAAATCCTGAACCAGCCATCATTATGCTTAATACTGGTCAATTTTTCGGGATTTTGACATTCAGGATTTTGTACGGATCCTCTTTTATCTTTTATCTTTATGGGTTTAATACAAAATCCCAAATGCTTTATATGCAGAACATTACATTTTTATTTAATATAAGAATTTTTTTTTTAACTAATAACATTAATAAATTAAATTTACGAAGTATGATTATTAAAATTATTAAATACATATTAATAAAAATATAATTTTTTAAAATAAAAACGTTAATTTTTGCGAAATATTTTAAAAAATCATTATTACATATTTGATATTAATTGAAATAACTAGCAAGTAAATTTCTATCCAGTACTCACGGTTAGATGATCCCATTAAGCTGAAGAAGTAAAAGTTTTCCGCAGTATACACAAGCTATTTGAAGCCATTGGAATAAGATATTATTTTGAAATTTATTATATAATCTTTGTAGTTTAGAGAAGGCCGCCAATATGTTGGTTATGGGTTGTTTTGGGAGATGTTTAGATCTGAGTAGAATCATAATTAGGATTTTGTTCTGGTGTTAAATCTAATATGGTTTTGTTAGTAATCCATGAAATTTTTAGATTAATTTTATTTAGTACAATGTAATTTTCTTCATTTCTTATGCACAGTGAAATTCGATAAACCGGATCTATCAGTTCCATTAAAAATATCCGGTTTATCAGGATATCCGGTATAGTGAAAAAACTTCGATTCATTGAAAATCTATTATACCAAATTTTTAAAATTTTTTCATGCTAATAAAACTAATATACACTATATTTTAATTTTTTCATCTTAGTTTTAAGTCATAAAGGGTCATGAAAAAACAGGGTCATTTCACCGACAAACTTTTCACCGACAATCATTTCAAATATGAGATATTTTATTATAAAAACTTTTTATTTAGATATTTAGTTTAGATCTAATAAATATTGACTTACTTCCATCTTAGACGGGTTAGTAGATAAAATAACATATAGTTATATCTATTGTATTTTTTTTTTTGTTTTTTTTTTGTATTTTATAAAATCTAACAAAGAAATACGTGTTACTAACAAAAAAAATTCCCCATTTCATATAAAGATATATTGTAAAAATATTTATAAAATTTTTATATTTAATTTTATATATACTGTATGTCAGTGAAACGTTTGTCGGTGAAATAATTGTTGAAGTAATTGTCGGCTTAAACGCGACCCCATGAAAATGAATATATAACTTCAGCCGGAATTAAGATCTTATAATTCTGGCCAAAATTAAGATTTACCGCATCACGTTACTTAAATTTTATTGGTTAGATCCGGTTTATCGAATCATATCTGATTATCCGCTATAGCAATAGCTGTTGACCATAATCCAAAATTTAGGCCGGAAATCTCAAAAAGAATCTGAAACCCAAATTACATATATACCTGATTTTCCACTCCAGCAAAAAAGTCCGGCCTCCCTCTTCCAATACAATAAATCTTAACAAACTTATTGGAATTTTGGATTGCACCATTATTAAATATAAATACAAACCAGAAGTATTTTCATCAGCCATTTAAATATTATTAAACAATTTATTAATTATATCTTCTGATTCAGCTGTGAGAAGTGCATACATGTCATTTTTTACACTATCATTATAACATTTCATAAGGAATAGGATGAATATACAATCCACATATGTTAAAAGCTTTATACTACGCATTTATAATAATAAATCATGATTAAATGATATCATAGTTATTAAATTTAGCATGGAAAATCATATTTAATAAATAAAAATTGCTAATTTTTTTTTTCAAATTTCATTTTAAAGCAATATACTGTATGTCTTGTATATTCTATTATATTAGAAATCAAGTAATTATGTAATTTTCCTTTTTTGACTGCACCTCTAATAGAAAAGCGCATGTAAATAGGGAGAAGGTAAAATGCGTTGAATATATTCCAAACTTTTTTATGAAATCCTTTTCTTTGCATTGAATTTTACCAGCATGCCTTTTGCAAATATTCGAATCTCTAAAGGATCACAAATACTCCAAAATTATTGATCAGATGGCTAAATTTTTATTGGTTAGAAATTTTGAATTTAAAAATAAAAATCGCGTACGTCCTATAATTTTCACAAGTGAATTTCAAATCATAGAATGAGAAGTATGAAGGCCTAACTTAAATTAAAGACTTGTAATAATTTCTTCAACGAGAGCAAAAATATATAATGGAAAGATTGACAAAAGAATACTTTAAAGTTTAAACGAATAAGTCTATTAATTGTTATCCTTACAGATATCTGATACATCAGATTATGAATACATTTTTTGTTAGTAACACTAGGCTAATGAAAAACAATTGAATAACGTTGTAATGATTTTTAGATTTCTATAATAAGGTTAAAAGTAAAAAGAAAATTTCTATTGAAAAAAATCTAAATATAATCTAAATATATATAGGAATATATTCATCTAACAAAAATAATCTAAATATATATAATAAATAGCTAGAAAGTAGAAACCATAACTGATAAAACTGAAAGCTAGAATAAGCTATTCTTAGGCTATTCTTTAATTTTCATTACTTGATATGAATGCTTTATACCAAGATTTAATATTTTCATCATCATCACTAAAAGTTATCTTTTCTTCATCAACACCAGTACTCTCACTGAACCATGAATACAATTTTGTTTTTTTAAGTTCTTGAGATTTACTTATCCATTTTTTCATTAAATCGGAATCTCGGAGAAAACAAATATATGGTGAATCATTATATAATTGATTGCTAAAGGGATCATCAAGCCTTTCATAATCATTAATAAGTTCTTCTCTATACATTAAAAGTCCAAGTTTACCATCTTCTTTAGCTTTATTAAATTCGCCACTAATAATTTTTTTTTTTATAAAAATTTAAAAAAAAGTTAAATTTATTAAAATAAATATATATCTAATAATAAATATACTTACTTCATTAATGCAATGATCATGTTTAATAAAACAAGAACTAAAGTAACATGAGCTAAGAAGAATAATAACTTTAGCGGCCAATATTCATAAACATTCAAATTAAGTGTACTCCAATAGTATGTGGAAAGTATAGCGTTCCACATTGTATCAAAAGGATTATCCGGATTGGTCTCTGTTAAAGTTAAATTCTCAGTTTCATTTCCATTTTTTAATGTAAAAGTTGGATTTGATGGATTCAGATTAGTAAATGATGGATGACCAAAGAGAACAAACCTATATTTTATAAATATGAAAAAAAAATTAATTTTCTTTTAAATAGACTTAATACAAAGAAAAAATAAGTAAAAAAAAACGTAAAAGTTACATTGAATGCCCAAATCCAATTGTTAATATAAGCATAAATCCGAAAAATGGTATAATAATTTTTAAAATATTTCCAAAAATAAATATGTTTATTGCCATAATTGAAAATAATCGTGACAATAAGAGCTTTAGGAAATAAATAATAAATTAGCATAAAAATTAAAAACAAATATTTGTTTAAAATAAAATTCATTAAACATTACCAATTCAATCCAAAGTATTAAGGTAGTTACTGATGCTGCAAGAATAATCCATTCACCGTAATTTCCATTAAATATCAATATTAAAGTAAAATTAAACATACCCAAAACGATACTACTTAAATCAAGTATATTAAATAATGTAAAGTAATTGCTTTTATACTTCTTCATTTGCGAAAATTCAATCGCTAGTAAATATATTCCAGTATAGTAAAATAGACCAATTATATGTTTAGGTACAAATTCCCTCACATCACTAAAATACAAATCCTCCTTATCACTTAAATACGACCACCAAGAAAGAAAAGAAAATAAGCCTAAAAATATAACGTATAAAATTAAAGGTAATATCCAATATTTTCTTGTTTGATTCCATCTTGAGTTCATAACTGCTTCCATAGCCGGGATATTAAAAAATGTACCTTTTTTCTTTTCAATTTTAAGAAAAGAACTAAATTTATTATTATCTAAATTTTTGTAACCAGGTGGAAATAAGATTTTTCTCAAAAAATATACAATTCCAGTTTTTGCTTTAATTTTTGGATCATAAGTTGTAAAATTTGGAAGTGGAACCATATAAATATCGGACAATATATCATCACTATATTAAAGAAAAATATATCAATATCTGATTTAAAAAATAGTGAGTTTAGTTTAAACAATATTTACCTTATTGTTGCATAATTGAAAATATTAAAAGAATTTATTGGTATAAGTCGCGTAAGTGGTACATATACTTTTAATGTATCCTTATTAGCCAATGTTTGAAATATATTGCTTGAAAAGTTATATTTCATTTCTCCGAAACAAGGTTTATAGTATAATGAATTCAAATAGTTATCTATATAACATTTTAATAAAAAAATTTTAATAAAAAAAAAAAATTTAATAAATTAAAATAAAAAATCATTATATAATAATAATCATACCATAACCATGTTCGGATAATTTTGGCAGAATCTTTGTAACATTAATCATCCAACCAATATGAGCCATGGAATTTTCAGAATAATACTCTAATAAATATGCCAACATGACAGAATCTCGATCTATAGTAAATAAAAAAAACTTTTTAAATCAAGGTACATTAAATAACAATGATAAAAATAAACTTAAAAAATACTAACTTCGACGAGAATCACGAGATTTACATATTAATAAAGATAATTCTAAATTATTAGCTGATTTTAAACAAAAATCCGAATCAACATACAGTTTCAGATACGATTCCAAATCATTATAATATGGATAAGAACCGTATCGACTTTGGGGCCTATGTAACTTTTTAGCACTTTTCTCTTGAGGGTCATTATTATCAAATAGAATATATTTGATTAAAGAAAATGAACGTGAATAAATTAAGTATGCCATTAAAGGATATTGAACTTCCATAAGTTTCCAATTATCAGGATACTTTTTAATGAAATCTTTAATAATATTTATAGTTCCACTAACAAATTTTTGATTCCTTTTTTTAGAAGTAATATCCTTTGTATGCATATATAAATAAGTGAGCGATTTACATGCATGAGTTATAATAGTAGTCATATCATCATTAATTTGAAACTTTGGTGGATTACGCTCAATTATAAGAATATAAACGAGATTCGAATTCTCAAAATTTTTGAAATCATTCAAATTTTTGAAATTTTTAGACTTAGGTTTCCAGACTTGGATACTATTTTGACCAGTTATAAGAAGAGCACTCTTATCGTTATTAAGAAATTTACCAATAACACGCTTACTATTATTCTGATTCCATGGCTCTAAATCATGTGAATTATATTCATGCTCATCGGTCACCCTGTCACTTTCTCCAATAGTGGTCTTTTTTATATTTGTATCTAATATAATTCTAAATTCCTTGTCGTTAAGAAATACTATTGTCCCATTTGCTTTTGTTAAAATATGATAATATTCGCTACAATTCAATAGAGTTGAAATATCATTTTCTGATAGAGGAGTTTCTGATAGAGTAATATTATCTTTAGAAATATTAGGAAAGTAATCATTTAGACATCCTAATATAAGCCAAATATGAAATTTAACAGAACCATCTTTGTCTTTTTCGATAATGAATAATTTTTTATCTTTTTCAATAAATTCTAAAAATTTAATTTTACAAACACTGTCAAATCTTTTTGAAACAATTTCAAGGCCACTTTCCATTAAATAAAGTACAATGACATTATCACCATAAGAATAAGCAAATAATCTTGAATCAGTTGACACTGCAAAAATTCCAGGTTCATTATTTCTTGAAATTAAAAAATCGTCTTCTCCATGATGTCTGTGAAAAACGTTCATCAACTTTGAAGTATTAATATTATATATTTCAATATATTGCATTTGTTCATTATCACTTGTGTCAGTCATTAAAAATTCCTGATATCTAGATTTCAAAAGATATTTCCAATTTTTCTCTGCATCTTTGACGTTTTCTAATTCTTTAAATAATTTCCTAGGTAACATATAGCTACATTCTTCAGATTTTCCATTTAGTTTAATATTTAATTTTTGTATTTTCATATAATTCATGCAGATAAGTGTTGCAATATTTGAAGATCTTTCGGAATTTTTCAAAAAACTAACAATTCCACCAAGACGATAGTCACGGCGCATTGGGGTGATACGATTATTTCTAAATGAAAATTCGTAAAGTTTTGTCATCCCTTCGCTAGAACTCCAAGACGATAGAAATTGTTTATCAACTTTAAATCTACGGGCATAGAAAGAGTATAAATCGGTAATAAGTACCGTACAAAAAATGGAAATAAATACGCTCAGTGAGGGAAAGAACATAAATGTATCCATTAAGGGAAGGAAAATAACAATTAAAATAAAAAGGAGAAAAAAGATAACGAGAAAATAGCGACTGAAAGTTATAAATAATTTGTTAATGCGGTGTTTTACTAGAGCTAATATTATATTAGTTTTATTAATATTAATTTCTTTTTGATACATGTCATTGTTAGTTATACAAGAAATTGCAACCAAGCCAATATCATTTCCATTGTCAATGATGTCAGAAACCGCTAAAGACCATCCAAGTAAATTCTTAGGAATAGATGTTTCAAACCAATTTTTCTCGTGAAAGGATATTATTGCACTTGTCGTCACCTTTTTAATTACTATGGAATAGTTATCTGAAAATTAGAGGGAATTTAACTTTTTAATTTTTTTTTTTAGTATACAGTAGTAGAAAGTCTGAATATATTTAATAATTTAACGTTACCATTACGTGGACTAAACTTAGCTACCATCGAACCATCTGGGCTAATTGCCACATAATCTATGTATGTATAGTTTCCACTTTCTATATCACTTCCCATGTTTTTTTTCTTATATCAGAATACGAAAAGATTTTATTTTCAAAAAATAAAATTTTTCCTTAAAAATTCTCGAGATTTATTTTTTGCTCTTTTAAGTTGGTAGATATACTTCATTTTTTTTTATTTCGGAGAAGTTCGGCGAATAGAAGTTATACAACATTCATTGTGTTGGGCAAATATCAATTTTCTTTCAATACCTTACTCTGGCTTTGCTAGAAAACTCCTTATTAGGCAATCGTGTTCACTGTCCAGCCACTAAAAAAAATCAGCTTTCATTTTTCTTCTTTTTTTAGAATTATTATAACGTATAAAAAATATTTGTCATCACAACAATTTTTTTTTTTTTTATTTAAAAAATTTTGGTTATGGTAAAACAATAAAATATGGTAAATACTGTACATACAATTCTTTCATGATGTCGTAAGACATCATCCAACATGATGTACTTTCTATAATATACTTTATGCGGACTTATCGGTTTCAAGTTACTTTTTATCAGCATGCCAAAATTTCCCTATAATTGGTAATTTCATAAGGTTTGGCTTTTTTTTTATCAAAATCAATAATTTTTTTTTAAAGACGGGTACATGCCCCTTTATTTAGTAACACTAAAATAAATAATAATAATATAATAATTTTTTTTATTTCTTTTTTTTTGATAAATGACACTACAGTCAACTCTCTATAAATAATTTCAGTGTTGGCCTTTTGGACTTTTGGACTTTTGGACCATTGAACTACTGGATTTACCAATTCCATTAAAATTTGGACTATTGGACTATAGACTTCGTCCAATAGCTAGCAATATGTATTTTTTTAAAAAAATGGAAACATGAATGCTTTATTGATGATGCATTATAATCACTTAGTAAAAAAATTTTCCTAAGTGAAACTTTTTACCCAATATATGTGACCATTAAAATTACATGTAAATTAGTTTTTGGATTGATTTGTAGTGTTAAAAATTGGCATCTTTCATATACCCGATAGCCCTATTATAATGGTAGCCGATCAACCGTATTAATATCAATAGTGGTTAATTATTGCAATTATAAAAATTGTTTTATTTATTTTATTGTTTGTTACATGTAATTTTTCTATTGTTATAAGTACGCGTTATTCTACATGATTATATTAAATAATGATCTCAAAGTCTAAAAAAATAAAAACATTTAATGGTAAAACTAACATGCGAAAAAGAACTTATAATTTTGAAATTAAAGATTAAAATTACATCCAATGTTCTAAATAAAGGAACCAAAAAGTCCGTCCTAAAAAAAGGAAAGGAAGGAATATCAGTTATGATATCAGTTATGTTTCTAAATCAACAAAAAATTAACCCTTCCTACTTACAATTTTGAATCCTCCATATCCAAGCAACTTGAAGCCAAATCCTACAAAAAAAAAAGAAGAATGAAACGTTAATAAACGTTTCCTAAAAAATAAAGTTTTGATATATCAAAACTTACACTTGTTATCTCAGAATCAAAGCCCAGAATCTATAAAAAGTAAAAGAAAAGTATTAGTAGCCCATTTCCTTAAATAAAAAAAAAAAGAAAGAAAGAAATATGACATCTACCGCTTGAATGCTATTTTAAGGAGCTGTCAAGTGAAACCTACGAAAAAAGAATACATAGGAACGTTAATAAGCGCTCCTTAAATAAAAGTAAAAAAACAATTAAAAAATAAATGCTTTTACTTCTACAATGTGATAACATACCCGTGTCTTAAGGGTATTTAGAATGCCAAAGCTTACTAATTTAAAAAAAATAAGAAGCATTAGTAGTGCTAAAGCTAGTGGCGAACTCCCTTCTGAAAAACTTACCATCTGGATCGTTATATCAGAAAGGTCAGAACCTACAAAAATAATAAAAGAAACATCAATACGTTTCTTAAAGTTTATTTCGAAACCCACCCAAAGAAACTAACTTACTATTTAGAATTCCATACTTGAGAAACTGAAAACTATAAGAGTAAACAAAAAGAAATGTTAGTATATTTCTTTAGTTAAAGTAAAAAAATGAATTTATCAATCTCATAAATATAAAAGACAAAAGTCAAAAAACTCTCACTTATTGATTCTTTAACAGAAATTTTACAGAGAAAAAAGACAGTTGAGTGTTATGAAGGTATTGTAGGTGGAGGTATTTTAGGTTTTTTGGAGTAACTAACTAGTCAGCTTTCTTTCTATACCTGTGACGAAATTTTTTGAGTTTATTAAGAACATTTTGGAGTTTTTACAAAAAATCATTTTTTGCAAAAAAGAGATTTTCTTGCGATAAAAACAAAAAAGCGGTGATTGTTGTGGAACATACGGATTGGTAAAATCAACTTCAGCAACGTGATGATCATGTGGAAAAAGAAGTCACTTTCGAAATTCTCTAGCAACGGATTTTGTCTGTTACCGAGAAGCTTTAAGTTTCACAAGTTTATTAGACAAGGATGTCTATGGGATTTGGGAATGTTGACAAGGAATGTTTTTGCTCCTGGAGAGTGATTAAGTATTAAAGGTTTATCGTCCTCTCTTCATGGTTTTTAAAAATAGAAATTGAAATCCGCTTAAGATCTTTCCTAAGAAAGCAAAAAGAGAAGAGTAATTGGTTTAGTTTTTTTTTAGGAATTTGGTAAATCAAAAAATAAAAATAAGGAGAAATAAATATAAATTTTTAAATTTTTTTTTAATTTTTATTTGCGATGAAATATTGTAATTAGAATATAAAAGAAAAAAAAAATTCTTTCCGAATTAGATCGTACAAAGTATATGATAAATCTGATAAATCTTCCAGAATTTTTACTGCGCAAGAATTTTCACTGTCCACAACGTAATCTCTATGAAAAAAGATAATAAATCAATTTTAAAATAAATTTCATATGTTACTAGTTATACGTGTTTAAATTTCTTTGATAGGAATATTTTGTTCGTTAGAAATCATATGAACAGGATGAACAGATCTTAACAAGTCTTTTAACAGATCTTAGTATTATTGAAAGTAAAAGCAATAAATCTTTTTTACTATTTAACTTTTGTAATTTAATATTTAATTTTGTGTTCTCGAACTATCATTAAACAAAATAAGATCAGTATAAAATTTATCTTAAATTATCTACTTAAACTATTATTTCTTGCCTTTATCTTTTAATGAGATTTAATTAGGGCTAAATACTCATCTAGTTCATTAAATAATTTTGATGATTGTATTATTTTTGAAAGTATAGTAAATTAGTAATTTATTTTTTTTTATAGAATTGCCAAATAAATAATACAGCCTGAACTTTGGAATTATAATATATGAGTATATAAGAAGGAAAATATTTTTTATTTTTATTCTAAGAAAAATATTTTAATGCTTCTTTTTTTTTATTGTAATTACAATACAATATTATAATTATTATATAGTATTATAATAGGACCCTGGAAAATACATAAATAGGTAAGGTCCAGCTAAAAAAATTTTACTATGGGCTCTTAGCATTTTTTCAGGGCCAGAACTATAATAATACTAACCAGTTTCTAAATTAAAAAATTAAATTTCTGGCTGGTATTATCTAAAAAGGAAGGAGCAACTTGAGATTTTACCTAATTATATATTTTTTAGGGTCCTATTATAATTACTATCAGTATTGTAATTAGAATAAAATGGCCAAATATTTAATTTAATAGTAAAATATTTCAACTTTTGAATTGCTATTACTTTATTAAAAATTACTTTATAGGAAATTTAAAAATATAGTTTTATTAAGCTTAATCTGATTTATCATTATACATTTATACTTTATCATGTTTATTTTTTTTTTTAATTGAATAGTAGTAATTTAAATTTCATCAAATTTAATTATTGAGACTAAGTTGTATGTACTGTAATAATAAGTTGCAACAGGATTCTAAACAATACTAATATAACTTATATTTAAGTTTGTTATATTAAAATTTTGCATATTATTATAAGGTATTTTCAAAATTTTATTATCTTATATATCTCTATTTTTAATATAACCAGTAATTCAATTTTAATAAAATTTATATTATTAAATTCATCTTGATAAGAAGATTCTAATAATAGTAAATTGCATTTTTAGCTTTATATTGACAAAATTATACTATAAAATATACTGTATTTTTACTTCAATATTTAAAATTTATTTGAGAGTTGTATTAGTATTATTTGGGATTTTATTGTATCTCTTACTATTACAACATAAGGTAGTAATTTTTAAGACTGTCAAATTAAGGTTACTGGAGAAATTAGAGGATTTTAGCAAATTGGAAAAATGTTAAAATAGCAAAACTTTACTAAAACTATATAAAAGTTGGTGAAACTCTAAAAAAAAGTGAAATTATTATAAATACTAAAACTGCCAAAATTTTGCTAAAACTATAATAAAATTATAGAAGAAACTTAATTGTAAAATTTTGAAGAGATTTAGCCATTTAGGCAAGCAACTTTATGCCAAAAAAATATGAATTATACAACTAAACTTTGGAATTATACAAGTAAAAAGAATAATATTTTTATTTTTTAAAAAAAAAATATTTCTAATGCTTTTTTTTTTTTTTGTAAAACTATCAAATAAAAAATACAAATTATACAACTGAATTTTAGAATTAATATTCAAATATTAGAGAAATTTTATTAAATTATAGAAAAATTTAGGCAAATTTTTAATATAAGATTTTGCATAAAAGTTACTGAAATTATAAGGTAAAATTTATATATAAAAAATTTTAAAGATCCTACTATATATAGATAAATTACATACAAAAAAGGAATGCTGCATTAAGTGTTTTGATTTTTTTCTTTTTAGTCAGTTAACCAATAAATTGCTGGTAAAATTATTTCTAATAAATAAATTTGACATTTTTTACAGAAACTTCTATTATAAATAAGTATGATCTTATTATAACCAATACTTCTCTTTAAATATTTTTATCATAACTCAGCATGGAAAAGGGAGTCTTGTACTCTTGTTAACATTTAAACTCATGGTATCAAAAAATAACATACTGGTTAGTGCATAAATAGGAATTATTTACCATCAGTTTAAATTTGTATGATTTTGGAATTATTATCACAAATTCTTTGAAGTCTTCAAGTATAACAAGCACACTAACAATAAGAATTACTTTGAGTTTATTCCTATTTTATAATGGGAAGGGAGTATTGTCTTGAGAGTTTCTTCAGACATTTTAAGTATATAAATCTGATCAAGCAATCAGCACACGTGATCTTATTTAATTGTAGATCATAATTAATTGCTTTCTACGATAAACTTCTATATCTCGGTAATAGGCTACTTAGATGATACAACCTGTCTTTCTCATTCACTGACATATATGGAAGAAAAATTATACACAGCCAACTCCTTTTACCGTATGGCAAAGATTAAAATCAACACTGATAAATATAATCCTAAATTACTCCTTATGTTCCATATCAATCAAAAACACGTGATGTATATTTCCAAAAAATTAATCATGTAAATGCCTAAAGTAGGCGAAATTTTATTGACTTTAAGATACGATACATAATGGTTCAGAAATGATAGAGTTGGCAATGAGATGTATGATGCTACCAAAGAAGGAGAGAGTACGCGGATCCTAGGGAGTCCCAGTATCAAGTTATTTCTTTACTCTCTCAGTTTTCTTATAAATATATCTACAAAATTTTCTCACTCACACAGATAATATAGAAAGTATCTATTTTAGCTAAGTTCCGCAAGAGAGCTCCAAGATTAAGTAATTTCGAATATACAAAATAAATTCGGAATTAGAAACTGAAGCAAAAAAATAGTAAAGGACAAAATTACCGATCCATAAAATTTACACCGCTGACGATGCTGAAGTCGATTAGATAAGATAATATCTCATCATGGGGAATTATTTTATGATACTGCGCCTATTATATGCGTGATTTTCTCAAAGGTCAAAATGCCGATACATAACAAGAAGAGTAATATGTCTGTTTTATTCTGGAACATCTATAGAGGCGGGAAAATCGATTAACATCGCGATGATGTGTTCCAAGAAGCTATCCGAATAATAAACCAAACATACCTTATTACTAATATACGAGTTCGTTTGATTATAAATATCGATGATACAAATAGTGGCAAGTTAGATTGGTTTTATTAGTTTCGTTCGATTTTTATTTTACTTGCACGAGGCGGATAAAAGGGTTTACTAACTAAGGCCTCACTTTTTTATATAATTTGCAGTGTGTCTAAGAATTGATTTCGGAATGTTAATATGATCGCATCACGAAAATCAGATCAACTCGCGCTCCTTAAATTCTACCCATATGCGAAGATCAACAAGGGGACATCGGTTTAATCCGAAGAGTTAACATCTTGACTTATGTCAAGGGTATATGTTGGAACTTTCAGGAAAAAAATGATTGAGATGCCTTCCTGGATAGCAGCTCAGAATATGTATTCTTGTGCGACAAAATAATGGATCACACGGCAGAATCTGTGTAACAACTGAAATATCCGCAAAATTCCCACAAATAAAATTTTTTCACTCTTTGTTCTGATGTCTAATTTGGACCAATAGCATTTCGCAAAAAATAGTATATAAGTCGAAAATGTCCATCAGACTTGTTAAAGAAAACACGCTCGCGAACGCTTTTCCTATCCATAATAGAAAAAAATAGTCTTATCGGTGACCTCAAAAAAGTTATCAAGACGGAAAAGGCACCAGAGTTCGACAATTTTCCTGCAACAGGCTCAAGCTGAAGTTGCCGGCGATCACGCCTAAGAAGAGTATTCATAAAGTATGGAGTCTAGATGATTTTGAAATAGGGAGACTTCTTGGCGAAGGTAGTTTCGGTCGTGTTTATAGAGCAATAGAAAAAACAAGTAATATGGTTGTTGCTATCAAAGAAATGTATATAGAAAAAATTATACAGGATAATATGGAAGAACAACTGGGACGTGAAGTGAAGATTCAGTCGCGTTTGAGACATCCAAATGTCTTACGCTTATATACACATTTTTACGATAAACATCACGTATTTTGGTGTTGGAATATGCCTTAAATGGAGCATTATATGATCATCTTCCATTTACAGAACATAAAGCAGACAATTATATGTCAAAAATAAAGATTTCGGATTTCGGATTGGCGATTCATTCAAGCACTTAATTACTTACCACCTGAAATCGTCAAAGAATTAGACTATGACAACAAGACGGATTTGTGAGCATTTGGAGTGGTATGAAAACCCCCTTTTAAGGTTGGGAAGGCTCCTTTTACGGATAAAGACGTAGAAAGAACCTATGAAAAAATTGAACTTGTTAATTATAGAATACCAAAACAATTTTCTTCAGAAGTTAGAGATCTCATTCGATCTTTACTTAAATCCAACCCGGAGAAAAGTTTGCTCCTCGATCGTGTTAAAACACACACATGGTTTATGAAGAATTTGTATCTATACATATACAAGTTTTCTATTTTTTCGGGTGCGAGAATCACTCCACAGAAGATATGATTGATTTAGTTCAAAAAATATGTTCCAATTGCGGATTACCTAATATTCTTACACAGGATAATAAATGCGCTGACTGTAACACCTACGCCGAAGTAAAAGTAAGAGTACGTTTGGCGAAACAACTTCGAGTGAAAAACATTCTAGAAGAAAACAATATTCCATACGAAACTTAAGTTATAGTTGAACAGCCTGTGCCAACTGCCACTTCGAGCCGTAAGCAGGAATTGCTTGACCAACTCGCTCCGTTGCAGGCATTACTCGACAAGTCTGTTCAAGTTATGAAAACGGGATAATAGCTTACCTCCGGTTGTCGCATTACAGAGTTCGATGTCGTCGTTAGTTCGAAACGGACGAAGATTGCTCAAGGTGGTGTTTTACCGAATATTCATCAAAATCTTTTGCCCAAGAAGTCAAAGAAAGGTGCAAAGTGGACCGTGAATATCGAGCACGCAACTCTCGAAGGCTTTAAAAATTCTATACGCGCTATAAATCAGACTTCAGCACTCGAGAATGATGGAGCGGTGCTTAACATGTTAAATGACAGCGGAAAATATTCACCTAAGAACGATCAAGCTCTTTGTGAAATGCTTCAGCTGTTCGTGTCAAAAATAATCTCAAGTTTACTGTGTTTATCGAGGCGCCATCAAAACCCTTTTCAGATTGGTCTTTCCTGAAGGTATGCCAACTTTACGGGCTCGGTAAATCAGATGATCCTTCATTATCTGTCTTTCCGCCTTTCACTTGCGAGTGCAAAGATCTGAAGGACGAACCTTCTCAGGTATTACTTAAAAATCTTATAGTCAAACTGAAGGCCCATCTCAAGACCATTCCAATCAACGGAAATGAAGCATCGAAATCACAATATGTGTGTTTATACTTAGTTGCTGGTGCGAATCTATTTTGAGCTTCGACTAGGACATAGCCCAGTTGATTTCGCAATTGATCTACTCCAGAGTCCAGACCGTAAAAACTGTTGGAGGGATAGAAGTAAAAGATGAAGATTTTTTATAGGGTATTATTCGCTTGAAGGCGTAAGGTGAGATAGGAAGAGGGATCATTTGTGGATAAAGTATTGGAATTATTACAGATGCGAAAGAATGGTATTTTATATTATGTTCACTTTATAAACAAGGAAGACTGAGATTCAAATTATCAAACCCGATATTGTCGTGTATGATAGTGAGGATATGGAAAGTATGGTTGAAAGAGTTCTAGGTCATATTGCATGATTATTGGAGGAGGTGCAGAAGCCAGATTCAGCTGTTAACGTAGATAAAGAGAGGAAATAAAAGGGTGGGGTCATTGAGTAATGTTACGGAAAAATCAGATACTATAGATAGATCTTAGTATAGAAAATTCGTCATGATCATGGTAAAGTCCCGATCCTTTTTATTTATTTCGCACTTCGTCCACCTGCGTCCCAAATTTGTGTTTTTAAAAAATTTATTTTTATGATCATATACGCACACGATAAAAATTCAAAATAAAGCTTTTTTTTATTATATTTTTGTGAGATAAAAAAGATAAAAAAGCCGATTAGCTATGTAAAATGCGGATTTTCACGTCTTTTACATAGTAACAGGAGGGAGTTCCTTCCTGCTACTCCGCATACTATCTAAGTTTTCGTTGATATCCATAAACCAATATCATCTAATGTGCTAATGTAACCATCTTTTTTCGTGATGTTTCTTGTTTTCATAAAACCCTTGAACCGTATTCTTTTTGATTGTGCACGAATTTCCAATGCTACGTGAAGGCACATCTCTTCCAAATTGTTCTTTATCGTCCGAGTCCAGACGATAAGCTAACACCTCTGAATGTTATTGGGCCTGAACTTGCCAAATGTAGCGAATTAAAAATAATGAATGCATACAGTCATCATGAAATTTTTAGGTAGATCGATATCCTACGCGAATTCACATCGAATTTTGTGGATCTACGCCGAAAATACCACGTGTATTTGGAAAATTTTTAGAACTATTCAGTGGATTTTAAGTGGAAAAAATTTCCTGATGGTAGAACATAATTCCGGAAGAACTTTCAGATAAGATTGGCTAGCCACACTCAGCTGATTAGTTTCGACTGGCTGAATTCTTCAGACAACAGCATGAACTTCAGTGGAAGCATTAATTGAGGTGAAATCATTTTCGGCAGGCTTCTTCGATGGTATTAATCTCGTAGTAGGGTTATTAATAGATATAAATAAATAATTCTGTAGTATTTATACAATTTGTATTACCGTATATAATTTATTATTGATAAAGTGATTTATGCTTTTTTCAAATAAGAATAGTTTGCTAAGAAATTTGTAATTTAAAAAAAATTGCAAGCTGTAACCATTTTTTATAAAAATATAAATATATGTAACCAATTCATTATCTAAATGTAATCAGTTATTTTTTGGTCATATGTTGCGCAATACTGCGTTGTCATATTGTTGCAATAAAATTACTAGTATAATAGTGTTAAAACGACAACAATAGTAATGCAAATTTTGATGATTGCATCCTACTGGGTGGATATAGCTCATGATAATTTGTTTTCATGATAATTTGTTTGTATGGTATATAAACTTAATATCAATAAAGCATATATAAATCATTAAAATAATAATAATAATAATAATAATGCAAATTACACCATTTATATGTCATGAGCTAATTATTTTTATCATTTAAATGTTTTAAATGAATGCGCATATATCCCCTCAATGTATTAAATATAATAAAAACTCCGATGAATTTGAAAATATTGCATCAACATTATAATTTGATGGCTTCTTTGTAACATTACGGGAAAATGTTCAACGTTGCAACTTTTTGTTGTAACATTACACAGACTTTTAAATAAATATCGGAAAGCTTATTTTGAAGCGGCATTTGTGGTTATTTTTGCAGTGTATCATTTCAAATTATTTGTTATTATGCTCATAAAATGTTTTTTTTTAAAGGGTTTATAAGATTATTGATCATTATTGATCATGATCTTTTATTCATAAAATTTCGAAATTTTATAATGAAAAATTCCGTTATCAGTTCTTTTTCTTTTTTTTTTTTTATTAATCCGATATTTCACCAGAATACAAATAATATAAAATGTTCATGGCGCAATAAAGAATTAAAATCAGATTATTTGTTTATTTGTGATCTGCGAGATATATTTACGTTTGTACAACAAAAATTAAAATTAAAAACCCGAGTTGCCGTTTTTAAATGATGTACGCAAAAAATAAACAAAATAGTAATTGGATATTAATTTTGCAGAATTTATATTAGAAAAGAATTAAAGCACCATCATTATTGATAAATTATTCGACTATGATGCTGATTAAGAATAATGCTACAATTATTAATATTAACATCTTCATCAAGAATGTATTTATTTCTATGATGATCTATTATTAATACACTAATATATTTCGCAGTATTTTTTTTTTAAAAAAAGTCCGATAAACTTATAAAGTGATTGGTTTATTCATATTATTCGCAAATATTTCAAAACAAATACGCAATTTTTTTTCTTCATTCAACTTATTTAATGATTTTTAATGAAGTTCGACCAATTTAATTTTATTCATGTAATATTATTTACTGATTAATTATTGTTAACAAAACAATATTCTTTATTTTGAATATTGTGACACAGTCAGTGTATTGTTATACAACGTTTAACAAATAGTTTCTAATCATCATTATTTAAATTTAACTTGAAACAATTTGTTGTTCTGTTTGTACGTAAATTAATATGTAGCAAAAAAAAATTTTTTTTTTTTTTTGTAATGGAAATTCTATGATGAAAATTCTAGATAATCCTTACAGATTATTCTTTGTTAAATTTATTCAAAATCTCTTATCTCACGTTGCACACAATTCTTTAAATTATTTCCAGAATTTGCTAACTATTCATTATGGAAGGCATACTTTTTTTTATCAGTTATTTCTGATGGATCAAAAATTTTTGTAATTTGTAATTAAATGGTTTCACAACATCGATAAAGTCGGATCTAGCTCTTTTAAACCGAGTGGTTTTTACTTGGCATTTTGACACAATAATAATTGTAATAATTGTCGTAAACAATAAAATATTATAATATTATTTTATTTAATAATAATTTTTTGTATACAGAAAATTCTTGAAATAAGAAATAGGTCAAATTTTAAATAAAAAAAGAAATTATAATAAATATCAGAAGAGAGATAATCAATTTAGTTACGTGATATATATACAGTATTGTTATACAACCTGATTATTAATAATAAGTTACGTGTTATACCTTGTTTATACAACCTGATTATTAACAAGTTACGTGTTATATACTGTATATATTAACAACAGTTACTATCCGATTTAGATGAACAATCAAAAAGCCCATAATGTAAGGTTGTATCTCCAATAACATCAAAGTGTTCCGCATATCGAGTTTTCTGTAATATCATGGATGTATTGCCACAAACTGGAATAGATTCATCGACTTTAAACACATGATGATCATCCAATACGAAAGAAACTGGAGCTTCTTCAATAGTTCCTTTATAGGTTGCTACTTGTCCATAATTTTCACAACGATCCTCGAAAGGTAATTTAAAAGTACGAACTGTGATAGAATAAAAATCGATCATTCCCACTTTTTGTTTGACTTCCGAATCATTCAAGTCGATCTTTTGTTTTGATAAAATTCGATATTCAGGATAACCTAAGCTTGTAAGTAAACGTCGAAAATCCTCAATATAAAGCGCCCCGCTTAGGCATTCTCCAAATAGAACTGGATCTTTTACAAGAGCTTCTGGAATTCTACTTCCTGAAAAAACATCAGAGAAATATAGTTCACCTCCTGTCTTGAGAACTCGAAAGATTTCCGAAAATGCTTTCTTCTTATTAGTAGAAAGGTTAAGAACACAGTTTGAAATTACAACATCTATTGATTCGCTTTCAATACCGGCTGCTTGAAGGTCTTCAATATATCCTTTTTTGAAAATCACATTAGGTTTATCGTATCCGAATCGATCCATATGGTAAGAGATATGATTATTAGCAACTTCAAGTTGTTCATCAGTCATATCAATTCCGATTACTTTACCCTCTGGACCAACCAACTTGGATAAAATGAAACAATCTCGACCAGAACCTGATCCTAAATCTAAAACTGTCTTTCCTTTTAACGCGGGAGGGACAGGAGAACCACAACCATAAAATTTGGAAAGAACTTCAGGATGAATATCTTTCATAATTGCCTTTACGTTCTCTGGGATGGAATCTTTTGCGCAACATGCGCTAGTTTTTAAATCTTTGTTGGTTTTAAGAACATTACTGTAATAATCTTTTACCGATTCGATCGCTTGTTGTTCGTCTCTTGTTTGTTTTCCGGTTTTAGTTTGATCTTTCTATAAGAAAAATAATTTTGAAAAAAAAAAAGTTATTAAAGGTAACAAATATTACGGTCAACTCTTTCTAAGTGCACTCCCCTTGGGACCATAATGAACGTGCACTTAGAGAGAGTTGACTATTATAATTTTCGACACGTTTATATATTCAAAAGAATTACTTACAACACAACATTTTTCAATCTTAGAATTCATTATTATTTATTTTATATTATTTTATATATTTATTATTTTTTTTTTAATGATAAATTCACTCTTTTTATCTTTTTAATTTAGGGAGTGTTATATGATTATTTTGATGGAATGATGGGAATTTTTTTTTTTCGACCTGCATTTTTATAGTATTAGTCCTCGTGATTTGACTCATTTGACTCTTAACTTATTTGTCGTACTAAAATTATGTTTGAATTAAAAATTCTCCTATTAAGGGGAATTTTTAATTCAATTATAAGGTGATCACCATACCTGGTTTAAACCGATAATTCCTGACCTGCCTAAAAGAAGGTTTTATCAAATATAATCAAAAAAAATAATAAATAAAGCTTATTAATATAAAAATGCTTTATTAGAACAATCCAAAACCGAGAATTACATATGTACTACGTATTGTGCGAATCTTGTATTATATAAATAAATAAAAATAGAAATGAAAGAAATATATTGAATTAGGGAATTAATTTATTAAATAAAATAATATCACGTATATTGTGGCTAAAAAAAATGAATTTTTAATTTTTTTTTTTTTTCTTTTAAGTGAAAATTAGTCTTAATTTAGCAAAATAAAAATACGGATTCATACTAAATGGATATTAATCCGGATTACCCGACGGAAGTACTTACTATACTCAACTAGTTTGTTTTATCAGGTGATAAGATTAAAAACATTTAACAATCCTTTCACTGACATGTAAATACTTTTATACTATTTTATACTAGACCTGAAAGTTTTAAAATTCAATAAATAAGTTTCCAGATTTATCTAGAATACATTTCAGAACATTTTCTAGACGTGTTCCAAGCATGTACGCATGTACGGATTTTTCCAGGACATCCGATATCCTTCCTTAATATACTTTTTAATAATAATAAGTCGAAAATTTTTTTTTTTTTTTAACGAAAATAGATTTATCTTAACCGGCTAAAAACCGGTTAACCAAGTGCTCAACCAGTTAACTAACCAGTTAATATTAAAATATTTTTTTTTTGGCTACAAATTGTACAGATTTTTTTACTAGTTGTCGATAAAATTATATTTCTTTTTTTAACTGTTTAAAAGAATACGGTATGAAGTTTGGGAGCACGTGACCGCAATTACGTATGTCTGAGCCACATTTTATAAATCTGGCCAGAATTACGACCAATTAATTTTAACAAGTTGATTTCCTAACTGCTGGTTAACGTCTTAATTTACTTATGAGATTGTTCTTATAATGATTATACTATAATAGATAGCTTTGAAACCATCAACAAGAAGAATCCAATAGGTCTAATTTGGCCATTTTCTTTTATAGCAGCGGAAAATCTTCATTAGAAAGTAGAAACAATAAATTACTTTGAGTATCATTTTTTCTTATTATAATATTAGTAAATTTCGTTTATAATAACCTTTTAGCCAAGTTTAATTAATGAAGCTAAACAATTTAACTTGTCTATAATGAGAAATCAATAGTTTTAGTTATTAGGAACCGGGTTCGAAACTTCGGTTCTAAAGTAATTCGAAGCAATTGCACCATTTTGGAGATCATTTTTTACTTTATTGAATTAAACTTATTGGCATCAATTTTTTAGGTAAATTTACTTATTGGAGTAAAATAATTCGACTCATCTGTATTTAATAATTTCAAAAATTGTACGAACTACTTAACATCCCTATTCTAAATCTACCATGTGGGTTTCTGATGTTCCGACAAAAGTATTCTGGCCTAATGAATATAGCAAGTTGGCCAGTTCGAAGAGTATTACTTGAATCAGCTAGAGTTCAGTAAGATTTGCATTTTCCAAATGAGAAAATTTTTCTTTCAATTTATTCTGTAATGTCAATATATCTTTCAAGTGTAGTTGAAGCTTTTTACTCATTCTTTAAAAATTTTTTAGATGTAAAGAATAAAAAAAATCAAACGAAAAAAATAAGATACAACAATAAAATATACTATATTTATATTTTATACCTCATTCTGATGAGAATTTGATAATTGTGTGAATAACAGGGGATAAATCAGTTATATCCTTGTAATTGGAATAGTAAAATTTTACTTTAGAATTGGAACATGATCGGCTTATTTTCATGTATATTCGCATTTTAAGTAGGGACTTTCATTAATAGTTTTAACTTTTATAATTGATCATTGCCATGTTTTTTAGAAACGCAAAAAAGAAGGTATCATAATAAGAAAAAAAATATCTTATACATAGAAATATATTTATGACGATAAGATGACGGCGAGATACGGTTGCGAGATGACGAATTATACCAGGTGACAAACGCGTCAGATATTTTAAAGAAAAAGGAGGTTAAGTTAAGATCACAATTACAAGCCAATTTTTATTGGGTAACAAATTTTCTAAATTTGGAAATTAATGGGATTTTCGTATTATTATTTACACCAACAATAAATACAAATTGCATATCATGAAACGCTACTACACTAGTAAAGTATGACATGTTTTTAATGTAAAATCACCCAAAATGTCACGTAAAGATTAATATATTTATATTTTTTTTTCACTTCTTTTGCTTTTTATCATTATTTTGTTGCGTTTAAAGTTTAATATATTGAGTTTTATTTCTCTCTCTACATATACAGTATATGCCATATATACAGTATATGACCGCCAAAAGATTAAAAAATTATTATTTGATAAAAAGCATTTGCATATTAGTATTACATTATAATAATAATATTATTAATGAATATGTTGTTTCACAAGGAATGTAAGAAAGTTGCATATTTCGAAATAACGATATAACGAAAATATAAATATTATTAAAGGAGCGTATAAGAGAAATATTAATTACTTATACGCTAGATAACTTTTTAATCATTGTAATTAAATCGAAAAGTAGTAGCTAAAAAAATTATGTGGCGTAGCTCATCAAATAATCACAATAATCACGTAAGATTCACACTCCTTTTATGACAATCATGGGATTTTAATAACCGTGGGAAGATTATTTAAGTATGTGCATGTGAATTTTTCTTCCCAAATATATATATAAATAACATTTCATAAAAAGAAAGTGTCTTTTTTTTCTTTAAACCGTCAAAATTCATGGATATTAATTTCTCTGATCAAACTTTACCAGGTAAAAAAATTAATTTATTATTAATTATTATTTTAAATAGTGAAATTTAAATATTTTTTTAATATTGATCTTTTTAGAAATTGTTGCGGATCTTCTTTCTCATGATGAAGCAGTATATAAAAAAGTGTTAGATACATTTTTTACTGAGGATGCAACTTTATCTCATCCACTATTAAATGTTTATGGATCTCATAACATTCGTAAAGTTTTTCGTGTTTGGGCTACTTTTAATAAACATGAACCTGAAATCCAAAATAAAGAAGATATAGTTTTCGAGTATGTGATAACTTTTTTATTATCATTTCATCGTATAAAAAAAATTTTTTTTTTTTTTGATTTTTAACTCTTGATTTTACATTTATAGTGGAATTACTGCTGTTATAAATATAAAACAACATATATGTCCAAGAGTTTTCCCTTTTCTTCATTTTGTCGTACCTACTATAACAACTCTTAGATTTCGTGAAGAAAGAGATGGATATTATTATATTTACAGAATGGAAGATAGTTGGACTCTTGAAGGTCTTTTTCAAAGTGTACCTTTAATTAGTTGGTGTTATGAAACTATCGTTCGTAAACTTGTCTTTGGAAAATTAATTACTGGAACTGGTTATTTAATCGATAGTGCCTCTTCCTATATGAAAAATAATTAAATCAATTATATAGTTTTTTTTTTTATGATAATTTATTAAGTTTTAATTTATTTACTAACTATCAATTTTTTAAATATTCGCTTATGAATAAATTCTCTCGAAATATTTCTATATTTCACTTAAAATATTAAATATTTATAAGTACCAGTACAAATGCGGTGAAAATTCGAAAGAAGATTTAATATCTGAATTGAAGTTTTGTGCGCTTTGCGTTTGCAACTCTTTCTTTTAATATTTCTTCTTTTTGGATAGTTTTCTCAATTTTTGTGAAATAAAAGTTTTGGTGATTTCTAAATTTACAGTTGAAAAATTACATCAGAAGATCTGCAATTTCAGCCATTTTGTTAATTCTGCCCCATATTTCCTGGTACAGATCTATAACGGTTTTGTTATCCACATAAGTTCATGAAGACTTAACATAATCGTCTCGCGTAGACATTATTCATGTAATCTAATCACAACTTCCAAAATTGTCCTTAAATTATATAAATATACGTCGTACAATTTATTCTATGTACCATGCTTCAGTAAAGAATGCAATGCATTACATAATTTTACATATATCCGCGAAAAAAAAATACAATTATATCTTTTATCTTCTCGATTTAAATTTTTATACCAATCAATCGCTTTGTATATATCTTTCCCAACCAATCGAGCCAGTTCTACGGTTCTTTTATTCCAATTCCATTATTATAACGGAATCCTGTATCATAATCCTATGTGATAAAAACCAGCCATTTTCGCTTTACAACATCTATTTCTTTAATATAACAATATCAAACTTGAAATTGTCTTCGTCAGCTATTCTTACAAGATATTTAAAGACTATTTTATGCCCGATCCATACTGATAACATAGTATTGTGATCAGATGATCGAATTGACGAATAATTACAATCATGATTAAAAATACCCAAATATATCAGTTTACGTCGTGTTAGTATAATTTGATAACCATTTCCATTTCTTCATTACCAATCTGTATTTCGTGTATTTTGAAACGTTCTTAATCATTCTATTAATTCACAATTTCAAAATCTTAAGATTATTCGATTCGCTACACAAACTTGCAACAAATTCCAATCATTAGATTTTCACTTTTATGCTTCATCTTCAATTCACTTATTTTAATACAATTTTTTAAATTAGTGTAGAAACTAGACGATTATCCGCTTCATTCTAATAAAATAAATTAAAATATATTTTGTAAAATAAATCATCATCATCGTCGACGTCATGATTGAATAAAATAATATTTACTGGTATTATCTTAACATATCCACAAATTTCGTGGACAATTTCTTTAACCATAAAATTAATGTTAAATATTATTCTGAATTTTTTCCATTTCCTGAAAAACAACAAAGAATTGACTATAAATAATAAATTGTCAAAAAGAATTAATAAATTGTTAATGTACAACCGATCTCTGAAAATTACTAATATGAACACTCGCTTAATTATTTTTATTGATAATTCGCATTTGATATTAATGGCCACATTTTGTATTCGGGAACTTTAAGCGATGTTGTCCATTCCTTTCAGTAGATTGAAAATTATCTAAGATCATTGGTAATGAACATTTGAATGATCTAGAATAAAATAATAAATATAAAATGAACAATATCTCACACATCAAAAAAAAAATCTTTTAGTGGAATCCTTACACTAAAGTCTAATAATTAAACTCCCATCACAAAAAAATTCTGCGGATCTATATGTGACAAATTTACAAAAATATTAAGAATAGCAGTTTCGTATTATGACGGTCACCAAATAAGCTCTATGATAAATGCCCGATCATTTGCAAGATATCCATTAAATCTTATATTTGAATTGGGAACTTCTAAATAATTTCACTGCTGACGAAAACCATGATTTGGCAAAGCAACACGCGCCAGTGATGATTTTCTCGATGAATAGTGTGTCAATATACATTATTTTGTTGTAGATTATCCTACATTCAATTATATTTGATGCAAAGAGTAATTTAAATTTATTAATTTTGTTATTTGCTGTTCAATTTTGTTTTATTCAACAAAAGGATAAGTATTGAAACTTAACTCCTTCTTGTACGATTCGTAGCAGCCCAAGAATCGAATTCTTCATCCGTTAAAAGGGTATGATTGCATCACGGAGATCTAGATCAACAAGTATCCCTAGTGTTTGTGGGAAAGTTGAGTAAAAAAACCATGCTATGGCTGCGATACGGATAAGTTGACTAGATTAACTCGAGATTTATTTCCATCTTCTGCTTCATATGTCCTTTTATATCCTGTTATAATCGAAATGGAATAATAAAATGTAAATCCGTTGAAAGGCTAGTTCTTACTTCGTTAACGCATGAATAAATTCTCGATCATATGAAGGGTTACATACCAGACATTGATGTCCCTACTCCCTACTATATAATAAAATCCAATTATTGAAAAAAAAAATGATTTGGCTCGTGACCGTGATACATAGATTTGTTTTACTAAGTAATATAGTGTCTACGGATCACATCAATTTTTCGTTTATTCAAACTATCTACAGCACAATAATCTTATGATCCGGTTTCAGTCATCTAGATAGGATAAAAATTGATGTCAGTTATACGTTCACGAGATATACAATATCAGAAATAAATTAACTATACTTTAGTAAAGTTCTTTACATGATTACCTTAATATGATCGAATTCCGAGCAAAAAATTTGGGCTTTAGTTTGAATCTTTTCAATATAAACGCACAGCTACAACCAAAAAATGTGCCTTTTAATGTCTCGTTCAGAACGTTCGTTTCCGGTATTTTCGTCGACATTTCCCCATACTGCCTTCAGGTGAGTAATAATATTTTTGTTTAGGCTCAAAGATAACAGTATTACACATGAAAGTATCGCAAAAAATAAAAATAATCTTTAAAAATATGCACATTTTAGATCTACAGTATGACAGAAAAAAAATTCATATGATGACATCTATAATTTAACAGCCATGCTATTTAGAATTTTTTCGTTCCAGCCTTAAATAGAAATTGTCAAACTATCCCATAGTTGCTCCATCAACCTTCACAGGATCCCCTTTCATATCATTTATACAACTTTCGTTCTCTATGATCATATTGTCTAATATTTGGAAGGATTTGGAAGGTTAAAGTCTCAGTGAAGGAAATGTTAAGAGGAAATTACCTGTTGAGAAGCCTCCTACCAAAACATTAAAGGTGAACCCGGAGGTGAGAAACTGTCCTCAACTAGTAGTTACAGCGGTTTATTCAGCTGGCCCTCAAGATAATATCATTTACATTTACAGCCACTGATAAGTGTGTCTCAATGTTACCTCTCGAATAAGAAATTACGTTAGTCACATTCTTTTGCTAATTAGCTTGTTTCTATATTTATAGATTATCCAAATAAAAGGCCAAGGCTTGAAGTCATGTCGTACCTTTAGATTTTAAACGGCATCCTTAGCCGCTTTTAAATATATTAGTGTATTTCTTTGGAATTATCAAGAATCACCAGAATCGGAAAAAAATTAAGAAATGTTTGTAAGCTATTCGAGATAAATGGGAGAGATCAAATACATCAATGTTTGTAATGGTGTCTGATGCTAGATGTGGGAAATCTTGAAATGCCTCAGAAATTTCTGCAAAATATTTGTAATAGATCTTGTTTGCAGAGAGTACATTCCTTGGAAAATAGTAGAAGTCTCTAAAAACTAATGCAAATATTGCTAGCTTCAGAGTCAGGACCTTCACTGGACTAAATTCATGATAGTTAGGTCAGATTACAATTATTAACGTTCTCAAAAGATGCGCAAACAAAAAGGAACTGACTGTAATCTTTTAATCTACCAAGATGATGGAATTATTGTTCTATTTTTTAATGATGAAAAATACCTGTTCTTGCAACGAACATTGAATCATCCTTTGGTTATTACATGTTGCACAGCGACTATCGCATATTCACTTCATGCTACGTTTAGTTTTTTTCCCATTTGTTTTTAGATGCTCCAAAAGAGAGGGAAAAAATAATCTTTAAGTGATATCCCGTTTCAATATGTTAATAAGAAATAGGTGGTCAGAAATTTCAATAATATCACTTAAGGAATTCTATAATGAATGGATTTTTACAAAAGAATTAAATAAATTAAATAAGCAAGTATTCGTTAGTTATCATCTGAGAACATGATGAAGAAATGGAAAGTTTATAAAAATAGTTAAAGAACTATGGTAACTAATCTGTAAGTTTATGTATATTATTATTGCATAAATATCATCTGTAAAGAATTATTCTTGTTGTTCTTTAATCTATTCTGACATACAGCTTTTTGATCATTACAAAAGTCTGATGAGGTAAAAAACGAGCAATATTTTTTCATAATATTCCAATCCGTTTCATATTTGCTGCTTAACACATTATAATATTATTACCACAGAATAAAATGTCACGGTCATAGATTTATGATTTCGATCATTTCTAAAAAATAATGAAAAATAAAAAAAATAAAAAATTTCTTTCGTTCCTTTTTATTAATAAAATTTCACAATTGTAAATTACTACATATATGTATTTGCTATTATAATCTTTCCATGTAAAGGTCAAAAATTTTTCTTAACCATTCGATATTTTATGCTTCCTTCGCTCTTTAAGGATTTTTGATGTAGATTCAATTACTTGAATAAATCCATCAAAAGAAGGTTCTTTATTTTATCTCTACATCATTGTTAATCGTGCGCATTATTGTTATACTTTTTATATATTTCCATATTTGGAATAAAATGTTGCGATAATCAACTGTGTAACCAGTGTGATCAAAATTCTTTAAATCCTTATTTATTTCTCACACAAAAACATTTCGTCAGATACAAAATTTTTCCCATAATACGATGTAAATTTGATATTGGAATAAATAAAGTGACTTTTCATTGTCAATTTACAAATAACATTTACTAAAATATTTGGTTATTTGAGATGGTATGTTCAATTTGTTATGTATTGTAGAAAATCTAGCAATTATGTTAACTGATATTATCTTAATTATTTAATAGGATTCCTTGCCACCTCCTATCGTGATACGTGACATAAATGAACAGAATGTCAGTCAAATATAAAGAAAATTTTTTGGATTTTCAAAATTAAACAAAAATTTTTAAATTTTCATCTACTTTTAGATTGACGAAACCTTACAACGCTTAAGGAAGCTAAATCAAGACGATAACAAGAAATACAGGGTGTATGGCATTTGGTCATGTCAATCACGTCAATGTTCGAATGAATGGGAAAGTTTGTATACCCAGAAATCATTCAAGGTGTATTTAGATAAAACGGAGTTTCATTCTTTCAAGAGAAAGTGTTGGATGTGCAACTCCAAGTGTCAGTTTTCAAGTATTCAATTGTACGAACAACAGCAAATGTCAAAAGAATCAAATGTATATAATATTTATTACAGAATATTTTGCATTTTCGAAATTTCTTTCAATTAACATCTATTTCATAGGTTATTCAAATCGTCCGTCAACTAGTAAACTCAACTGTTTACAGTAAATATTTGGTATATGGACATTGGATATGTCGAAACTGGAAATGCGGACACAAACCTCAATGTAGAAATAAATCGGAATGTCAAGACAAATGGCAATATCAAAATAAATGGAAATGTCCACACAATCGCCGATGTCATAAAGTAGAACAATGTAGGAAAAAGATGTGTAACTGTCGATGCAGATATTATCTTTCTAATCACGAACGACACTGTCAAAATAAATGGACAAAACTAAATGAATGGAAGTGTAATCATGAATCAAAATGCCGGAACGAATGGGAATGTCAATGGGAATGTAAATGTCAAAATGAATGGCTAAAAAAATATACTCTTGAAGAACTCGAAAAGTATCAATCAAGTGAAAAAAATTTCAGGCAACTCTGTAAGGAATGTAATCAATGGAGTCAAGTCTCAAGTTTCCGTTTATATACACAGCAGCCAAAAAATAAAAATGTAGGTTGCATTCCTAAGTTATACCAGTGTTATACCCGTATGAGATCGTACATGTGGGAGAATTGTGGAAGCGTAATACCATAATTTATCGAAATAACTAAATTTCTCATATTATACTTAGGAAATCCCTGCCATTGAGATTATCTGCCATTTAGGATGGAACAATCATTACAGAGTGTATGGCGATTGGAATTGTTGTGGATGTGATGTATCTTGGCCAAGCGCTTTTACTTGGATATCACTCCAAAAGTTCATGGATGAAATTCCAGGGGAGAGTCTAAACCGGGGTGATTTTTACACGCAAAAGTGCAAAAAATGCGAGAATCCGGAGAACAAAATATTGGAATACGCACCTTTAAAAAAAGCGGAAGGCAAAAAGCCCCACACACGGGGTGTGTGTATAAAATGTCTTTATTATGATTCTTGTCGTCAAACTGGCACCTACTTAGGCTTAACAAGTTAAAAGTTATCAACGATCTTTTACGAGAGAAGCGCTTCAGTTTCTTAGTTTTAAAAAAAAAAAGATTTTAAAGACAAATGAATTTCCTTCTCGTTTAAAAAATCATATTTTTAAAGTCTTAAAGAAATATCACGGGTTTATTTTATGCTATTGTACCATGTGTATCAATCACACACGTTTTATTTATTTTTGATCCTTGATTTATTAATTTTTATTGTATCCTGATTCATTATTTTATCATCATTTAGTTTATTCCTTTTTCATTTTTATTTCATTAAGAATTCGTTTCGGTTGAATAAAATAATACATAATTTTATTGTCAGTTTTCTTTGTTCATATATGGAAATCTATAACTCTAACTATTGCAAATTCTCAAGAATAAAAAATGTAAAATTCGATATACCCTATCCAGACCATAAACGAAATTGGAACTGGACTGATTACTATAATTTATGATAAATTTGTTTTCGATATATCGAATTCCTTGATATAAAGAATAATGCGTAATATGGCCAATCACGTCCAAGTTTTACAAAAAGTACAGAATAACGTTCAACAATTCTAAACTGATGTGACATTAGCCTCCAAGTACCAAAAAAAATTGATATTGAATGTTAAAGTCTGAGCTCATGTAGTTAGGATTTATTATCACTTAGATATATATATATATAAGGCTAATTATTAATAAGATCCGGTAAAGGGCTCGCTAGCGTGGCATACACAGAAGGAATATAACAAGGTTGAAACGCTCTGGCAAGTGTCTAAAGAACTTCTTTTTAAGCATCGGCCATATGTCGTTCACGGGATCATACGAGTTTAGGTAGCCTTTTGTTGCATAATGCTATAAAAATAATGAACATAACGGCTGCCTACTAACCTTTTTCATTGTTAGAATGAGTTAAATTTAAGTTTGCTTCGTCCTAGAAAGGATATTTTACTCGCGAAAAAATTATCACCGTATCTGTACTTGTTACTATGTTGTTTTAATTTTTCATAACAATTCAATAGCATCAGTTTAATTATTATGAGTATTTTAAAGCAATTTCATCATCTAATCTTTCTATATTCCAAGTTTTCCAATAATAATCCATTCCCTAAAAATACAGAACTTTATTAAGTAAAAGTTTATTTGAATTAATACCAAACTAGAAATGTGATCTGAAACTAAATAAACTACTGCTCTAAATTCAGACAACAGATAATTTTTAAATGCAATAACTAAATCTTCAGATATAAAGAATTAAAGGAATTTAATTGGATGATTTATTATAATGATTACATATTGAGAAAAATTCATTATAAAGTAAGTTTATTATATCAAGAGTTGACTATCTATGATTACATATTAATACAAAAAACGCGTTGGCATGCCAAATTTCAAGTATTTTGACAGATAGGATTCGTTCCAATTTAAACAAAAAAATATAAAAAGAAACCGGACATGAACCATGGCAATTATCAAATAATGCCAGTCAGAATTTTATTTTCTATTATAGTAACTGGCCGACATTATTTAACTGGCCGACATTATTATAACTCCAGTTCTGAAAAAATACATACAGCCTATAGTAAAAATTTTTTTTATCACCTGATCCTTATATATATATTTTTAAGTCTTAGTTAAACTTTGCTTTTTCTTTTTAGTTGTAACTATTGATATCTGTTTTTAAAATGATTTTTGACTTGATTTTTATATATTTTATTTCAAATAATGCATTCAACTTCTTAACAATAATTTTTTGCCAAATAAATCAGTTTTTTGCTTGTAATAGATTTTTTATTTCTATATAAATGCCTCTTTAACAGATTTTTTGATGTAATTTATTATTGCATTAAATATACAAATAAGGTATAGTGAATATTTATACATAGTTTTTGTTATAATAGATTTTTGCAATATAAAAATTGAAGCTTATTGAATTAATTAGATAATTGAATATGATATATTATATAAAGTAAAAATAGTATTTAATAGGAATCATTAAAATATGTTTAGTACTTTTTATGAACTATTTTAGTTTTATCCAAAAGGACAGGCTTTTACAAGTCTTTAACAAATTCTATTAGCTAAGATTATAATTAATTAATTAATTAATAAAGCTTAATAAGACTTTTTTAAGCAAAGCTTAAATGATTTAATATGGCTTATAAAAAGCACTAGATACACTTTAAGTAATTTTATTATATGAAGTAATATATTTTAAATCTAGTACATTTAAAGTTTTTATTGATGAAATGATAGTATTACATTTATCAGTTCGCTTTCTATATAATTATTTTGATCTTGATTTTTGTTTCTTAATAAATTCTGAAACAGAAATCAAAATATGATCATATATAAAATAATAAAAAAAAAACATTAAATTATTTACTATCTTAGATTTCTTTATATAGTCTAGATCTAATAATAATCTTTTTCTTTTAAACTTTCAGTATAACTTATTGATTTTTTTTTTAGTTAATTTTTTTTAATAAGAAAAATTATAAATTAATTTTAGTTAATTAATATTATTTCCTATATATAAAGAAATATAATTTAGGCTACTTCAAGCCAATTCTTTATTTAATATAATATAGAGAGTCCCAATTTAGGGGAGGAAGAAAGGAATAAAAAATAATATATAAAATAAAATATATGGCCAGAATTACCATTAATTTTGGCCAAAATTTTGACCAAAAAAGTAAGCAAAAATTTTAGATGATAATTCCAGTCAAAACTTAAAGATTTGTTTAATTCTGGCCTAAATTACATGTATTTTTTACATAAAAAATCCAAAAACAGGAGGAGGGGTAAATGAAAAATTGAATTGGTATGATCTTATTGCTAAAAAAAAAAAAATTGTGCATTTGTACCTTTAACTTACTATTAATATTAAAAGATCTACTATTAATTCCAATTATTGAGTTATTTGTCATAACTTAGTAAATATAAACTAACAGTCCACTAACTGATTTAATTTTTCTTTTTGATTTTAAGCAAGTTTATAATTAAGGTCCTAATAAATAATTTTGGTATTAATTTACTTTTAAAAATTTCAAAATCTCAAATTTAAGAAATTTCCAAAAATATAGTTTTATATTCTAATACTGCTTTGTAATTTATTCCAAAAACTTGATAAACATATATATAATTCAAAGTTTTCATACACCAGTCGCATCTCCATAAGTGCACGCACCTGAGGCCTGGCCATGTACATGCAGTTAGGGAAGGTGTGCACTTAAAAAACAGCCAATGGAAAAATCAATATTAGTAATTGGAGAGAATATTTATTTAAATTCACTTTTATTTTATATTTTCATTTTAATGAAAGAATTGTACATACAAAAATGATCTGTGATGTAAAATAATATAATAAAATTAAAAAGATTGAAAAATATTTTTTATTTAAAAAAATGTAACTTGTCAAATTTATCTATTTTAAAAAACCAAACAACTATCAATGATTGGTCAATATTATATAATTGTCATGTGAATGCATTTATGAAGAGTGTTCTGATATACCTGAAATTCAGAATTACATGCACATGTAGAACATAAAAGTGTGCACTTAGCTTTAAATCCTTAGCTTGGGACCAAACCATGGCGTGTATATAGGGAGGGAATGCACTTATAAAGGGTGCACTTATGGAGGTGTGACTGTAATACTACCAAAATACTTACAGTCAACCCTTGTTATAACAAACCCTAGGTTCCAGACCTCAACTTCGCTATAGGGCTATAGTGAAGATTTTAAGAGATTTGATTGGTTAATTCATTATAGCAAGGGGAAATTTATTATAGTTGTCTGAAAAATTCATTATATTAAGGGTTCGCTATATCAAGGTTTGACTGTATCTATATTTTTAACAAAAATAAAAAAAATAAACTTGCTTATCTGTACTATTCAAGTAAGTTCTTTGCTCATTTATATTTTAGACTTTTTTGAATATCAGAAATAATTTTAAGGAATGTACACTGGTAAAAAAATGGTCTATCCTACACATATCCTACACATATCTTACATATATTAGGTACTCAAAATGTAGAAAATCATACACAAATAATACATATATCATACACATATCGGGTACTTATATATATAGTATACCTATCAGGTAAAGTCAATCCGGATATCCGGTCATCCATCTGAAATTTGACCGGATTCGGATTGATCCGGATGATTCATCGGATTGACTGGATGGATCATCAGATATCCAGTCAATACTTGCTCACCAATTTGACCGGATGGTTGACCGGATATCTGAATAATCCGGTCAATCCGGTGAATCCGGTGAATCCGAATTCAGTTTTTTCTACTTAATACTTTTTATTAATATTAATTAACAATTAGAATTTTTATAATAATAAACATAGTATTTATTTTTACGTTATTACAAATGATTTTTAACAAATTAGTTGACACAATATTTATAAAAAGTTTAAGATTTAGAGGTCCAAGAAGGTGTCTCCCTAAAAAA